AATTTATAAGCTATAACTAATACATCGATACCAAAATACCGAAAGTTGGAAGTACATATGTAGGACGGCCCTTGCGGATCTCGATAAGGTCCAGTCGCACGAGAGATTATGCGACCGCGGCCTTTCTATGCATTCGGTCGGCAGTACTGCATAGCCAATGCGGGTTGCGAGCCTACCGTTTATCATGTATGCGGCGGTCGCGTCGCATTGGATGCGCGTCGGAAGAAAGCTTGACGCATCCCATCCTACATAGTACACCGGTGATACTTGTAACTTGCTGCTTATGCGACATATATCATATACGTGCGTCATGTTGAGAGGGTATCGTATATCGTATCACGGAGAATTGGTGTTTGTGTTTTATTATCAATCAGTAGCAAATATATCAATCACATCCATTGATCCGATTTACATGGCAATTACCTTAGGTACGTACCTAGATAGTAGACAACCCCCTACCATGATATCATCACAAGTGCTATATTGTCATATTGGGTTTTTATACTTTATCAATTCCAATCCCCCACAAACCTAATTCGATAATGATGAAATCAGATGCGTTCATTGGATTCCGGCTTTACGGGCGAGGTAAGCTAAAAGGCTACTACGCATCGCTGTGGCTTGCTGAGCTTGCTGACATGGCGTCTTACCCACATGCATGAAGTCAATCTAACCATAATAGGTAAGGTATCATGTCGAATGGAGCAGTCTATATCCCTGCTATATTTCCTATCAGGGGAAAAAGGGTCTATTAAGACAAGTGGGGTCTTATCTTCCCCAAACTTCTCCACCCGGGGCTTTTCCATTCGTGCTTCCATCAATCATTAATCTTTCTAACAACCTCCATCTCGAAGACCCCTCACGGCTAACTACCTCTACTACTACTACTATGTACTTAATAGTAATAGTAATATAATACGTTCGCCATCATTGCTTGAGGGGTTACCACCATAATGTCTACCACCCTTCTTACCCTTCTTTCTGACGCTGCTTACAGCCTGTAGCAGGATATTATATAGAGCCGCAGCATCCGTGCCACCCATGGGCGTGGTAGTATTAACTAACATTTTAACAATTAATAAAATGGGAGTTGGACCCTGCCCACCTGACAGCGAACATATTTGCCAAGGCTCAGGCGCATACAAAGTCTTGGACAAGAGTGCCATAAAAGAGTGCCATAAAAGTCACCCTTCTAACGGCAATGTCTAGCATGAAGGTGTCAGCCGAGAACATGACTTGTTGTCTGTCGGTGCTATTTCTACCTCCGTGCTCAGCCGCAACTAGGCACTCGATGGTCTACCAACTAGATAAAAAGTAGACGACTACCGACTATTCGTATAGTTGAAGTTGGTTTCAAGCAGCCGTGTCTTCTGCCGAAGACTGCGGAGTAAGATCTGTTGAAGAGAACAAAGGCCAAGACGTTTAGGACTAACCATTTCGCGGGGTAGCGTCCGTTAGCGACTAGTGTAGGCATCGCCAATCCTAGGACGTTACTTCTTGCCAAGTAGAGTTGAATATCCGTCTAGGCGAGGCCGGGGTGTTTAATAACGACGCAATCAAATCCTGTCCCTGATTTGCCGAAAGTGCATATCCAGGTTCTGGACCCCCTTCCTTCCTCCAGGCCACTGGGTGCATCCTAGACCGAATGGATGGATGGGTGGATTGTTCGGAGTTATTCATTCCTAAGAAGAAATCCACTATAAACAAGTTTGAAAGTCCAGGGACCTGCTTGCCTTTGTCTTCTCTGCGTTCTCGCCGTTTTTTCTGCGTCACTTACCGACTTCGCTCAACTGCTCATACAGTCAGTCAGTCAGTCGCCATGGCAGCGATACGGACCATAGACGAGAAAAGCGACATCGACCAGCCCGAGGCGCTCGTGCTCGAAACCAAGAGCCAAGGCTCCTCCGAGGCACCTGGCTGGACGGCGGAGGAAGAAACCGCCGTTCGCAGGAAGCTGGACTGGCAGCTAGTGCCAACCGTCACTTTTCTATACCTTCTTTGTTTTCTTGACCGGTACGGCACTCTTGGAACTGCTAGGACTATAACCGATGCTAATTAGAGGAACAGAATAAACATAGGAAATGCCCGTATCCAGGGAATGCAAGAGGATCTGAACCTTGTCGGATACCGATTCAACATCGCAACTAGCATTTTCTACGTCGTCTACTTGGTGGTCGAGGTGCCGTCTAACATCCTCTTAAAACGTGTCGGTCCCCGATTCTACCTTCCTGGATTGGTTGTTGGGTTCGGCGCTGTGTCCATAGCGACAGCTTTCGTGAGGTCGTACGAGCAGTTATGCGCCGTTCGCGCGTTGTTAGGTATCTTTGAAGGCGGAACTATGCCTGGATTGGCCTTCTTCCTCAGTTCCTTCTATAAGAGGGAAGAACTGTACTTCAGAATTGGAATTTATGTCTCGGCCGCATCGCTTGCTGGCGCATTCGGTGGGCTGTTGGCCGCAGGATTCTCGCAGATCCCCGACTGGGGAATTGCTGGCTCAAGGTTGCACACATGGCGCAATATCTTCTTCTTCGAGGGTATCATCACCGTTCTCTTTGCCGCGTTCGCTCCTATTATCTTACCGCAGAGCCCCGAGACGTCAAGGGTCCTTACAGACCGCGAGAAGTGGATCGCCTCCGAACGACTTCGCCTCGAGCACAAAGCCAGTTCTAATGAGAAAGTACAGATGCGCCATGTTAAGCGCGCGATGCTTAACATCAATAACTATATCTGCGCCGCGGGGTTCTTCTCGATCAACGTTACCGTTCAGGGTCTTTCCGTCTTTATGCCTACTCTTCTTAGGGAGTTGGGATGGCAGTCGCTGACTGCACAGTACTACACTGTTCCCGTTTACGTTGCTGCCTCGCTGATCGCTATCGCCGTCGGTTTTGTCAGCGACAAGACGAGAATGCGCGGCATATATCTTGCTGTGTTCACGTTCCTCGGTATTACGGGCTTCGCGATACTCCGGTGGGGCTCGGGCAACCACCTCAAGTACGCCGCTGTCTACCTCTGCGCCGTCGGCGCATTTCCTGGAGGGCCCGGGTTCTTGTCTTGGGGTATCAACAACTCGGCCGGCCCGGCAGTGCGAGCCGTGTCTAGTAGCTGGATTGTCACGTTGGGTACTATGGGTGGTATCTTGGCTGTCTGGGCTTACCTCCCCAACGACGGACCCTCGTTCCCCATCGGCCACACGATCAACCTCGTCGCGCAAATTTGTGCCCTGCTCCTCTCGACCGGTGGCATCGCTTACTGCCTGTGGGAGAATCGCGTACGGGCTCGGGGTGGCCGCGACAGTCGGCTCGTGGGTTTGACGGAACAAGAGAAGGCGGGTTTGGGGTACAGGCACCCTGATTTCCGTTATATCGCGTGATCACTGGCACTTTTGATTTTATTATCACTTGTTAAGACGCGTCACGGCGCGTTTTTCGAACATGCTTGTTCCACGCAAGTAGTAGACTACCTACCTAACTTAGGTTACTTAGAGAACTGTAGCGCTACGAGCAGAGGATGGATTGGGTGGGATTGGATACGGTCGTCTTTGTAGAACTATATTTACCCTAGACTAGACGACGCCATAGTACGGAACTTCAACGTAACGCAATATAACTAGGTACATAAACACACGCAAAACAATATGATCGTCTTATGTATATTGTTTCGCGGTGAACTACATATAAGGTTCACTTCTACTCTGCTGTGCTACACCCACCATTCTATAATACAGCTTAATAATTCTTTTGCACAACACGACATCCTTTCGCTTCGCTTTCCGAAACGAGATACGCGGAGTAGTGGCGCCCCGGCGCGTATGCAAGCAATATATGTACCTATATATATGCGTAAGTGCGCCACTATGCGTCTATCGCGCCTAGTTGCGACTTAATATCAGCCGCGCCTAATACGTATGTATGTCCGAGACATGGTACACGGCCTATTTGCGGGTTTGCACATGTAGGTAGCTAGGTAGTTATGTATTTTTAAGGGTGGCAGATATTAGGTCTTGCACCTAGACTGTAAAGAAGATTAGGGGTTGGTGGCGTGATATATGCTGTATGTGTTGATTGGGTGGATTCTGGAGATATTGTGTTGGAAGATGGTGTACTATGGCTGGGGACTGTATATGAGTACCTAGGTAGGTGGGGAGGGAGGGAGCCCCTGAGACTGGTGTTGAAGGGGGGAGTTGCTCTCAGGGAGCCTATTTCGTGTAGCAACTGAGGTAGGAATTTGTTTCTATTTTTAAGAGTTGGATGTATAGAGGAGGTATGTATCTGTCTAAGTAAGTAGTAAATAGGGTGGCCGACCTTTGGGTCCTACTTGGGATTGGTGAGATGATACCTACCGTACCTATGGTGTTTTTAATACGTTTCTTTCCTTGGTGGAAAATAAAATGGAAGTCACAGTGTAGTTCTCTAAGGGGTAGGGATCAAGCGAACTGGCTGGCCATGTGAATCTAACAGTTGGCGACGACGGCGTGATCATATAGGATATTCCCTCTCACGAAAGGCTGCTTTCCTATCTTGCTTCATGCTAATGATGACTATTGTTTATACTTATCACATATATAATTTCGCCATCCCAAGAGGTTTTCTATGAGAGGTGGGCGTGGAAGGATATCTCGTAAGACGTATAATATTTATAACGTCTTTTAATCGACATTCCCAACTAATCATCCCTCAGCCAAAATATCAGGCCGTGGGTGGATTATTGAACACTGTTAGAGAACCTGTAGAAAGTTTTAGTTGTCGAGAATTTACGGATAACACGCATCATATTTGAAATAAAGGAGGCGGTATATCTATACAACAAGGAGCAATTATAGTCTTTAGTGTAGCCTCGGCTGAAAGAAAGGTCTAGATAACTCCATTTCATAGCTCACATTGCTACCCAACTACGTACCCAAACCATTCTTTAACCCAAACCTTTGTTAGAAGCAGAGGACCTCTAAGTTGACGGGAAACCGATAAATATAATCACTGTATTGTGAGTGGTTATTTACCTTTCACTTATATAAGATATGACATATTGGTGATACCCAGGGAGTACGGTCACTGCAAATATCGCTATGTTGAGGCGATACGGGGAGAGATCCACGAAGGAACTGAGATAGTATTTGAAGATGACCGATATGAGAGAGGTGTAGGCGGACACTATCGGCCTGCTCGGTTGTATCTCATACCTATCAAATACACCAGAGCAGCCCTGTTGTCCTATCACTCTTATTTATACACACTACTGCCCACCCTCCCCCCTGTATCATCTTCTCACGACGTAGCCCTCTCCCGCAGAATATCCAAGATCCGCAAGACTATCTTCGCAACCCCTCTACCATCCTGCCAAGCATCGTCATGCGGTCCCGTAAGATCCCTCACAAGCAACACTTCAACACCATCCCTCTTCAGCCTCTCCGCCATCCCATCCGTCTCCGGCATATCCACCAGCTCATCATCCACCGAGTGCCCCAGCACAGCCAACCCGCCAGGGTACCAATCGCCATAGCTCCCCGGGCACTTCATCGGCGCCGCTGCATCCCACTTATCCCGCGGCCCGAATGCCCCCTCTAGGAATCCCGCATACCCGTCGCCCAACCGCGCGTTCAAGCCCGCCATATCGTAGATGCCCTCGACGCCAAACACGGCAGCGGGGAATTCCACCCCGACGTCTTCGACGCTAGATAATCCCGCCAACAGCTGGTACGCAAGACACGCGCCGGCCGAGTGTCCAACAAGCACGTACCTGCCCCCGAAGCCAAACCGGGTCTGCAGGAACGCGAGCGCGGAGCGCACGTCGTCGAGATGGTCCGGGTGCTTGGCGCCGCGGAAGCGATCCGGTGGCGTGGTCGCCGGGTCCTGCGGGAAGTCCGGGTGCGCGCTCAGACGGTAATCGAGGGAGGCGAAGGCGGCGACAGGGATGCTACGGGTAGATCCACCGCCGGTACCACTGCTCTCGAGGAAGCGCGTCACGACGGGCGCGAAGGTGTCGTGCGCTACGCGAGGGTCGCGCCATGCGCCGCCGTGGATGAATCTAGCTGCGGGGAAAGCGGTACGTGTGTTAGTTAATGGGTGCTATGGACCTAACCTATATTTATATCTACGTATACCTGGGTGGTAAGGTTATGTAGGTAGGTATGTAAGTGAGATTTACACGATCCAGTATTTGGTTGGAGCCTTGTCAACAACGTCGAGGTCCCAGACCCCTAGCCGTTGCAGCTCGTGTGTGCCGTATTGGTGGACGGTGTATGTGAGCGACGACGCCATGAGTAACGTTGGATGCCAATGGGCTGGCAAGCTGTGCTATGTGAAAAAAAGCATTTTGCGATAGGCTTCGAATCGATGCTGGGATTATGGATTATGGATTATGGAGCATGAGGGGAAGGGGAATAGCAATGGGAATGCGTCTATCTCAATGCGCATTTTTAGTACATATCAGTCCTTAAATGCATACGACCCTGCTTTGGTGCTGTCATAATACTCATAATACTTTATCCGGTATACGTCCATCTTCCATCTCCCTTGAGACTCGAGAGTTGCTTGTGCTTGTGTGATGGATTTAACCCAAGGGATTGCGTAACAAGAGATTCCCCAGCCTCCTATTTTTTCCTTTTTCTTTCTTCTTCTTACCCAATACTACTATTCGCGGGCATTCCCGCAAGGCATACTCTATAATCCAGGCATGTAGAAGGAAGGAGGTTATGTTGTTCTCCAATTCGCATGCATACAAGTGCCGCTGTTACTATTCGAAACTGCAGCATCTGTTTTTCTATTCGTCGGTTGCTCGAAGCGAATGCTGTGAAACTGTGACTGTAATTTTGCTGTTATTACCCAACGATTTATCTACGCGATTGGATTGTGTCTCTAGATGCCCAATGGGAGAGAAGGTTGGTAGTGTTGTTGTAACGGAAGATGACGTGAATGCTGATCCGGAGAATAGAGCCGATATGTATGTATGTGCCTTTTGCTTCTAATTGCGGTGACTATTGCCGACAGGGAGAGCTCGACGGCGGAATATACAGGGGTAGAACGGGCGGACCTTATCCCTGAATCATCTTTTCCTATCGACGGACCGAAATATCTACTATGTATGTAGTAATGGAGCCGACTCGTCGAGACCTCGGCCGTATTTGCCAAGAAAGGAAGGTTTTCATATTCTCGTGGAATAACACCAACGTTAACACCAACGTTAACACCAACGTTAACACCAACGTTATGGTCTACAGTCGGACTCTTTTTATTTCATTGTAACATGATATCGAAATACGATGTCGATAGGCCAAGCACCTAGGTTAATGACTCGCAGGCTGACGTGGCTTGCAAGGTTGGTGATTCTATTTGTGAGTATTTGCGAGTATATGCGATTCTATCGTGGCCGACTTTATGAATTCCGAGTCTACGGCGCAGACTAGCTACTACCGGTAAGGTGCGGTTATGGTCCCGAGTCAAGGCGTGACGAATCATCCGATTCGCTAAATGTGTAGTGGGTTGTTGTTCCAAGGGGACCTCTTTAATAGCACCTTGCGAGCCTCTTACCGGATTCGAAATGTCGTCGATGTTGGTTGGGACGAAGGAGCCCCCCTGTCACGACCCGGATATGATACCCTGAACAAGGCTGAGAGTTGTGAAACATGTACAAAAACGTGTTACTGGAGGAACTGGGACGATGAATTGTAATAGAAGCTTCCTGGAAACCCTTTCTCAGACGTCAACCCACGCTCTCTCTCCCTTACTATGTATGATCTCTTATGTATGCTATTTGGGGGTCACTGATCTTTCGCCGATGGACATTACGGCTTGCTACACGAAAAGGATGAAACATGCGGGGTATGTGATAGGGAGTGCTGTCATGGCTTGCCATAGCTTGTCATGGCTTACGGTTCCAAGATACAGGGCAACGTGGTAGACATCATCAAACCATCGCGTCCGTTCCCGTTGTTGTAGCCGTTCTACCCCAAGACTCCGCTTTAGAGAATTGTAATTTGAATATTCTCAATTGAGAGTCATGCAGTAAAGCTGCTACTTCATAGATAAAGGTTTCTGCTGATCTGGTTAGTTAGCCGAAGTGAATGCTAGTATAATAGGTGCCCATTATACCCATTATACCCATTAAACCCATTTCTAATCCTGGGTTATGAGTTGCCTGACTGCGAAAAGTCGAGGCTAGGGGTTGAAGAAACACGCAGCGAATGCATGTAGGCGGTGCAATGCCCCTGGCTGCCCTCCCTAATACAAAATACCTTGGTTTTGCTAGTGTCGCGATAGTTCGTGAGCTTAACAAAAGGGACCTATCCTAGTAGTTAGTGGTAAATACATGTAGCGAGAATAAGAATAGTGAGTTTCTCGTTTCAAACGGCGACTCGTTAGCTCTAGACTTTTCTAGCTTTAATATTCTAGCTTCAATATTGGCATTGCTTCGTGGGACATATCCAAGCAGTCGGGCTCAGTTTGTCAGTGTTTACACATATTGAGGAGCTACTCGCATATGTATGCATGCACTATGTTAGGTATGTAATCCGTACATACATATAGGTAATGTCTCTTGCTATTTGCGAGTGTTTGTTGTCTCGCATACATAGTAAGTAAGTCGGGGAATTTGTGTTGTATCAGGATAAGATCGACTGCATCCATCGCATTTAAATCGTAACCAAATCGTACCGACTCCAACTTAAATGTGTGTAATATTGCGATAGTCACCTACATACAATATATTCATATACATAATATAATATCCGGTATATGCAAGAAGGAGACTTTGAGACTAATATGACCCTCTTCTTTACCACGTCTTTTATTTATTTTAGGTTAACCAACTTCTACTACATACTAGTCGCCTCTAGGGTCCAGAACAACCAACTAACCTAGCAGAATACTGCAATGAAAACTAATATACGTACAAGGCGTACGTACATGATATTATGCGAGTGCATGTCAAGCACCGGATCCGCAAAGGCACTTCGCCTCGTTAATAAAGATGCATGAATTTCCTTAACGTCGGGTCTATTATTGCAAGGCTCTGCATATGACTACATGGGTTTGAGGCTCGTGGTCTCATCATCCTCTCCCAGCTGCATACTAACTACAAGTCTCCGGGCTTGCGTACTATCACATTAGCTTCGGCTCTCACCCGGGGTAGCACCGGACATCTGACGATCTTAGGACCCTTCAAGGTCCCCCGTTTACACCCAAGTGGCATTACCCCAATAGGCAGTACGCGATGATGATAAGACCCATAGAGTGGTCTAGTCTGGCTGTCTGGCTGTCTGGCTAAGTGTGCACATTGTTCCCATCCCCACAAGATCATTCGTATGTAGGTAGTGCTGGTCACAATTTGCCATTTTCTCTCCAATAATATATACATTACATATTGGCCGGTTCTGTAAACATCTCTTTCTATCTTGGTATTTCTTTTACTTTGTTCCCTTTCGTTTGTTTTCCTTCAGTCCTTCTCTTCTTGGCGCCTGATAGACGGTATCTATCATGGCAGCCCAGGACCCAAACGCGCCGACGGACAGCAATGGCGATGCTCTGGTGGTAACCGCCGTTGTTATGCTGTCAGTTTCCTGGCTCTCCGTTTCCCTGAGGTCATTTGTCCGTGCTAAGTTAACCAACGGCTTCCAATGGGATGACTGGTTGATGGTTGCTGCTCAAGTAGGTTATATCTTCGACATTGGTTACTAAATTTCTTGGACCTGAGCTAAATTCTAATAGGCAAATTTCACTGTATCATGCGCGCTCATTCTTATGGGGGTTCGGGATGGGTTGGGGAGGCATAACGCATCGCTAGACCAGCACCACGAGATCGAGGCCTTGAAATATCAGGCGTTAGCTACGGCAACATACGTCCTTAACATGTGGCTGATCAAGCTCAGTATTGGTATCTTCCTGCTCCGCCTCGCTTCGCAAAAAAGGTACAGATATATTCTCTACGCGAGTATCATCATCTTCAGCATATGGAGCATAGTCTTGTTCTTTTGGAATATATTTCAGTGTAATCCGGTTGCCGCTCAATGGGATTACACGATTCTTCAGAATGACCCCAACTCACGATGCGTCTCGGCCGATGAGATTGTCAACGCTGCTTACGCACTTAGTGTCATGAGTATCCTGTCCGACTGGCTATACGCGTTGTTGCCGATTCCCATACTCTGGAGCGTTAAGATGAGTGCGCAGGCTAAAATGACAGTGGTCGTGGTTCTGGGTTTGGGTGTTTTCGCAAGCATTGCAACGCTTGTCCGACTCAAGTTTCTAGCTGATCTCACTGACCTGGCAGATATACTGCGTAAGTTTCTGGCTTTTATTGCGAATTCCTCATTTTTGAATATGAAATCAAGGATGCATATATGCTAACTGGCTATCTTCGGTGTAGATGCTGGCACTGACGCGATGGTTTGGACATTAATTGAACCTGGAGTTGCTATTGTCGCCTCGAGTCTTGTTACTATTAGGCCCCTTCTTAGGCTATGGAAGATCAAGGGATTCGGTAGCACCGGTGGTCAGAGTCGCCCAAATCCATTTAGTAATAGCCATCCGATGTCGCGTACGAATCGATCGAACATGCCGGCATTTGGGTCTGCCGATGTTACTCTCGTAGACATCGAAACCGGCCATTCGAAGAGCTCTAAGTCGCGCTCGCCAGTCGCTGGGTCGTTTGGTGGCAAGATTCAGCGGACTTCGTCGTTATCAGACGCCGGGAGCATGACGAGCAAGAGTTTCCAGTCTCGAGCATCATCCGATACCGCAATGCTTCCGAGCATACCTCGGCGCTCTCGATCGATCTCGGATGCCGATACACTAGCCGGTAGAAGCCAGCGATCTCGACCGTCATACATGTCAAGAGTAAATGAAGCACCTATCGAAGAAGATGATGGACGGCAAGACTATGCGGAAAGTAGACCCGGGAGGATAAATAGAAAGAGTGAGATGTATATCATCGAGGGTAACACGACACCGACACCTACGACACCTATGGCGCCCGTGGGAGCTAATACACGCGACGAGACATGGCTAGCAGAACAAGATTCGTCGAGTGACCGATCCTTTGAACTCGGCCGCGTTCAATCCCAAAACGACAGCATTAGGAACTCAATGCAGCCAACGAAACCATTACCGTTACTACCCGCATATCGCCAAAGGTGAACTCGCGTAATCGAATTATAATATAAACTACAATGTACAAGGCCTCGAGACGATGACTACGAGATTCTCTACGATAATATCTATAGCGTCGACTTGATTTTTTGCTCCCCCTTTCAATTCTTCTAGATGTGTAAATGGATATTATATTTGGACATACCCAAAAGGCTGAAATACAGATTAGCTTAATGGCGGGGGCCGGGCCGCTGGGAATAGAAGCATTAAGGGAGGTTACGGGAGAAAAGGAAAGGAAGTTCTCTCGCCATCGAAAAGCAATGTTTTGGAAGGTATCCTTAAAAAGAGTCTACGGGATGTACGGGTAGGCTATTATGCCGCCTTAGGGCTATATTGTTATTTATTGTTAGGCGCTGGAAGGTTTGGGGCTAATTTGCCTGAAAGAGGCTTTTCTAGCAAGGTTGCTGCTATTGAGGTCTCATAAGGGAGACGAGGGTAATTGGTGCCTAAGAGGAAGATTGGGCGACTTCTGGGGATGTTCACGATAGGGGATTTGTTACGTATATACCTACCTACGTAGCGAACGAAAACTTATTTACATATATTACCGACAGTTAACTTTGATTGAAACAGGTAGTTATATGATATGACTAGAGAGATAGCCCATAAGATCCTGAGGTAGTGCTTCAAGCATTCGACAGCATACTTAGGTACGAATACCTATACCGGGGGGTGGCGGTGTTTATCTTAATTGATGGGAATGTCATATAATGCGCTGTTTCTATTGCCAGCGACTGTGTTTCAGTTCCGACTTTACGTTGGAATGAATTGGAATCCGGTGTTGGCTCTTGAACCGAATTACGGCGGTATAGCCGGTATCGGCATGTCTGGGTTAATGAGTGAAATTGCTATATATTTATTTATTAATATTATCATAATGATCATATAGGTATAATAGTTCTAGGCCAACAAACATGGCTGTTTATGAGTGGATAGTTATTTGCTATAATATGAATTGATGAGCAGCTAGGTTGTTGGACCCCTTTTCTTTTCTTTTCTTGTGAGAGAAATATATACCTAACCTAGCGACTCTTATATTACTAACGTATAATAGACCTCTTCTCGGTGCTATTTGGTGTATTAGGAAACATCCCTCATACATACCTTACGTCCTATAGTTTGGCATTGAGCGTTGAACGCGCCGAGCGAGAAACCCGGCTCACCCGCGACGGATGATGAGGCTAGGGTTACATTGAACGTAGTTCTCCTAGTAAGAACCAGGGTAACTAACAGTTCAGGCACGAGGCCGCACGGATGAGTTCCTCCTAATGTGGAAGAGTCATGTCCGGGCCGCGTAGCTTATACGGTCCTTAAGAACTGGGTTTGGCTGTTATGATAGAAAGTTGCCGGGGTATCAAAACTAATGTTTCCTTTGCCTTTTTAACTGACCGGGCTGCCGGGAGCTAACTGAAGCCCAATACAAACTAGCCAAGAACGTCGATACGTCAAATAGCTTTGAACTTCACACTAGCTGGCTATGAAATAATCCGTAGCCTCCTCGAACGAGCTTGCAGAACCTACATAGTATATCCATAAAGTGCAGTCACTGCACCAAATATTATTGATCCAGGCCGTCGATGCCCTCGAGACTAGGATCCCAATCCTCCTCTTCGTCCCACACAGGTGCCAGTACGAACTTGTTAAGGATCTGGCCCATACCACAGGCGAACCCAGTGCTCGCCTCGGGGTTTTGCAGGTCGATATTTTGCTCCATCATGATAGCCGACGTTAAAAAGTCGGTTTCTGTACCCATCCCTAAGCTTAGGATTGTTCCTCCCCAATCAAACTCCACCTTGCCGGATTTGCGCACGTGGAGCTTGCCAATGAGACCACCCTCCGGCGGGAGAGTTGCGAATGGGTTATACTCTTTCTCCTTCTCTTTGCCATCTTCCGTCTTCACCTTATTGGTAGTGACCGGGCCCGTATCCTCGCGAGGCGCAGGGTCGGCAGCTTCTGGCTCTTCACCATTCGTACCATTCGTACCATCTGTAGGCTTCACCAACGGCGGGAGAATAGGAGGTAGCTGGAAGAGGTACATCTGATCATCTTTTTCCTGGCCCTGTGGTGCCTCGTCGTCTTCTTTCCCTTCATCGTTTTCGCCTTCTATCTCGCCTTCTTTCTCGCCGCTAGGGGGGTCGTTAAATTTAAGCGTTTGCAACTGAGCGTCTAGGTCGTATATAGTTTGCAATATCTCGGGGTCTTTGGCTGCCTTCTCCTTCCGCTTTCTTTGCGCAATAGCGGCGCTGTATTCGTCCGCGACTGGTTTCTTCTTAAGTTCTGGTGAAGGAGGTGCTTTCACCTGGGCTGCCTCAGGAATATCGGCCATGTCGACGTCCATTGCCTCCGGCTCCGTACCAGGTTCTGCTTTGACTTTGACTTGACTCTTTGGAGCAGCATGCCAGACTTCGCTATCGTCCTCCATGCCGATCTCGCGTAGATCCTTAGCTGCTTGAGCAACGAATAGTTCGTCATCGTCAGAGGACTGACGCTCCTCCGCTTCAAGCTCCGCCGTAGTCTTAACTTTAACTTCATCCTCTTCATGGTGGGTTCTAAGAAGTCCGACTGGGAGATTTCCAGTCGATTTAGTGAAACGGGAAGGCTGATAGAGGGGATTTCCTTCCTCGTCGTAACCCGTAGTCCCGTTCAGGAGATCAATATTGACTCTATCTTCGTTCTCTCGTCTAGGCCGATACCTGAGCGCGTTGAACTGGGAAGTAAACCCACCTTTTGAGGAAGAAGCGCCGCCATTAGCTCCCCTACCCCATCCTCCCGCGCCCCCTTTCACATTCTCTATTTACAAGTTAACAAGCTGGTTATCCAGTGGGGCATCGTTGAGTTATTAGAAAATCGTACCTTGTGGTATTGCAGAAAATGGGCCTGAAGCGGTGACTGTTCTCCTGATAAATCCTCGCTGTGATATATCACCCCTCCCCCGACCTCGTCTTGCCCTCCGGCCCTCTGCTCGCTGTTGCCGTTCCTCTTCTTTAATCTTGACGGCCAAGTCACGGTTTCTCTCTCGTTCCAGCCTTGCTCGCTCTGCAGCGTCTCGCCGAATGTTCTTAGGCCTGAATCGACCACCGGCCCGTGAAGCCGCAGCACTAGGCGTCTGTGATTGTCTCACTGACGTGGTAGTTGATGTGTCATTTTGAAGGACGGATGTCGGCGAGCTATCAATTGGAATCCCTTCAGAAGGTGTGCTTATAACTACCACGTCGTCGCTTTCTACAGAGTTTTGTGGTTGTGATGAACTCTCAGCGGGATGTGATTCTGCATCGCCAAGTGAGGCTCTACTTGGGGTATCTGATGATGAATGACCGGCTCTGGCTGCTCCCCTTCCTCTCCCTCTCCCTCCTCTCGCACCACGTGAACCACGAGGCGGCATTATTACTATCTCATGAGTGCTGGGAGTAGTAATTCTGGATAACAAAATAATTAGGTGTATTTGAATGTAGGTTATTATATGTAGGTACCTATGAATTCGACTTTTGATTTGACGTCTTTTGAATAAGACTGATTGGAAAAGTTTCTGGTGGGGCAAAGTTCTTGTAAGTGCAAGTTGAGCTAAATTCAACTAAGACCTGCTACGTATTACGGAAAGGAATCCTGGTGGGGCACGACTTGTACCTGAGTCATCCTAGATTTACATAGGTACATAGGTACTTTGTACATATGGAATAAGGCGACTGGCAGTTGGCAGCTGTCGGTTGGCAAGCATCTGATTTCTATTCTTCATATCACATGTGAAAAGACGAAAAGTAAGGACGAAAAGTAAAGACGAAAAGTGAAATCGAGGTATCACGATCACGCGTATAAAAGACAGCTATATAAACCCTGAGTCTATCTATCTACCTTATAATCGCAATTGAATGCAACCCGAACTGCTAGCGACGAAATCGAATGCAACTTCAAGAAGCATGAAAAAGATGAATCGATAAATGATACGGGATATCATCGAACGCACATCAAGGCTTCTTCGCCAAACTGCTGCTCGATGCTACCCTCTTGAAGGAGCATCGACCCTATCCAATTCCGTGCGGCTTCAACGGTTGCAGCACCGAATTTTACTACTATGCAACCACGCACGTTGGCGGCTGACCAGAGTATCCGTTTGTCTTTCTCCTCCGCTAACCTGATAGTTCGCCAACGTTCGAGGGGGGATTGAATTATTGCTTCGTCTTTCTCACGTGCTTCAGCGCTACGGAAATCTCGAGCCCCTAATCGTGGTAGTGCAGAAAACTCGGATAGAAAGAAATCACTAATAGATTTTGTCAAAGGACCTCTGAGGATCAAAGTGCCCACGATGGCGTGCCCATACATCGACGCTTGAAGCGTAGGGGATCCAATCGGCCTATTCGTACCGTCTAAGATGATAGCATCTCGGACTAGAAGACGGTCCTTAGATGTTGCGGCATTGGAGGTGGACCAAACTTCGTTGCGTCCAATCCATCGACTAAGACTCCAGTTTTCACCCCGGGCCGTACGACCTTGGGTAACCCAGTCTAGCAAGCATAGAGACGCGCCAGAAGTCAGTTTGAAAACCTGCGTCTGCTTGTATATGCTGCTTTCGAATGGCTGGACAGGGTCTGGTAAGAGACAAAGCGCAGCCCCGTCTTTTATTTCGACGTTCAAATTCTGTCTTGTCACGATATCAGGCGCAACGGACCGAAAAATCTTGGTGTGACCTTGCGTGACGATGCTGAGTCTCGCCCCCGGATGTACATCAATAGAGAGGTTAATTTGGTCTCCGCCGACGAGTCCTCCGCCATATGACAAGAGGAAAACCAACACGGTACCCGTTTCGGTGGTAGACGCGGGAGATATAAGTTTTAGCGGGTATTGATAAGTGATACTCTCAATCGTCGAGACGTTGTTAGGTGATAACTTGATAACTATTCGGCCCTCTCCAGGGAGGGATGACGACTTTGGAAACGGGGAGATCATCCCGTAAATATATTAGGATGGGAGGAAAGTAAGTGCATGCAATTGATTTCATATTAGTGAGGGAAAAGGTTTTGAGGATTTCAACCAGGAACTGATCTTCGTCATTGAAGCTTATCTCGAGGCTCCGTACGAGATAAATGGTTGGTAATATTAGCTTCAGTATACACTTAACTTTGTATTATATTGAAGGAAAAAAGGCGAAGATAGTTATCAAGGTAGTAGTTTGAGATGATAGATTTTAAGAGTAATTTTTCATGTTGACATTACTGTCTTGTAATAGACAAACAGAGTATGTAATACATGAGAATTCTATTAATGGGAATTGGTAGACGGAGGGGTACGATACGTACCTGCACGACCCGGATAGAGTAAAGTATTGGCTATTTAGTATTGGCTATTTAGTATTGGCTATTTATGTAGTATCGGTTATCGGAAGGCTATGTGTATATACGATATAATGCAAATAAAGAACATGTGCTCCACTTGCCAGATACCTTGGCTACCTCTAATTTTTGGAAGATGGAATCCGGCGACTTTCAATTTGGCGAATCCAAACACGCTCCCCACCATTAGACGCGCCTGAATTCTCCCCCCTAGTCAACATTTCTAGTAATCGCATTTATTTCATGGAGGGAACCGTCGCATCGCATTAACCTTCAATTCCATATGTCACCATCCAGATTGCCCCTAATGGAAACCGACGATAATAACGCGACCTCCTCCCCCGCGTCTGCCCCCGATAATTCGCGACGAAGATCGGGACGCGTTGTGAGAGCACCTCAGAAATTCTCTCCAGAAGCAAACTCATCACAGAACGATCATGCATCGTCTAAGCGAAAGAGAGGCCGCGATCGCGATGAGGAGGACGCCGAGAATGATACTCCCGTTGAAGATGATGACGAGGAACTTAGTGACCCAGACGACCAAGACGACATTGAGGAAGAAGAACAAACCTCCAGATCAAAGAAGTCTAAGTCTAAACAAAAACCACGACCCAAAAAGCCGGCGGCGAAGCGCGCAAAGGTAAACGGCAGCGCGCCAATAGAGACCGGGTCTGCTCCTCTTGCGCCCGCGGTTCGGCTTCCAAATAGACCCAAGAAGACTGCGAGAGTCGTTGTTGTTCATCCTGATGGAGAAGGCCTTTATGGTAAGGGCTTGGCTTGACAATAGCACCCTTCAAGACACAATTAGTTGTACTGACAATCCTATTAGCTGATGTGTTTGGTTCTGGCGACTCTTCTGACGACGTCGCCGCGAACTGGTTTCAGCGCTACCAGCAAGACGATGCTAAAGCATTAGCAGAAGTTATTAACTGCGTTTTGCTTGCGGCAGGCTGTGAGCAGCAGCTAACGGAAGACGATATTCGAGACCCTGATAACTCTGCAAACCGATTATCAGAATTAGAAGACGCTTATCAACAGGTGTGTTATTGTTACTTAGCCATGGATAACGTTGTACTCCTATGTCGTGCATAGGCTGACATGCCACTTAACAGACAAGTATTTCGGACTATCCCCTTATTTCGAGGGCGAAGAGCAGTAAAAACTTTCGAGAACTCCTTATTGGATTTTTCGAATCTTTAATTAGTGTCCTCCACCAGACTGATGTTCTTTACAACGACGAGGATTTATTGGACAATATCCAACGATGGGTCGGCATTATGTCGTCCTCTTCCCTACGTCCATTTAGACACACAGCAACGACGGTAGGGCTAGCAATACTCACTTCTCTTATTGGGGTGACAGAACAACTTGACGAGCGAATTACAAAGTCTAACCAGGCTCTACAAGCCGAGTCTAATCGCCGGGGCAAAAACAAGAATCTCATCGAGAACACAAAAAAGGCTCTTGATGCTGCAAATCAAAATCGCGAATTCATCGATAGCAAAGTTAAGGATCTTTTCGATATTGTCTTTGTGCACCGCTATCGCGACATCGACCCCAAAATTCGCGCCGAGTGTGTCGAAGCTCTCGGTACCTGGATTTGCACCCTTCCAACAGTCTACATGGCCCCCGAATACTTGCGATATTTAGGATGGCTGTTGTCAGATATTTCAGTCTCTACTCGAATAGAGGTTCTCAAGCAGCTAGGACGAGTTCTGAAACGAGATGCGGAGAAACTGGCCCATTTCATTGACAGATTTAGACCTCGCCTTGTTGAGATGGCCACGAAAGATTCCGATGTCTCTGTTCGTGTTACAGCAATTGGCGTCGTTGACATACTACGCGCGTCAGGTATGCTTGAACCTGAAGAAGTCGACTCGATCAACAAACTGCTCTTCGATTCCGAAGTTAGGATACGTAAAGCTGTCGTCGGCTTCTTTTCGGCGCTGGTTCAAGAGCTCATCGAGAATAAAGTGGATGAAATTGGTGGTAACGACGCACTAGAAGAAGTCTTCGGAGACGAAGATGAAGATGAATATGATTCGCTCCGAAAGGATTGGATCAACATCAAAGCTCTCGCGGAGAATCTCGCTGTATACGACGCTCAACTAGATGAGGAGCAGGATGAGATACGGCACGGATTAGACGTAGCAGCGGACGTGGTAAACGCTAATATGCCAGACTCACGAATCGCATTGGCAGCTCAAGCGCTCTATGAGAAAATCCCTGAAGTTAGCAATTGGCAAATCCTTGCCGGCTATCTACTTTTTGACCACTCGACTAGCACAAAATCTAGGGCGAGCTCAAAAACCAACTCAATCGAGGCCGCCACAAAGAAAGCTGTCGCTCCCGAGCCACGAGAGGAGGCTATTCTGCTTGAAGTCCTTGCGGCGGCTGTAAGAGAGAGCCTTGCGCCCTCAGCAGAGCATGACAGACATAAGAAGAGGGTCGGTAGGCTTGAGTTAGATGCGCAAGACGATGCTGGTATGAAGCTAGCTGCGCTCATACCTCGTCTCCTGAATAAGTTCGGATCGGACCCTACGATGGCCGCCATCGTACTCCGGTTAGAGCATTTTCTCGATCTGGAGGTATTCCAACAGTTGCGTCAAAATTCGGCAACGTATGATAAACTTCTTGACGAAATCGCCACCCAATTCAATCGCCATGTTGACCAGGGGCTTCTTAACGAAGCAACAGCAGCATTCATCCACGCTAGACAATACGAAGAGCTTGAGGAATTGACCGACAACAAGATAGCAGCACTCTGGGACAACGCCCTTAATTCGTTGCGGGGTGTAGACAAGATTTGTGAACTCTCAGCTCGAGGCAATCTTGACCGGGTCACTCTTACTGAACTCTCTCAGGTCCTAATGAAGCTCAGTAAGTTGGTTAGTATTTCTGATTGCGTTGATGTCCTTGAAACCCCGGGAACATCGACCGACTCAGACCGACCAGCTATCAAGATCCTTATTAGTATCGTGCATCGTGGTCTATTAACAGAGTCAAACGAAGACTTGGATGATCCCGAAGATGAAGTCGTTGCTTTTGCTATCAAGGCATGTCAGTTTTACTTCATGTGGAAAGTGAGGAGATTACGAAGTATTGTTGAAAGCGATGCAGATATCTCTGATGCTGAGGTTGATCAACTGGTACTTCTACGTAAAGAATTTGTCACGAACCTCATACAAACCTTCTCCTCTCGAGGATTTAATGATGATCTCCGTCTTTTCGCTGTCGGCACTGCATGCGATCTGTGCGGACTATTCGTTTTCCTACGACCTATAATTGAAGATCCACAAGTCTCTAAATACAGAAAGCTGCGTCCTCTCCTCGAAGAGATGCCCCCAGCCCTGATCACCCAGGAGATTATCCCTATATTTGATGCGGCAGAACAAGCATACGCGAAACGAGCCAATAAGCAACTCAACGAACCTACAGATGACGAAGATCCCTTAGATGACGAACTACCACCTGAGGATGACGAGGACGAGGAGCTCACGGAACAAGAGCGCTTCGCGGCTGAGCTGAAAGCCGAGAAGATTCTGTGCGAGTTAACTGGTAAACTTGTCCTTGCTATCTTAGCTAAGACTATCGACCATACTGGACCAGACGCTGGCAAGCTACGGAAGCGGCTGAACCGTAACAAGACGAGGTTAGGAAACAACTACAAGGATGTCGTTGCTTATTTAGACGAGGACCACCTTCGCGAACTAAGAGGCGGAAAGAAGAAGTCCTCCGCTAAGGCTAGAGGCAAGGAGCCTGCGAAGAAACCTGCGCTCAGCGCGGAGTTGGTAATCGAGGATGATGACGATGATCATATAAGACTAGAGGATCCATTCGAGGAGGAGCCCGAGCCCGAGCCCGAAGAGGGAACGGTTGAGGACCTCAGACGAAGAGAGCTCCTTGACGATCCCATCGAGGACGACTCGGAAGATGAAAGACCAGCGGCCGGAGAGCCGATGGAAGACGACGAGGTGATCGGGGATTAATGAGCCGGCAGGCAGGAATGACTTACTACTTCTATTACTACATTACGTCCATGTACTTACGGCTTTGAACGGGATGGCATGAATGAACAGAATAGGTACGCCCCTAGAGCTACACGATGTTTTTCACTGCATGGGAGGCAGCGGAACGCTGCTGCGAGCATTCTCGATGGTGATTAGCCGTGTCGGCTGGCGGCTGGCTACAAGGGTAATTGCACGGAGTCGGAGTCGGAGTTGAGGGGTGATGCGATTCCCCGCAGGGTGGCCTGTTTTGTCTTGTTAGATGTGTATTAATACATACTTGAATTCAACTCTTGCTTTGGTATATGTCGTGTTGGTGACTGAGGTTAAGGGAGGATGGATAACTGTAGATGGTAGGTAAACACGTACGTCTGCGGGCTTGAGTACCTAACCTAAGGGAAGCGCCCAAGTCTTGACGCTGTCCTGTAGCACGATAATCAACAGTGAAGAGGTCTCGGTAAGCGCAATATATATTAATTTGATTATTCTAATTTTGATGATCCACGCGAAATCACGAGCTAATTTTAGTTCCAAACATGCCAAACACTCTTTCCCAGCGCTTCCCCTTGCCGGCATTTGCCTTTCTAGGATCACTCTCGGGGAGCTTAACGCCATATTGACGAATGCAGCATGTGAAGGGCTTGTTGGACACTATGGACTCTCCCTGGACGGCGTTTTGAGCCGGATGGCTGCTTGGTGGTCTGGGGGGGGTGCTATCTGGTGGTTGTTGAGCGGCAACTCGTTGCTTGTTCTTTTGCTGATTCTGCAGCTCTTGCTGCTTGCACTCTTCTAGATTTCCCCAGAGCTTGAACATCTGTTCTCGCAGATGATCTAGATCGGAGGGGTTTGCTCGAAGGCTAGCTACATGTTAGCTCGGTATTGATCTATCGACGTGGTTGTAGACAGATGGGGTTTGTCTTGGAGTTGGGAAAGGGGAACGGTGGGAAGAACGTACTCTACTGCGTCGAGGTTTATTAACATCTGTGCCTCGGTGTTATCAACCACGACCCAGAGGCTGTTGTCCTCGCCCTTTTTCTTTGGGTTAGCCTCTTCGAGCAGCAATGAGAATCGCCACTCCCAAACTTTGTCTCCCCTATATCGGTCTAGGGTGCTTTGATCTTCGTCCGATTCCGAATCAGAAGCACCGCTATGGTCCGATAGCATATCAAACTCTGTATTCTTGCGCCAAGTTGCAAAGTCTTCTAGCTTGCGAGGACGGAAGTCTATAACTCGGACGTTGGCTCGGTACTTGGCGCAAGTAAAGGGAAGTGTTAATGTCGTTTCTTGGCCATCTACTGTTGTTGTCCAAGGTACGGGTTTTATAATGGAAGAAACAGGAAAAATTGGTTGGTCCATATTTTCGCATTTAACTATTGTTTCTATTAGTAGAAGCGATCGTCAAGGAAAACACCCAATAATCATACTTAGTTCGTTAAGATCGAGTCCTGCCTCTTGCTCTGGCTCTGGCTCCTCACCCCACTTGGACTTCTGAGCCCGTTGCTCCATACGCCGCAGTTTCGAGGCTCTTTTCTTTTCCTCTTGGTTTTCTTCCTTTCGCTTGCCACCGTTTCCTTTGCCGCTCTCGTTTGCAGCAAAGTTCTTCATCTGGCTTTTCTTGGCCTTTTCATAGTCTCTTTTCCGCCTAATGGCATCCTTGAGTCGTTGATCAATATTGTTTTGGTCATCGGTAGAAAGGAGATCAATTTGAACGCCTGGATTGAAGGCACTGCGATCTTCCCGCAAATATCCCTCAAGATTATTGGCATTATGCCCATACTTGATGTGAAGGTTCCGTAGTTTCACCCAAGCGCCAGCCTTAACTTCGTCGCGGACGAACTCCCCGTGTAAACCAAAGCAGGTTATTTGTAACGAGCGCTTCCCGTAAGGACCAGGCCAGGTGTTCGGCGTTACGTTCTTCATAGTATACCCGTACGGATCCCCATCCCGACCCTCGGATATATCTATAGAGTCCCACGAGAACTTATAGAAAGCGTCATTTTCGGTGTAATCGGAAACCCACAATGTGGCTTTGTCCATTTGATCGAAAGGATCCTTGATCACATTGACAATAACATCACAGAATTGACCTTCCTGGATATCACTAAGGACTTTGAATTTATCCTTGACATTGCGAGATTGGTCAACTTGAAAGGTGAACTCGGCAGCGTCTGGTATAACGCTCTTGTTGGTAGAGTGGTATAGCCAGGAAACATATTCATGCTCCTTATCTAAGGGTCGGCGATCACTGGGTCGTACTGGGTCCAGTAAGGCCTGTTTTGCTGACTTTGGTGGCCTGGGAATCTTGCTTGCTGAGTACATATGAATTATAGTCGATTTATGGGATAATAATGAGAACTCATTATAACGGGACTGGACCTTGGCGTAAATTATTAATACAACATCGCCGGCATCTGGCTCGGGAATTTCAGACAACTCGGGCCGAAATATATTTATAACTAAGCCCTTATCTGGTTCGTCTTCAATAGACTTGTCATAAATTGTGACAACAGACTTCCAATCTTGGCCAAAATTATTAGCCAGGCTTACATGAGAGGAAGTATATGTATGGTTGTGAACTTACCAACTCCCCTTGTTTGTATTGCAGACCTACGATCCTTTACCAAACCAACAACATTAACAAATTTACCGTTCTGGACAGCTCCATCAAGGATATCCCGAATATTACGATACCCAGTAAGAAGTTTGCCTTGTTTATCGGCATTCCGAGAATGTCCGGTGGAGCTCGATGGCTGCCGGGAAGTCATGTTGAAAGAGATTTGGCATAATGCAGAGTTGTGATATTAGAAGTGGAAGGATGGCAAGATGCATTTGCCCCGTAGATTAGGCTACGAATAAGCCGATACATTGAGAAAGAGGTAAGTTGCATGCATGGGTTAATGTTTAGTGTTTAATGTTCAAATGCTTAACTGCTTAAATGCTTAAATGTTTAACGTTCACAAGTAAGAACCAAGTAAGAACGAAGCATGAAGCACGCGTCCGAAACGCGTCAAGACTTAAAGAGTTTTTGCATTGTAAGTGCATAACATATGCACAAACCAGGTAATGAGTCAAGTGTCTTTGTACCTTCAAATTGCGGTGTCACATGATAGTCAGGTGGCTTTGAAGGGTACGCCAGTGTGCCGGTGCGTTGGTCTGTGCAATTGGAGTGGGTAGAAGTGGGGTAGCTGCAGGACAGTTTTGTGGGCTTTGATTGGCTTTGATTGGGATGCCTCACGCCTGCGGCCTTAGTCTGCCAGTTCCAACCTTAAGGCATCCCGCTAACGGGTTTGAAAGAGCGACCAAGCCGCCAAATCCATTCTAATCTAAATTCTTCTGCTGTTTCCAGCATCATAATAGTTTCCCCCACTACGATCAACTCTTCAACTCTTCAACTCTTCAACTCTTCAACTTTAAACTTCCTCATCTCTCCCTCTCTGTATTCCTCAACTTCGCACTGGCGAATAGAGGTGCATTTTACTCCATCTACAAATCATTCAATATTTCGCTCTCCCGGCGTAATACTTTGTTTTTCCTTCTTAATTCGTCATCTCATCCTAAGGGTCACGGGCGATCAAAATAAATCACCCCGCCTTGTCGTCCCGGTCTTTTCGCCACTACAGCAACTACAGCGCTTGAAGCGAATAGTATTTCACTGCTGCAGCAACCATGGCCGACAGGTTCATTCCCGAGCATCGTCGCACTAACTACAAGGCGAAGGGCACTTTCAAGCCCGACGAATTGCGCCGACGACGCGAGGAGCAGGCTGTTGAGATTCGCAAGGCTAAGCGAGAAGAAAACTTAGCCAAGAGACGAGGTATCGGCTCTGGCGATTCGCGCCCTGGCGCTTCTTTGGGCGCCGCTCCTGACAGTGACGATGAATCTGCCCCTACTGAGAGTCAGGTATGTTTACTGATCAAAATTTTTTTCCCGCCCGCTTTGTTTTTATTTTCATTTTTCCTTTCTGTCTTCAAACCTTTACTACGGCGGCAGGAGCTTTACAACAACTACGCCCATACTATTGGCTATTGGCGACTAATAGTAATTGAATACCCTCCGTCGCCCTCTCGCTATATTTCTTTCTACCGGTCAAATTATAATGCTGACAACTTGATCCAACAGCTCAATGAAGACCTTCCTCAGATGGTCCAAGGTGTATTCTCCGACCAGATTGACCTACAGATCCAGGCTACTACCAAGTTTAGAAAGCTTCTTTCCAAGGAGCGAAACCCTCCCATCGAAGAAGTCATCAAGACTGGTGTTGTTACTCGATTTGTCGAGTTCCTTCGGTCACCCCATACTCTAGTTCAGTTCGAAGCTGCTTGGGCTTTAACCAACATCGCATCAGGAAGTGCTACCCAGACTCAGGTTGTCATCGAGGCCGGTGCAGTTCCCATCTTCGTCGAGCTACTATCAAGCCCCGAACCTGATGTCCGTGAGCAGGCTGTTTGGGCTCTCGGCAACATTGCCGGCGACAGCCCATCATGCCGTGACTACGTCTTGAGCTGCGGTGCCCTTAAACCCCTGCTAAACCTGCTAGGTGATAGCCGCAAGCTTAGCATGCTTCGAAATGCTACTTGGACTTTGAGCAACTTCTGCCGAGGCAAGACTCCCCAACCTGATTGGACTACGGTAAGTCATATTCTTCATACCCTACATTGCCATGATATTGATTGTATTAACTTGTTCAGATTGCACCAGCACTTCCGGTTCTTGCTAAGCTGGTCTATTCACTCGACGATGAAGTCTTGATTGATGCTTGCTGGGCTATTTCATACCTATCGGACGGATCCAATGACAAGATACAGGCTGTTATTGAGGCCGGTATCCCACGTAGGTTGGTGGAATTGCTTATGCATGCTTCCACTTCCGTGCAGACACCCGCGCTACGATCAGTTGGTAATATTGTTACTGGCGACGACGTTCAGACGCAGGTCATAATTAACTGCGGCGCTTTGTCGTGCCTCCTGTCGCTTCTTAGCTCCAACAAAGACGGAATCCGTAAGGAGGCGTGCTGGACCATTTCCAACATCACCGCAGGTAACTCCCAACAAATCCAGGCTGTCATCGACGCCAATATCATTCCGCCCTTGATTCATCTGCTATCAAACGGTGATTTAAAGACCCGCAAAGAGGCATGTTGGGCTATTAGCAATGCTACCAGTGGCGGTCTGCAGAAGCCGGAGCAGATCAGATATCTGGTTGCGCAAGGTTGTATCAAGCCGCTATGTGACCTCCTCGCGTGCCCGGATAACAAGATTATCCAAGTCGCTCTAGATGGTCTAGAGAATATTCTCAAGGTCGGTGATCTCGACAAACAAGCAGCTGGAGAAGGCCCAGACTCCATCAACCGCTACGCACTTTTTATTGAGGAGTGTGGAGGTATGGAGAAGATTCACGACTGCCAGACAAACGCAAACGAGGAGATCTATATGAAGTCTTACAACATCATTGAGAAGTACTTCTCCGACGAGGATGAGAATGCCGATGAGGGTATGGCTGCTCAGACCCAAGCTAATGGCACGTTCGGTTTTGGCACCAATGGCGCACAAGGCGGCGGCTTCAACTTCGCTAACGGTGGAGACTCTATGGATATGTAAGGCAGCGTATCCTTACATGGGAATTCGCGAGGCCCGATATCATGAATTCACTGGGCAATCTAGCACATAGTCACAGCACCGATATCACCCCCCCATTTCCCCCTGCTTTGCCCCGCATTTAGCCCATCCCCCACCCAAGTCCCATTGCGAATGGTGTTAATCAAGTTATGAGGAGGAGCATTGAGTCATGGTCAACCACGCGAGAGAGTACAGGCCGCTTGGTAGCTTTAAAGCTCCAGCCTGAGAAGAGGTGGTTGGATGAGACAAATGTGTTATATGTTATACGAGGGTCGTTAATGGTAGCTTGAAAGCTCCTACCCTCCGAATGGGAAGGGATTCACGGTGTATCTTGTAATGATCACCAAAAAGCATTGTCCGACAAGTTTGTACTTCGTCGCTACTGTAGTACGGACCAGGGAAAGGTCGGTGCTTTTAATGCTATTGCTCCCAAGTGGTAGAGCATGATCCCAATCCTGTCGAGCAGCTAGTTGACTCAATGCGTCGGCCTTACCAAGTGGTAACGGACCATCGCCAGATGTAGTCGTTAGCGAAGAACTCAGTGAGCTTCAGCAATGCTGCATGACTCGCCGGGCTCCAACATAATCCCCAAAATTGATAATTCCGCAATGCAGCCTAACCCGAAAGCATGCCGTGGCTTAAAACTTAAAAATTCACTAGCTACTTGATCGTTGTCCATTACTTGAGATACCGAACGAATTATAACTGCATACGTGTAGTGGCATGTAGTACAACGTAAAAAGTCTGGATGCCCGACAAAGAAGATTCCCCCGCCTACGTAAATTGTCTATACCCAAATTGTCTATACCCAATAACTCCAGGTTCCATTTTATTGGGCCCGTCCTTGAACGCCTTGGAATGTTAGACCCATGTGGTTCGATGGATGCGGAGAGTGAGATCTTTAGACCTAGTTAATACCCTTCTTAAGTATAATAGCTTGATTAAATGCCTCATGCCGATAAAAAGTTCTCTTCCAGTTACTGGATACTGACGGAGAATGCGAGTAGGTCCATGAGGTTGAAAGGTAAATCTATATCTTATGTAGTATAATGGTTTTGTCTTGCCTTACCTAAGCCCTTGCTTCGAGGGTAACATTATAGCAGGTTGACGTGGGTGTTCTGCCGGGAATGTTCCGAGGTCTAGTCTTTTATACTAGGTTAGGTACTTGATAGAATGGGTAAGGTAATATATATTTTATATATTTGCTGCGAGGCTCAAGATCCCCTTTTACTATGCATTAAAAGAGAGAGCTATCGACAACCTCGGGAGACCTATTAAAAGTAATTACATGATGGTTAAACAACTCATCTCCAAGCCCCTAGCTATCCCACCATACTCTAACTTAACAGTACCTCATACTATTATCTTTTAGTGTTTCCCGCTTCCTATCATATACAGGTCTTACAACCTTCTCTGTCCATCAAAGACTACCTGGTAATCTAGACAACACACTGTTGTTTGGGACTATCTACCTCAGCAAGAATATTCATTCACTATCAATCTTCTTCTTCACATCCCCAGCAAGCTAGGCTATGCAATGAAAAAAAAAAAGTAGGGTGTTCGGATCGCACGGTGATGCAGACAGCATCCTGGTTGTGGATCGAACTTCTCAAATCGCACGGTGATACCATCCAGTATCCTGTAAAGTGGATTGAGTAAATGGTGAACTCTAGGAGTTCTTTTCTTTTCTGTTTTTGGTTTCTGGTTGTTCCCTTTCTTTTTTTTCTCTTCTCTTCTTTTCCTTTTCCTTTTTGGTTTCTTCATCTTTTCTAGGTCTTTTTTTCTGTTTCATTCTGTATTTCTTTTAATATTTTTCTTTTAAAACTTTCCCCGCCCTTTTTTTCCCGCTCCCAGAATGAGGGATTGCCCGCCCACTTTTCTTTTCATGAATATAATTTTCTTTCGTTGATATGGAAGTGTGCCCGGTGGAGTATTGGAGGAGGTGGTGATGAAAAAGGATGGAAGCTGGGTGCCTGGTTAGGTGGATAAGAAGAGAGCAGGGTGGAAGATTGGCAAAATATGAATTTGGAAAGGCTGTTGGATAATAAAGGCTAGCTGGATGGTAGGATGATAAGGATAGAAAGAAGGCTTGGAAAATAGGCATCGGTATCAAAGTAGGAATGGTAGTTGTTTGGTAGGCAGGGTGGAATGGTAACAGAAGAGTAATATAAGAGAATGGCAAGACAGGATAATAGAAAATGGTCCAATGGATGGGTAGGGCGGAAGGAAGCCCGTTGGCAATATAGGAAGGGGTTTTGGCAGATGGATAGATGGATAAATGGTAAAACTGGAAAAGGCTTGACAGTTGGATAGGATAGAAAAGTGGGAGGAAGATGGAGTTGGACAAGTATGCATCAAAGGCATGGCTGGTTGGTTTGTTGGATGAGAGCTGATATACTGGAATGATGATTAGTAGAGAGAAGAGAGGAGAGAGGGAAAAGGCCCGGCAAGTGGGTGGGATAGCAAGTTAGAAGGATGGCAGGATAACGGAAGAGATAGAAAAAAGAAGAAAAAGAAGAGAGAAGAAAAGCCTGACAGGAAAAATAGTAGAATGGAAGGCGAAAAGAAAGTACATAAGAAAGTACAAAGGAGAAGGGGCAAAAAGGGGAAGGTCAAAACTCCATCGACCGACCACCGCGGCATCATGGGCCTGGCCGAAACCCCTCCGCCAAGTGACCTCAAGCTTGACGAAGACCAGCTATGTCCCACGCTGGAGACCCACCACAGACCCGAATGTTCCTCACCAGAGAGGGACTCCCACATCAGATATTAGTCTTATAGCAGGCCTACAAACCACGAACCGAGCGAGTTCTACAAACTACTAACGGAGCCAGGCTCGACGCTTTCATCCTCGTCCAGGGCAGGTGGTGCTGTCCCCCCTGTCCTATCGCGCATCGCGTGCCTCGTGCCTTGTAGGCAGGGAAGAAGAGAACCGTGAGGTTTTCAGCTGGGCCCCGCAGGCCGTGCTTGAGGCAGGGAAGGAGAAGAACAATCGCTCAAGAGAGATCAAGAGAGATAAATTCAACCCTGGGCCCCGCAAGCTCCCGAGGATATCCTAGTGGTCTCACACCCAGTCGCCCCGCGTTTCTGAGCTGGCTCTGGAACAAACATGGGAACACTTGAGCTTCTCTCCACCGTGGTGAACCACGGCGGGTCCAGGGACCGGCGATCAGTACTGCTTGGCTCTTTGCGGTGGTTTAGGAAGACTTTGTCAGAGAAGAATAGTAAAACAAAAGAAAATCCGGATGTCCTGGCCTCGATCGGGTTGTCGTATGTGCCTAAACCCATTTACCCTTCTCTCCCACCCTCTTTCTAGGCGTTTAGTAGTATCATCCATGGAGTCGTCGTAACTGTCGTGTGTGCCTAATTCCATTTACAACCTTCTTTCCCGCCCTCTTTCTAGGCAATTCATGTCATAATTCGTCGAGTCGTGCTGAAGTGAGCCTGGAAATGTTGGCCGGAATATTTGCTGAGAATCCCAGGGGTCGAGTATTGTCGAAATAGTCGCGTATATAACATTAAGCTTTGGTGTTTTGATGCTGAAGTTTGTCGAAAGTGTCCTGTAAAATAAAGTTGTTGAATTTGGGTCGTTTCCAGTTCATATTGATGTCGCATTTCCCCTTTAATCTCCCTGTCATTTCTGATGCCGCTGTTGAAGTTGTTCTTGAAACATGAGTAAGGTTGGGCTCAGGTAGAGATATGAGGTTTCAACCACAAATTCAAAAGAGGAATGGGAAAGTATTGTGTAGTTTAAGAGGATTGGTGCGATGGGAGGGGGCAAATGAGATTGAAGTGAATGAGTAATGAAGGTAATGTGGGCAAGTCATAGATGCAAGGTAGAAGGGCAGGTTGCAGCCTAAGGCGGCTTATGTAAAGTGGTGTATGTTTGAAGTGAAGTGAATAATCTTGTAGCGGTAGGAATGTCTGTTCAAGATGGTTGGGGAGGAAAAGTGTCGCAAGAAAACCGGCTTTGGAGGAATTATGAAAAAGTTGACTTACCAAATCCATCCGTCCATTTCCTCCTAGGCCTATTGAGTAAAGTTGTATGGTTAATATATCTGTCAATCTAGTATGTTGTAGTGGATAGGGGAAGGGTGTGTTATGTTAAGGTGTTTGGGGATTTGAGCGGAAGGTAAGGCGTTGAAGGAAGGGAAATTGTGTGATGGTTGGGGCATCAAGAGGGTAATGTTGGGTTAGGGTATGGGAAGGGAATGTGATGTGTAAAATATTATTATTTAGTGACATGCCTGTTGTAGTAGTGTTATGATTGTTGTTGTTGTTGTTGTTGTTGTTGTTGTTGTTGAAGTTGAAAAGTTGAAAAGTTGGAAGTGCAAAAATGACTGGGGGGAGGGGATGTTTATATATGAGTGGGAAAGGCGAGGCTGATTAGAATCAAAAATTGCAAGATCACAACTCTAATGGCAAGTTCAAAATTGTGCACAGGTAAAATCAGGTTCGTACCTTCTTTAAGTTTGATCTGTAGAGTGATTCAATGTATGTGACTGTACAGATGTCGCCCCTCGATTTGGAGTGATTTTGAGTGCCAATACAAATACATGTCACACCTGTATCAGTACAAGCAAACCTCATGAATTCCTACTAAAATATTAATTTGGCAGGTACAGTTCCTTCTAGAGGAGGCGCCTACTAGGTATTTCCTATACTTGATTTGTTGATGTAGCTGAATCCGAAGATAGTTGCCTACCTTAGCTACCTCAGGTACGATTAATATTTATTGTACATGCAATCAACGTACCTTCGAACCATAAGAAATTATTGATGCACGAGCATCTTTTTACCAATTTTGATTTCTTTTTAAATCAGCAGTGTGTACCTACGTACCACAGCAAAATCAATACAACTACAACTTGCACACTATGGATGTTGGATAGGAAGTACGTATTATGGAGATCAGAGATACGATACGATACGTACCAACCTGAAGGTTTCTTGACGTACGCTCGGTCATACAAAGGTACTAAGATCTAAGTTGTTGTAGTGATGTGTTGATCCAGGTGCTAAGTTTGAACTATAGTACGTATCCTTAAAGATCGCGTTGGATACGCGGTCAGTTGATTAAGCAATACAGTGAATTAACTTAAAAACGCAAAATACGTGTTTATTTATTATTTTTCGCCTGGCCCTCGAATATATTAGCGACTATGTAAATTATCCATGATTTAATTGTTAATATGCTTGCTGAATCAGTAAATATCTAAGGTCCGAAGTCGAAGAAAATCAACCCGTAAACGCCATAAGATACCGAACCATAAGTCACCTAGATACTATAGAGTATTCAAACTGAGTATAATTGCATTAATTATTGCCAAGCGAGTTTTTCCTTTTCTTAAGGCGCATGTGTTATTAAATATTCTATCTTGAAGATCATGGATTTTGCGTTTTAAGGCTTTAAATAGTACATCGTTTAAAATTCCAAACGAAATAATTATATAGACCATAATATTGTATCCAAATCAAATCGATTTTACTATTTCTGGATTATCTATCGGACAGTCTTCTCTGTTGAAGTTGGCGTGACGTTGATTCAGGGGGTTGTTGCTGACTCAGCAGATCGACAACTTACTATGTACATAGGTACCTACATGTACGTACCTAAGGTACATGTATGGAAATGCATCTCTTGAAAGTTTGTCCATTTATTAAAGTACTTTGCCACCTGCAGCCCTGGCAGCTTTGGCAGCTTTGACAGCTTTGGATGACATGGCTACCTCCTAATTGCAACTCTAATATAGGTACAAACTTAACATCATCATAACGTTAAGGGCCGACCCGTGCGGAAGCTTTTCTAATAGGACCACTTTAGCGTTATAGTTTAGGACCGTTTGACTTATTCTAATTACTTCCGCATGCTGTAACTATTAATCGGAGGTGGCAAGGAGTTCACTGGCAAAATATAAATTGTGTATATTCTACTACCCAAACAATCCCATTATAGGGAAACAATGTCTGCCAAAATGATCTCTATCTAGGTCCTAGGAATACTTCGTTAAAGATACAAGCTAGGTATTCGAACACGGGCATTGAACATTTTCTTTATTCTAACAGTCAGTGTCGAATATTAGAGCGCTACAGCCCCAAAATCCCTATGATCGATTTTGTATATTAGGAAGCAGACCATTGTAGCCAAAGGCATTCTATTTATGACTCTCGAGACTTATTTTGTCCTGTAGATCAAAACTCATACATAAAATTCTCACCAAACGCAATCTCCCCTTTGAAAATCATGAATAAAAGGAACTCACCAAGACCCAGGAGGTTCCCGAGCGTAAAGGCGAGGCAGCAGAGAAGACGGCCTGCGCCGCCAACACCGGAATGGATAGAATCAGCGAGAAAGCGAAGAGCATCGGAAGATGGAGGTTTAGAACAACCAGCACCAGTCAAACAGAAAACAAGCCCGGCAGTACCAACACCACCAGTAGTGCCACCAGTACCAGAGCCGGAGCCGGAGCCAGAGCCGGAGCCAGAGCCAGAGCTGGAGCCAGAGCAAAGGCCAAAGACAGGGCAAGGGCTGCCGGACTGGGGATGGATAGATCCGTTATTATTTGGAAAGACCACAAACGAGGAGCCAGCAGTAGTGAATCCTCCTGTGACGTCTTCGGAGACATCGTCGGGACAAAACCGAGGAATGGTGATCCCAGAAGATGTACTGGCGGAGGTGGTTAAAGGAGTGCAAGGCTATGGAACCCCAGCAGGGCCGATAAAGAGGGCGGAAGAGCAGGTCCAACAAGAAGAAGATGATAGCCAATTACCTCCGTTGGCTGACTGTAAGTAATTTATTCCCCGTTTTCCTACCGACTTGTCTGCATCTATAAATCGACGATAGACGAGCCCTTTAATCTTTCACCTAGAGAAGTAATTGCTAACTCTTGTTCAGTTTTATATCGATTTGGATTGGGATTCGCTGTGGTAAGAAACTATGTGGAAAGGGGCCTCTGCGGCGTGCAGGCATTAGTTGATAGTCTAATTTGCCAAGATATCCTCCCTCCCGGGGTTCGGGTTCCGAGAATCCATGATCTATTAGACATATATCGGCAAAATGCAAGTAGAGGCTTATATGATGTCTCATTTTCGGTCACCCCAGAAGACCGAGACATGCCGGGGCCGTTTCAAGCGGAGATATTATCGCATGTTATAAGCGAATGGAGCCGCCTTCACAGCAGCCCACCATTTCTGCCATATGAGGAGAGCGAAGAGAATCGGCTTCGACGACGGGTTCCGCCCCTAGTAGCTGGTTTTTACAGCGAAGGCCAAAGGCCGTTTGCGATGCAGATAACTGAGCCCGGAACTCGAATTGTTTGGATTCACAACTCTGGCGATCACTGGGAAGGTATTAGGCCAGGTTTTAATCAAGCGGCCATCAATGAGATATTTAGAAATTACGGCCATGAATTATTCCAGAGGGAAACCGCACCACAATGGTTCATCGACATAGTTCAACGGAGACAAGAGCGAGGACGGGAGCTGGGACATCTATTTCCAAAACATCGACCAACTGCAGAGGAAAGCCGATTTGCAGAGGAACAGCTCGGATTATTCGGTGCGTCACCACCACCACCACCCGCGCGAACCCTGCCGGCTACAGCATCTGCGGCATTGGACAGATTGGAAAGGTTGTACCGGGCAAGACGGGCAAGGTATGGACACAGAAGATAAATCCCGATATCTTAGTAAATAGACAAAGACGTAGTCGATATATATTCAATGGATTACGCTTTAATTAGCGGCAGCGAATAAAAATATTACAACTCTTTCTTCGACTCCTCTCCTCGATGCAACCACAAGCGCGACTTATCCTCCACTCCTTCACAACACGCCCCGTTCAAACCACCACGTCTAAGCTCTCTGACCGCCAGGACTCCCCGTGACTTACTTCTGGCAGTTACCGACGGTGTGCGTGACACTCAGGCAAGTCGAGCAGTCGTATCCGTAGATAGACAGGTCCTTGCAGTAGGTGTCATCCGGGCAAGACTGGCTAGGGCAGCTCTTCTCCTGGCGCGCGTCGAGGGGGCTCGGCTGGCGCGGCTTAGAGGTCTGCTCGATGGCCTTGGATTTGGCGAGCTTGGCCTCGGCGAGGACGTCCGCGCTGGGGTCCTTTCCGACTGTGCCCTTGTCGTCGAGCTTCGCGTAGTCCACCACGTTGAAGTTCTTGTCGAAGGCGCGCACGACGTTGTCAGAGCCCACGTGCACGAAGCCGGCGCCTGATACGTCGCGCTTCAGGTTGGGGAGCACGTCGCTGACGGATCGAAGCTTTGGCTTAGTATTAGTCTTGATGCTCTATGCACACCTTAGGGGCATGATTTTTTTAGTCATACCTGGTTGGACGATGGGACAGCGGCAACGAGGCCAGCAGCCATGAAACCGAACGCAATGGAGAACTTCATTGTGATGGAAGGATTTGGTTTGGTGTTTGAACCGAGGGTATATCTGAAGTCTTAAGGAGTTGGTTGAGATTGCAACAGAGATGTTCTTGCTGATGACATTGAGACCAAGAAACCAAGATTCTTAGCCTTTGCTTTATAGCAACAACCCCTTAGTTGATCGACAGTTCCTTTTTCCATTTTACTCAACACCTGCCAGCGCAATTTCACAGGCATCGCGATCAACAGAGCGTGTGCTCCTGGCCGGGGCGAACCACACAGTAGGAACCACGAGTGTGGCGCCGTGAACCCTTCGTAGGGCTGGATATACTCGGCGGTGTGGCGTGGCGGTAAGCCTATGACAAGGTCCCAGCACACCAGCCTATTGGCGAGAATAACGACCGGGCTCGTAATAGAAGACCCGATAGAAGCACGACCCCTTCCTGCGGAATTTGCATCCAATCAAAACTCGTATTTGACTGAAATACGGTACCGCTACTAGTACTACGATCATCGGTGCTCATAATATCTATTCACAGGGCTATGCTAGAGGGATATGGTGTCTTATAAGTCATTAATTATCATTGATACTAGAATACGACGACCAATAAGAGACTACAAGGGGGTCTAATTGCACTGGAAACCATGTTGATCTAATTAGAAACTGGATGACTAGAGCGTATAGTTGACCAATATCATAGTCTTTCATGTATTGAAAAGGCTATTCCAATTGCCTAAAGTCTTTGCGAGACTAGATGCTCCTAAGTATACAAAATACTGTATAACTACTAGTAGTTAACTGGAAGTTATACAATATCAATGGATGCTACAATTAGAACCCCTTTCCATAATTAGCAGTTATCCCAAATAGCGACATAATATCTACCTAAGGTAGGTACTCATTTATAACATTAAGGTATATTGTTACTTCGAATTTGAATACGGCCAGATAGTGAACACAACCCAACTCCTAATATGATACAAACAATCATTCACGAAAAGGAAGTTTCGTAGCATGTGGGCAATTGCGGCGATAAGAATCAACAGATCTTAGGCAGCATGCATCATCTAGAATCTATCGGATATTTCCTATACTAAATTAAATAAAGGACGCATAATGTGATTAGACTTTACGAAAACAACAAAAAGGCCATGATGTAAAAGTAACATGCACAAACCAACTTGCAGGAAATTGAGTGTGTGCCCTTAGAAGTCTTTAGTCTTTGATATGCTGCTTGTCTAATATACTTGCAGATCTTGTTTAGAGCTTTGAGTATGCTGCAGGTGAAAATCTGAGATTGCCTAGACACACAGAAAGCAACGTGAACACTCAACAAACATGAGCAAAAGGGATCAATCAGTAGGTTTCAAGAAGCTCTGAAAGAGGAAACGCAAATAATGAAATAGCTAGAAGCAATGAGAACATAGTGCTTCTATGCCACCAAGGAATATACATATAGGCCAACCCTACCGACCTCATCTCATACAGCTTGGCTTTCCAACTCACAACAAATCGCCTCCTTGAGTAGCAACATTGCGAAGACCATCTACTAAACATCACACACTTAATTCCTTCAGTCACGATGTCGGACCCCAACAAACCAACCCCTCCCACAACCTCGGGCTCTTCCGTGGGCACAAAGGGCCTCTTCGAGCACTGGTACGCGACCCACGGCCCGGGCACTTCTCTGAAGTCTGATACTCAATCCCCGGGCCCAGCAAACCCTCCCACCACGGACAACACGCCAGAGAAGCCCTCCAAAGACTCTTCATCCACCCCCCAGGCGCAGACCCCACGTCCCCCGCGGACGTCCTCGGGCTCGCCCCCCGACGGCAGCCCGGACCTAGCCAGTCCCACGCCGACAGCACCAACCCGGTTCGCGAAGCCAGCCGCATCTCCGGGCGCCAGCCAGTGGCGGAGCACGCTCCCCAGCAACCCCGGCACGCCGCGGCTGTCCTTCGACGACCGCCAGCGGCAAGACCCGACCGGCCCGCCCGCCAGCGCGAAAGCCGGAGGACCGCCGCCCAGGACCCGGGGCGCAGGCCGCGCCAAGACCCTGTTCCCGGAAGACGTCCCGGCGACGTATGCAGCTCCGTGCGAGACCCCGCCGATAACGGGGTATTGGGTGACGCCCGAGGGCTCCCGCGTCGACGACAGGGACCTGGTGGATGGCATTGATACTCCGCTGGGGGCGGAGTGGCGGGCGTATGCGCCGGAATTGCGGCCGTGGCCGGTGGGCGAGTCTGATGATGAGGATGGGGATGAGGGCGAGGAGGAGGAGGATGAAAAGAAGATGAATGAGAATAAGGGAAAGTAGATCGGATGAGATAGGAAGATTGTAGCTTGGGAAGGGAAAGGAGCCTGCTTTGAGTAAGCTTTGGGGATTGATGATTGTCTACTTGACAACAGCATAAGGACGTAAGAACGGACCGCTCGTTTAACTAAAACTCTCAAGGATAGACACAGGAAATGGTGGGAAGGGATAGATTAGGTTAGCATTCGCATTGCCTGAATATTCGCGTTCGTTATTGTGCTGTGTTTGCTATATTTGAGTTCTGAACAGTGAATAGTTGTGGCAATTCTATTTACATTTCCGTATTCGGTAGAATATTGATTTGATGTGTACAAGGGGAAATGAGAGGCTTGATTGGCTTCAAGAATCCATATTGTATACTCTCAATTATTATGGTGCTTCTAGTATGAATAGGGGTCATAGCAAATGTCCCGATTAAAGGCCAAATCTAAGTAAATTTATATAACAGGTAGCAAAGCAGTAAACAAGTATACACAATTCCAAACCAAAATCTTTTTTTTTTATGATTCTTTTTTTTATAATTCATTCGCCAAGATCACCCCCTACACTTTGCACAAGTTACTTTATTTTAGAACCAATTACGACTGCGTCAACTTTTACAAATAAAACACCGTAATTCATAATTAATCTGCAATTGCCTGCGTACCTAGGTACCTAACCCTCTCGATCCCCGAGGTAACCACGCCTCTCCTGCTCTAATTAACTAACTGCCTTACTCGGCGCAGATATGGTTCCAACCACCAACCATAGCCTCATCGTTCGCGACGAAACCCTCGGGTTGCAGCCTATACGCGATCGTGTCAGCCTATATATATATATATAGAGAGAGAGAGAGAGAGAGAGAGAGAGAGAGATCAAAACTTACAGCTCATCGAAACAAGTGCAATACGAGCCAATATTGCTCCCCTCGCCAGCGTAGTTGACGAAGAAGCTGCCAGAGCCGACGCTCCCGGCATTATTGCAGTAGTACTGGCACTTGAACTGGGCATAAGCGAAGCCGGACTCGACCGGCTCGGGGACACCAAAGGTCTGTCCGCATATTATCGTTAGCCACATTCTCTTAGATCTGCCCCCCCTTTCCTTCATATCATAGTAACATAACACTGGTGTACTCACGTAAGTGCCGATGACGTGGCTCCTGGACCACGCCTCCTCGGGCTGGTATCCGTTCTGGAACGCCACTGTCGGCACGGCTGGGGCGTAGTTGATAGTGTACCCGGCCGTCACGACGGGAGCGCCCGTTGTGCAGGGAGCTGCCGCGGGAGTAGGAGCTGGGGCCTGAGTGGCAGGGAACGCGAGTCCTGCCGCAGCAACTGCCATGATCGACAGCACGGTTCGTAAAGTGAAGCTTCCCATCTTAACTAATTTGGGTTTACTAAGGTATGAGTTATGGGAGATTGCCGAATGCTTAGGAATTCCTAGGAAAGTAGAAGCTTAGAGAGCCTCTAGGTCATATTATAAGTAGATCTGGGTCGACACTAGGAGAGTGAATAGGTAGAACGAAGACGCGTGAGTTGGTGATAGATATTAAACCAAGTGAGTTTGTATGTTTCTAAAATTGGGACTTATCGTATGACGGAGATGACAAGAGATGATAGTCTGATGTCGAAGTCCCTCGGTCAGGAACAGGGGTGAGAAGGTCGGCACTGCGAAGTAGTACCTGCTACTTGTAATCGAAGATATAAAAAAAAAGGGACTTTTTCGGCCCTGGGCGAGGGCAATCAATGTAAGGCACACAAACGGCAAACGGGCACTAACTAATAAGGAAAGTTGCAGGCACCTTCCCCTGTTTCCACTCACATTAAACTCCGTGGCACCTTCTCGATTCATTTATATCGATTGATTTGATTTGACTTGGGGGAAGGCTTGGGGGAAGGCTGCATGACATAACGTCCTAAAATCTGTCGATCATTCTTCATCGAGGAAGTCAGACCATTACACTACGGCCAGTACGGCAACAACCATCTCTAGAACCAACTAGAATGACGAATATAATAAAACCTTTGCATCTTCCGAACGGCAATTTCTGGTGTCTCGAACCCCTAAACCTGCAAACTGCAAGTATCACGTCAATTACGCATCAACGTCCCCTCACAAATAGGCAAAATGCAACCTGCGGTAATATAGGATAAAGATTATTGGACTAGGTCCCCGCGTCTGATTGGAACGTGAGGAAATACTCCGGCGCACTCTGAGCATCTGGGTTGGTGGCTTTATAAAAAAAATGTTACGCCCTAAGCATGATCGACAACCTACCGACTCGCTATTGGGTCGTGACTCTGACGCTAGGAAACGCATGGGAGAGCATTGAAATCGGAAGCTACCCAAAAAAGACGGTCCAGATTCGACTAATATGAACCGTTATCCTGTCGATCATTCTAGAAGTTGAGTAATAGAGTCGCAGGTAATATAAGGCAGCTTAACCGAACCAACTACCCTCGAGACATCGATGTTCGAGAACAGAGATGGATGTGCTTTATTACCTTATTACTAACTGAGCATGATTGCATTGGGGAGATAAGGGACGACTCGTGAGATAATGGCTTCGTCGAGGCCCTTGGTATCGTGGAAAAAAGGTAGGTTATGTGACATTACCTAGCTGTAACCTTATCAATATAGAAACAAACGTCAACCATGTTAGGTATCCATACTCCATTAATACAGACCGGCTTATTGTACCTCGTCGACTTCGTGGTCTGTAACATTACAACATTCGACATTGCTAAGGGGTGCTATGTCAAGTAAACTGGTGTAAGTTACCAGATCGACCGTCCTTATGTTATTGGTGGCGAGACCCATTACATACACATAGAACCGCCAGTGCCGTGTAGTTATACATTCGTAATCATGCTTTGAACGTTTTCCTCCCTTCGCATAAACCCGATGTCAACTTGGTGAGAGCCACCCATGTAGGGGAATACTTGAGTCCTTCGTCATAGGCAGGTATCGTACCGGGGGTGTTCACATCGTCCCAACTGCAGAGAATACTACCATCGATTCCAGTGCTTGCAGCCAAATCAGCTTCCCATTGAACATCAACCTTCCATGGTGTACTCCAATCTCGGCGATAGAGTTTGATCTTAGTGAGACCCGCTTCCGGTATAGCACCAAAGCGCTCGTGGGGTTGGTTGCCATTGACTGTAAACGAGGAAATAGGCTTGTCAAACGCAATAGCGCACGACCTACTATCTCTTGCATCAATCTCAAATATGGCCTTGGTCTCACCTTTTGCACGCGTGACATTGAAATCCAACCAGCTGCTAAAGCCTTTCTGTGGGGGGATTCCACCGGGCAATGCCTTAACTACGTTAGGCGGGACGTCCGAACCGTCATAAGAGCAGGTAGCTAAGCCATTACGTAGACTCACTTTCGAAGTACACTCAACTTCTTTACCGGCGGCAGACGGTAGTTCGGCAATCGTCTGTTGGACGTATTCTTGCAGGCCAGCATAATGGACCTTGGTCACACCAGTATCAAGGTCCACGGTTTGCTGGAAATAAATCTTGTATCTGTTATTTTCAGAGAAAGGGGGGGCTGCTAGGTTGTAAACTAGTGTAGCAATGAATACCCCGAGGAGTACCATCGGTACGTGGTGAGTGACCCGGTGCGTGAATGGAGTAATGGGCAATAATAGAAACATGCTGAAGAATGCCGTCATAAGGTATGGGACTAGGAGGCTTGATCCATCAGCACCCGTTTGGGAAACAGAGGCCACCAGTGTCAGGCCATGTTGGCCGATGAGAATGATCAAGAACGGCCCTAGGATGAGGAATTGAAGGACCCAAAGCCAGCTTGGGAGATTTGCTGACCATTGTTGTTCATATTCATATGGTTGGTTTTCGTCGCTCTCGCTTGATCTCGCTTTATTTATGATAGCCGATATTGAACGACGGTATGTAGTAGCAAACGTCGTCCGCCGAGTGCCCGCAGGGGTACCACCAACGAGAGGAGTTGTCTCTGTTGCCGGGGATTGAGATTCAACTTCTTCATCCTCGTTGTCGTTAGAATTAAACTCATCTCGACTTGGAGAGATTAAAGCGTCGGCATGTGGAACATTAATAAGATGGTCTCTGATTTCGTGCTCGTCGTGTACTCGCTGCGCAAACGACGCCTTCGTGGGCAGGGCAAACAGTTCGCAAAGCGCGACAAAAGAGGAAAGAAACACAGCAGAATGGAAGAAGACGAACACGTATCCAGCTGCGATTCTAAAGCGATCTTCAAAAACGGTATTCGCGACTGAAATACCCCATGCGATGAGGAATAGCCAGAATATGGAGTATCCCCGGTGAAGGGCGCTAGGTCGAGCGAAATTGGCCCCTGCCATAATGGTCCAAAAGGCGAAATAAAAAAGCGATACCATCATTGCCCAACTATAATCATGTCAGCACCTCCCAGAATAATAATCGTTTAAAACCTACACAGTATATTCGCTGCTGTATATAATCATCGGGTTGATCTTTGTGATTAGGTATGCGGAACCGGTAACTAACGCACCAGCAACGCCCAGAGCAAAAGGAAACCTGAATAGCCCTTTTCGACCACCTAGCAGAACCGGATCAAGGTCGGATCCTTCATAAGCAGATCGCCTTGCCGAGAAAAAATAATACTTGTCGTTACGCACTAAGATGTACGTTAAGCCAAGGAGTATTAGGGGGGTGGCTATTAGTAGGGTCAGAGACCACGCAAACAAAGTCCGCAATTCGAAAACAGCAAACGTCTGTCCGAATATATCGAACCAGACGCCATCATTTCCTCTACCATTCCACGCTTTCTTTCGATCGCCATCGGGACGGTCTCCGATGAATGTGTCGCCAGTATCTCCAGAGAGGCTTTGCATCGTGTGCAGGGAGCTGCTGAGCATGTGCCAGAGACTAGCCCTCGATGCGTGCTTGGCATCGTCTTGGTTCGTATGATACCTGGCACGAGGTCGGTAAAAAGCCATGTCTAATCCTCTTAACCCAAAAACCCCGTCGAAGACTATATAGTCGGTGTTACTTTTTATAGCACCAAGGCCGAACGCATCAGATGAGATTACAGTCCCGAATGGGTTCTTGGTGCCCCTATAGGCATTGGTTACTTCAGCGTCAGTCGTGCGGAATAAATTAGCCCGACCACCAGCACCGGCGCCCTCGAGATTTAAGAATGTGTGGCAGAAAGGCAGAAGAGGACTATTGATGAAGGCTTGAGCGCCCCATAGGCCATCCTCCTCGTTGTTGTTGAACAGGGCAACGATACCTCTCTGGGGTCGATTTTCCGGTCGTGAAAAGTAGTCGACCAGTGCTATTAAAGTAACACAGCCCATTCCGTCATCCGTAGCACCATATCCAGAGGAAACGCTATGCTGATGTTAGCTTAACACTATGCGGTATCTGACAAGACGTACGAGTCGTAGTGAGCATTCATCAGGACGCCTCCCTTTCCTATAACCTTGTCCGACGATATAGTGCCATCCTCCCACCACAGACCTTGCGGATCATCTTTGCCTCGAATGTATACTATAACATTTGTACCTTCGAAGTAGGTGCCGGTGGAACTTGACGCTCCAAATACGATATTGGCTGTAGTGATATTTGAAATGTTGTCTGCGAATACAACCATGCTCGAATCATTTGCCCCATTGCGCCTTTTAATGTCATCTAATTCTAGTAAGAGCCAATCGTGAATCTCATCATTCTTCTGGCTGTTGAATGGGTGGTAGTCGCGAGACAAGACGGTTAAATCAAGCCAGGATTTGGTGAGGTTGAGACCGGAGTAGAGTGTCGGATTGCTCGGAGGGGACGGGACGGTTTCATGGACGATGAGTAACGGAACGAGCAGAGCGACGTAAGCGATCGTGGTCCAGAATGTTACAGCGAATGGTTTGAAGGCGACCGGGTTCGATACAGCCATGATTGGCTGAGTTGGCTGAGTTGGCAGGCTCTGCCGGTTCACCTACAGGATGAAATACTGCCAAAACTATAAGGCTGCAGGAAAAGAAACAATCAAGGACCAGTGAAGAGGGTCAGACAAGCTCTAGGTGGGGATGATAAACATCCCAAGAGACGCAGACACGAAAGTAGTAGGGCACATATACTGAGGCACAGTACAGAGGATGACGGATATATTAATTTGTAGGTTGGTGCATGCGAAGATATATTGATGTTATTGATGTTTATGTTTGGGGGGAATTTGACTGTTCATCGACTTGTCATTGACGTTTTATAAATTACTCCATTCTTAAGTCGCAATTGCCTTAAACGTCGTCGACTCAAATGCATGATCTGGAAGTAAAAGTCCGTTGTGGAGTTGGAGAGAAGGTTGGTATGTAGAAGTTGCAGGTTACGACATTAGAGCAATTGTCAAAGCAACTAGGTTAGAGGGAAGAGTGGCCCAAGCTCCTAGCATACAATCGAGAAAAATGGGTACTACATATGTACCTACATATGTCCACGGGAAAGGTAAAGCTGTACGACACGAGATCCCTGTTAGTGTTCTGCATAAGTGCACATACCTAGGCGGCATAAATACGGCATCTATTAATGTCGGGGGCATATAAATCGTCACTTTGATCAAAATTTACACATGGTAAACATAAAAAAAAAAACCCTCATTGCTGTCTACGGATTAGTCCTATAATACATGTGCGCAACCACCCTACCCACGATGACTATAATCGCAAGTTTATATTCCTCAAATCTGCGTGAGACGTGGAAAGGCACTAGTCTGAAATGATGCGTACGGAACGGTTAGTACTAAAATCAGAAAATACCGCGTAACAACAAAATCGTTAGCAGTACAAGGCAAATTGAGCTGGATACAGTGTACCAAGGTCAAGCAAGTTAGTATCGGTACGACAGGTTGTTCTGTATGCTTCCCACGCTCAAGCACCAGGAGGAGGTGGCGGCGGCTGATCACCGGGAGGTGGCGGAGGAGCATCACCACTAGGCGGCGGAGGGGGAGGTGCCGCTCCGTTGGAATATTGCTGGATTAGAGCATTAATGTTTCCTGGTGGTAGTCCAGGCGGAGCACCGAGAGAACCTCCCGGAGGAGCAAGACCAGGAGGAGGTCCCATACCAGGAGCTGCACCATAGCCTGAATAGCCGGGATAGCTGGGGTACTGAGGCTGCCCGCTTGAGGCTTGATGCCAAGGCGCAGCTGCTCCGGGGGCTGAACCACTGTTATAGTTCTGACCTTGACCACCGTAGTAATCACCTCCGTGGTTGTCATTGCCACGATGGCGGTCGCGCCAGGGAGCAGAGCCACCGCCTCCACTTTCGTTGTTCTGATCGTTGTTGCGAGAACGCCATGGAGCAGCAGCGCCTGTCGGACCTCGTTGCCAAGGCTTTGCGTCACCACCACTATTGCCGTTGTTATAAGAACCAGGTGCTGCTTCGATACGAGCTGGAGTTCCGCTGGAGCCACCTCCAAGTTCTTCAAGGAATTGCTAAAGATCCAGTTAGATAACATCCGGCAATTTGTTTGTAATAAAAGCATACCTCGTATTCACGATCGACGGCATCTCCACTGCCTATGCGACCAGCAGCAGCACGAGGAGGACCGTCGTTACGCCAACTAGCACCTTTCTGTCTATCAGGACAATCTCGAGCCATGTGACCGGCGTTGCCACAGACGCGGCAAATGATGTTGGCCGTGAAGTTCTGCTTCTCGGGACAATCGTACTTCCGGTGGCCAATTTGACCACAGTTTTGACAGGCCTGATTTTCATCATCACGCAGAGTACCATTCAACGTGGCCAGTTCTCGAAGCTGGTTTCTCTTGAGTTCGTTTTGTCCCTCAGGAATTGACGCAGCCTTATATGATGTTAGTATATAAACATTTAGACATATAGAGCTTATAGGAAACTTACGGTTTCGATGACATTGTGGATTAACTTTTTGGCCTTGTTAACTTTTTCCTCGGTGTCTGCCATGATCAAACAATGGAGATCTTCCTCCTGGTTGCTGGCGTGGGCAGCATCAGATCGGCCTTTGCCTTCTTTGACGGAGCCTTTTCCGCGGATGGCAATTTTGGCACCTGATTCTGATTCCATCTTCTTCAATGTGTTGCCACGAGGACCGATAAGTAAACCAACTTTAGTAAGAAGACCTAAGTGTTAGTATTTGTAGCAAGACGGTTAGAACAAGAGTACGAGCTGGATGAGGCCAATATGTGGCAAGTCATCCATCGAGATATAACGGTATTCCAGGCGATATCCCGAACAAGAAGGGGCAAGAACATGGTTAGAAAGGTTAGAGGGTTAGCAATCTCACTGAAGTTAATCTCTGGATAGTCATTGACGGGCACGTAGACCTTCTCTTGGGTCTTGGTAGGGCGGCGGTAATCCTGGGGTGGGTGATAGTTAGGAATGGTCTTCATAGCCTTCTCAACAAGCTTGTGTCTCTCATCTTCGAGACGTTTTCGGTAACGGTATTCTCTAGTGTTAACACGGCGACCGTGGTTATCGTATTGCGGCGGGGGAGATGGGGATCTACATGAACGTTAGTTAGAATTGCGCCGGCGATAAAATACTAGAAGACATAGGGCAAGACATACCTATCGCCATCAGCAGGGACGACATCGTTAATGCGCAGCTTCTGGCTAATCTCCTCGATTCGAAGGTGTAGAGTGTAGGCTTCTAGTTGCTCGCTAGTCATGTTGGCTACGATAGCCGTGGGAAGACCCATAAGCCCGGCAGCTTTGTTCTCGGATGCATCACCCCATCGATTTCTCTTCTTTCGGCGTCGAGGGCCATCGGCATCAGTTCCTAAAAGATCCGTCATTGGCTCCTACTCTATAATGAATAATATAGTATATCGTGGATGACTTACTTGGCTCGGGGCTGCGACCGCGCTTCAAGTCGCGGTCCCCATTGGAAGGGCTGAAGCTATCGCTTCCATTTTCGCGTTGTTCGGTCGCATCGTCTAATTCGCCTCCAAATCGTCGACTCTTGCCGAGAGGGATGTTGTTGGATCCCGTAATCCCTTGGTTTCTCCACGACATATTTGTGAATTTGCGCGTTGAGGAGAAGAGATGTCTAAGGAAAATGAGTTGAAGAAACTAAGTTACCTTCAAGGATCGTTGTTGAGTGGAATTATTTTGAGGCGACTTTTCCAGGCGCCACGCTTATGTAAACGTATTTTTACCTAAACCAGAGTGGAGCAAGACGGGAGCGACGTTCGAGCCACAATGTTAGTCATGATTGGATCAAAAAGGTACCTAGGTACGGATCCGTACGTAATCCAGTCACCCAATCTGTGCCTGATAGGTACCTATATCACTTAGACCATCTTAGGAATATAGAGTACAACTACCTTCGTACTAATTAAATGTACCTAAGCTGCTAAGGTAGCATAGCTACTGTTCTTTCTATGGATTATTATACGATATCCCTCTTGGCTACCTACGCTTTGTACAGCAAGCTTGTGGAAGATTCAAGATAAAGCCGCTACTTTGCCTCCGCCTTCATTGATGACTGAACCCAGTCTCTCAACGGAGCAGCCTGTTTTTCCATCTCCTCATTAGAGGTGGCCTTGAGTTTTTCGTAGACATGCTGGGACGGCACATGGCGACCCTTTTCGACGCCCGGACGCTTTAGCATCCGCTCGACCCATTCGTGTAATACCGGGAACTCATCCATGTCAATTCCAGCCCATTCTTCACGTGTAAGAGTTAGTTCATTTCTTGCGAAGTTCATCATAGCGATACGTACTTGCTGCTGCGACCCATCCCCAGCACGAGATGTCCGCGTTCGTACATCGGTCACCGACCAAGTAGCCAGACGTCGATGATTTCAGCTGTATTTCGAGTGTCCGATAGAGGCGGCGAGTTTCGTTCTTGTACCGGTTGATGCCGTACTCAATCTTCTCCGGGGCATAACCTATTCATATTATATTAGGACATAAATCACTCAAGGTCAGAATCTAACATACGGTTGAAATGGTTCAGTTGTCTACTCAAATGTTAGTATTCCCCCACCAAATGCTCCCAGTATGTAGCGACTTTTACTTACCCTTGCATCGGACCAAGACCTCCCATTTGCCACATGAGCTAAGCTAGGTGAGCAGTTGGAGCGTGGATGATATCTAAATGTGTCCAGCTTACCCAGCTATTCACTTCATAGTACTCCCTAGATCCCTTCGGATATGAGACCTTATGCTCCGTATCGTATCTATCCGTCAGATACTGCATGATAGAACCGCTTTCAAACAACCTGATAGGCTTGCCATCGGTGAAAGTATCCGTGAGTGCTGGAATACGGCCATTTGGGTTAATCTCCAGGAACCAGGGCTCCTTCTGCACATTCGTGCTAATATCGATCTTGGTGACCTATCCCATTAATTAGACACAGATATCTACCGGTTCAACTTTTTAAAGGGGCAAGGATAAGTTCGCACCTTATAAGGTAGCCCTAACTCCTCCAGCAGGATCGACACCTTGACACCATTAGGCGTCTGAGCTGTGTACAGATGGATGTCAGACATATTACGCAAAAACTTTGTTGCAATTTGTTTCAGTCTTTTTGTCATCCGACTCCGGGTTTAGTAGTCTACGTATGATCAATGCCAAGGTAGGCGAAAAGCAACCTTATTTATATCAAGGCAAGCTGGTAAGATAGTAAAGCCGATTAGCAATCAAGGTCACAATGACGTACTAAAAAACACATTAGGTATATATGCCGGATTAATAATATTTATACGGTGGTTATTCCTACACTACCACGTAGGGTAACGGCATCATGAACATCAGCTAGTTGCATTACTTCCCCGCTTTCTATGGTCCGAACGGCTTGTGCTGGCAATCCACATCGCTCCAATCTGACTTAGCAATCGGCCGCCCCTATCGGTGTATTACAAAGTCGCCGGAATAGCCGGGTCGAACACGGCTTTCTAACGGATATATTCATGCATATCATATTTCTTACATCACATTGCACTAAATACTAATCGACTACCGCTCGGAAGATAAAACCAACATCAACCTGATCATAACTCCGACTTTAAAACACCGAGACTGACTCAATGTACGGCGTATTAATAAAATGACGGATATTCAATTCGCTCGTAATCCTATAAACTTGTGATTTATCCTTTAACGGTAAAATTGAAAAGGGAGGAGTATATCGTTATTATGAATCTTGTTTTCTCCCTAGTTTAGCAACATCTCCAAATGGATTGACGATATATACGTGCCTACCTAGGGTATCAAGACCTATATCTGGCATGAAGGTTTGTACGATGAGCAGAAAGGGGCGAGTGGGTATATAGGTACCTAAAGCTTCGCAGGTAAGGTATAATAAGTCATCGACTGTTGTATTAATGTATAAAGTATTGCTCCAAGCCTCATAGAGCAGAGGAAGTGCACTGGGCTCATAACCCAGAGGTCCTCCGATCGAAATATAATTATATCATACTTTTATTATAATACTATTTATTGGCAATGGGCTGTGATTCTTATGGTGAACTGTCTACTATGTTCAATCCAAAGACTTCGGAGGATACGTCGCCATTTTTATATAAGCACATACGAGCAAAGTGCTTTTAAAGCTTCCACAAATCTGGTAAGCTGAAATTTATTGCGATTATTCAAGGTATACGTATATACCTATTAACAGATGTTGATTAGACAAATGAATAGAGAATATAATATGTTTTACTCCCTGAGGAGAGATGAAGTCGTCCTTGTAATGCATGCGGTATATGGGTAGGGGTTTTCGCCAGCTAAGTGCTATTTTTTTTTCAACTTGCAGCCCAGAATGAAATTGGCTTGTTATATTGTAACGGGAAGAATCTATAAAGGAGGATGAGCATGTTTTAGGGATGAACTTGCTTTATTTTATAATTCACTGTTGTTATCCAATGGTTTTAGGTTAGGTAGGTAGTTTTGAGTACCTTCGGGTGGTATTGGTTGGCGATGATTTCTAGGGGAAATAGACTGTTAGCATTATTAAATGCGCTTTCGTTAATTCAAATGTTTGACCTTATGAAAAGGAAAGGTGGTAAACCTCACACTTATTTTCATGCACGATACACTGACCTCGACAATAACAATTATTCATGCACCTTGTTAAGAACCTTAGGTACTCAGGCACGTCACCAACCTCGACGTCGACAAACTTCTTGCATACCCAACCCCACATTTATCTGGTTTCCATAGTATCTGACTCCCATAGGTACATACTACCTTACTCAGTTACTCTCGTATTTATCTCGAGGGGTTTGCATCTCATTTTCTTTGGTCGGGTTTCTACTCAACTGTGTCTCCTCTAGTACAGAAAATAATAACTAGGAATCCCTTTGAGCTACCATTCTCACAAGGTGCAACTATGGAGGCTGCTAGCAAATCTCAGCAGTTCCGCTTGCCTATATCTAAGAGCTTCTCCTTTATCATTCCCGATAAGTGGAAAACTAACCCAGCTATCCTTCGATGGATCGATAACGTTCCTGGTCCCGCCAAACGAGAGGAATCCCTAGGACCTGCGCGCATTCAGACCCCCAAACGCGCCTTTGTAAGTAAACATCTGACCTAGGCTCTAGCAACCCCATAGGCTAACGTCGACTAGGAGACTCCCGATATTGACGATAGCCGTAACGACGATAGCTACCGCGCTAAGCGAACGAAAATGGGCTCTTCCCTAAGTAACAAGGATGCCAACAACAGACGTACAAGCGTTGCTTCTTATGGCCGTGGCCTTATTCGCCGAGCCTCTAACATATATCGCCAAGTTATTAGCCCTGAGAACCCCCAAGAGACTTTCGAAGGCTCTACCGTTCGCGGATCGCTTTCATTGCCTGGATCACCTGCTACACTTGTTGATCGTCCTCGCATGAGATTCGTCTTTGTTGGAGATTCTGGCTGTGGAAAGTCAAACTTGTTACTGTAAGCCACTACTATTTTCTTCTAATTACCGATCTTAGTATGGCATAAACATTGTGACGCGTACTAATACGTTCCAACCCCAGTCGTTACTACCGCGATGCGTTTAATCCAGTAAGCTACCCCTATTCCAACTTACAAATAGAGTTCTTGGCAAGGAGAATTACCTGCTCACACTAGGTAGGCGCATATCAGGACTCATTATGAGCTGTTCAACAAGGTCGCCACAGTAGATGGACAGGATGTGGACCTCGAGCTTTGGGACACATCCGGCGACCTCTCACTTCACCAACTCCAACTCCTTTCCTACCTCGCGTGGGACGCTGTATTCCTGTGCTTCAGCATGGAGAATATTGCACGCTTCAAGACTGTCCAGAAGAAGGTGCGTCGCGTTTATGGCCTTAACTACCTACCAACCGTATTATACATGAGCTAACTCTAGGGAAATATTCACAGTGGATGGAGGAGATCTACAAGTACTGTGGCGATATTCCGTTCATATTGCTTGGCCTGAAGAAGGATACATTCACCGGCCGCAATATGAGGGCCCCTTTCCACCCGGACTTGAATATTCCAGTTTCTACCACTCAGGTAAGAACAACTCTGCCCACCCCTCTGTTCATTTACATCAAATCTCCATATTCGACTAAAAATATGCTGACCAGACATACGTAGGACTCTTCTGGGGCGATGATCGTGCGGGGAATCAAGTACATGGAGTGCTCAGCAAAAACCGGCGAGAACGTGAACCGCGTGTTCGAGGAAGCCGTTCGAATGGTAGTCTACGAGCGGGAGGAACAAGAGGGGCTTGCCCGAATTCGTCAGAAGTATGGCGAGTCGGAGTCTACGGGCTTGAGCTTGAAGACGTGTTTCAAGTAAGCAACGAGTATGGCACGGTGAGAGCTACTAGACTACTCAGAAATTATTGTTAAAGGATATCGATCGTATAGTGACATTGCGGCACCTCTTGCATTACGAGTTCCGCTTTATGATCAAAAGTTTTACCGGAAGTGTCGTTCGGTATGGTATCTTCTACGTACAACTAATTAATGACTATGTTAATATACCATGGATAATAATTTTAATAAACGACAGCTAGTCCGGATGGATTCATCATATTTACTTGAGAAGTGGACGGTTTTCAAGATTGACCTCTTGTACATTTATCTACCATTCTTATGCGTCAGTCCCGCGTTTTCCCACCAAAGCCCGCTCGGTTTACACAGCTACTACAAAGCAAAGAAAATGGAAAGAATTAATATAACTAAACAACTAATAGCAGTAAAATTGGTTTAAATTTAACATGTGTATTGTATTTCATCAATTACCCTTTGTATACTAGATTTTATGGTCGTATGAAATATGTGAAGTTTGGTGGGGGAATAAGGGACTGACGCATAAGACTGAGAGGTGACTGTATGTCTAAGGGACCCGTACACGACGGGTATAACCTGTGGGAATTGTACTGGCATATGGATTGTAGAGATGTAACAGGTGCTCGTAAAATAAGGGAAGTCAATACGTGCCTAGATACCTAATATAAAGTAATCTATTCCTCTCTCTTTTCCCGACGTTGACAGTTCAAAGCACATCATTTCTCCAATCATGACCAGTTGCTTATTATATGCCAAGGTAGCCTGCTTCTACATATTAAATGTCAGACACGTCGCTCTTATAACCCACTGGCCACAACCAATCCCAATCTTCCACAAATTTGCCATGCGCTTGATATTATATATATTAAGACGTCTACAACTTATTTATTCAGTCCCCTTCAAAAGCTTTTTCTTTAAACCCTATCTGGGCCATATTGGTCGAGTGGTTCGGGCATTATTACAAGGTCTAGCATGAAGCTCAAGGCGGTCCGCCAGAAGCTTCGGCCGCACTCAAGCGGCCTTCCTCCGCTACGCCGGCTCTTATCGGACTGCTTTAAAGGATCATCTGAAAAAGGCAGTGTATCGCCTGAGCCGGCTGAAAATCAATCACTGGCGGAGCCGACGGACGTACATTCACCGCGCGAATTGGCGAATAGTAGATCATCATGGGAGCTCGCCACAGGTCCTAAGCTATGTAACTACTGCGCCAACCTTGTATGCGGGATTTTCACGTTCGAATTTGGTCAGGATAACTGGAAAAAAATACCGTATCATACCTCTATCACGGACCTCGAAGCTGCAGTAGCTTCTACGGGGTGCTCATTATGCGACAAGATCCTTGTCTCTTACTCAGACACCGAGCTTCAGACCCTCCGTGAGAGAGACGATGTTGGTTTACTGGCTAGGCTTGGTTTTTTCGATAGCAACTGCGATACTTTTGTCCTGCATTGCGTAGCTACGAATGGAGAAGAGTGGATCGGTGAGGGAACTACTATTTACTTACTCCCGCCGTGTACAGAGAGTGAGTAACCCCTTTCTCCTTCATATGCTGGGAATCTAGCTATATGGCGCCCATGTTCTTTTCGTGCACTTTTATGGGCTTATCTATATAATAAGGCGATTCTTCAAATTTTACTCCCTCGACTGGTGACCCCGAAACACTCGATTTAGCAAAGCTGTGGTTCAACGAATGTTGCGAGTCTCATGAACCCTGCCAAGTTCGACAACCCAAGAGCTATCCCGCTCGCCTCCTCCATATCGGAGGGGAGGATGATTATATTCGCCTCGTCCCTACCTCAAACCTGTTGCCCAATTACCCCCGATACGCTACTTTAAGCCACTGTTGGGGCACGGCGCGTCATCTCACGTTGTTGCGCAGCAATGAGAACGATTTCTTGCGTAACATACCGAAGGCTCAGCTTTCCAAGACCTACGGAGACGCCATCATGGTAGCTCGAAATTTTGGCATCGAATACTTATGGATTGATTCTCTGTGTATCGTCCAGGACGATCCAGATGACTGGCTACGAGAGTCCGTGAAGATGGCTGACGTGTACGGTTGCTCGAGTCTCAATATAGCAGCTACGGGCGCTCGTGACGGCACCGTCGGCTGCTTTTTCGAGCGAGACGAACGGCTCATTCGGCAGCTTTGTAGAGTCCGCATCCAATTATTCCATAAAGAAAACGCTCCAATAAACAATGGTGATGATGATGCCAATGACGCTGATAAAAACTACTTCGTCGATATTGTGAGTTCGGATATTTACAATCGCGGCATCGAGGAGTCACCCCTCGTATCCCGCGGGTGGTGTTTCCAGGAGCGGTTCCTCGCTCCTCGGACCTTACATTTTGCCGAACCGCAGGTATTTTGGGAGTGCCAGGTAATGAGCCGCTGCGAGACGTTTCCAAACGGCGTGCCGCCTCAATACCGCCCGAGGAACCTTCGTCCAATCGTGAAGGAAACGATAGCTCCTAATCGGGCACACCATGTGGCACTAAGATCCGCGATGAAGGGCTCCTCGAACCTCCAGCTGCCTTACGAGTTCTTTCTCTCCATGGAGCACGGGGAAAGGAATTCCATCTCAACCCTCGCGGAGATATGGGCTCAGTGTGTCTCAATGTACTCTCGAACCAAGTTAACGCGCCAGTCTGATAAGCTCGTGGCTATCTCTGGCGTGGCACGCTGGATCCACGAGCAGGAGGTATCTCTCCGTATCGACGAATCCAGCGGGAATGAGCCGAAAGAAGAAGATGAGTACTTGGCTGGGTTATGGCGTAAGCACATAGAAACGCAGCTACTATGGTATGTGCTACGCCCAAACACGAAAGGGGGTGAGAAACCGAGTAAGAGTCTACAGCAAGATTATGGATATCACTACGCTAGGCCCAAGAAGTACTTCGCGCCCTCTTGGTCATGGGCTTCTACGAGAAATTTCATCGAGTATGGCATCGCATTTGATGCTGAAGCTGGCGATGGCGATCCGTCTTGCCGCTGGGCTAGACTCATCACTGTTCTGAAGGCTGAGACGGAACTTATCAGCAAGGAGGGCGCCTACGGGGGCGTTACCGGAGGGGCCTTGCACGTTGCGTTTGACCGCCTCTATACAGATAACATCCGGATTCGTAACGAGCCCAAGAGAACCATGGGACGGACAATTGACTGGGACAATGCTGAGCCAGAGTGGCGGACGATAACGAAGATAAAAACTACGATATATCTCCTGCCGGTGATTTCGTGCTGTGATAGTGATTCTAGTGATTTGTGTTTTGAAGAGGGAATTGTGCTCGAGGAGATATTACAGCCCCTGAGGCCCGGGAGACCACCAGTGTTCAGAAGGCTGGGTCATTTTCGGACTCAGGGATGCGGGTCTTGGACTGGCCACGCGATGAAAAATTGTAAACGCTTTGAGCTTGAGGTAGATGGTGAGACTTGTAACTGTTTAAAGATTATTTAACAATGGTGGTTATTGCTAATGGACGCAGACTTCGTGTATTATTAATGTAGTTTGATTTAGTTCGGAGGCTTTATTTATTATATCATGTAATGTCGTCACTACACCAGTCAAATATGTCAAATGCAGTTTTACCGTACGATACGTACGGTTCTCCCGACCTCACCTCGTTCCACTGCTTCTAGTCTCGGCAGTACGAGTTCCCATACCCTCTCAGACAAACTCTCGACATCAAGATCCGCGTCCACGATTTGAATATCTTCTTCCTCCTGCCTAAACTCACCCTCCTCGCTGCTGCCATCTCCACCTCTACTTGTTCCATTCCCGAGCCTCTCCGCGTCACCTCTCCTCGGAACCTTACTGCTACCGCTGTTTCCCACAGCACTGCCGAGATCTCCCATACTCAGGCCCCAGAACAGATCTCTAACGCGCCGCTGCATCTCACCTTTCTCATAAACTTCACCACCCCAGCCGCCACGCTCACGCGCGACTTCTTCCTCCAGATCTAAGAAAAGGACCATGTCTGGTCTAGGCAAGCCGACCTCGGGCGCCTTGGCCCAAGACAGCGATAGGCTCTTGATATTTTTAGCAGCGCTGTATACGATACCGCTATGGTAGAAGCGATCGCAAATTATAGTATGACCAGCTTCCAACTCTGCCTTAATTTTATTGCTATAAAAAGCAAAGTCAGATACGAGACACGTTATACCAAGTTATAGAACAGTGTGAGAATTTAGCTGAGAAAATGAAACTTACACAGCTTCCCATCGATTAGCACTAAACAGTAGGTGAATAACGTGATCTTCAATTTCCGTCTCGCCTTTGAGATACGAGTCAATCATCTTACCGATGGGCGTCGTCCTATCTATATCGGTACCATTAGCAACGAATAATACTGCACGTCAGCAGCATAACGAAGTATCCCACTTACCAGGAAATCGCATAAACCGCACCCCCCGCCCGCTCTCGATACACCTCTGCTGCAGTAATTTTGCCTGCGTCGTCTTCCCCGCACGATCCATCCCCTCGAACACCACGAAAGCGCCGCGCACCGGTTTCGACGGCGGCGCTACTACCCTCTCGATGCCATCCATGTCGTCCCCTGCAGAACGCTTGACGGCATCCTTATCTTCAATACTGTCATCCCCCACAGTTTCTGCAGGCTTAACCTCGGCAGCAGACGGAGCCGGAGCCGGGATTTGTGCTTGCGACGGATTCTGAGATATCTGAGGCGGCACTAATACCGGCGGAGCGCCTATCGCCACGGTTATCGAGTCCCCATCCTCATTCGCATTCACTGGCTTGAACTTATCCATCAAGGGCGAAGTAGTCCGAGCGCTTGCTGTTGCAGGTCTTGAGGAAGAGGGTGACCGCGGCGCCGCTGGGGGGGTCGCGGGTTGACTACCCTCGCGCGCAGGTGAAGACTGCAACGCCACGGCCGATGACGCTATCGTCGCGGCTGTCGCGAGGTCGTTTATCGAAGCCATTGACCCACTCAATGAAGCTAGTTTCAAGACACGATTAACTCGATACTGGTTAGTGGTTGATAAGTATGGAATTGTATGAACTTGTATGAGCAGCGTGTTTCATGTGAATATTAATTGGATGTAAGAGCTATGGAAATGGGTCGTCGATTAAGCCTTCTTTAAAGCGCTAAAGCATGATATGATGTCGAATGATATGAATAGGTAGGATTGTGGCCAAAATGCTACCGAAATACATACAACAACTAAAATGCAGCGGGTTACTGCAACTGCAACTGCAACTGCCATTCTAGCCCAACTGCCTGAGCGCGTCTGAGTGGAGCCACTTTACACTTTGTGGTTTGGAGACGGTACTAGTGAAGGATGTCGCACAGAATGCATCTGGTTTCTGGTTATACTGCTTAAGCGCGCAGCTAACACAAATAGCGTGACCGAGTAAGCAATGACTATTGGCATTAGTTAGGTAAGTACCTAGGTACCTACCTAATTGACAACTCCGTAGGTTACACGTCTTAAACAATTAAACTTCCACTTCCACTTCCACACCATTGCATACATAGAGACTTAAATAAGCTATTACCATCATCAAAATTCGAGCAAAAGTAACAGCTTTCCTACGAGAAATAGCACCTGTCACATTCACATAATATCTCCAGATCGCAGAGTAGACAGCGTTGCAGAGCGTGTATTGATGTGCGCCCTAGTGCAAAAGTAGGCCCTGAAAAAAAACAACCGCAATCCGTATGTACAAGAATTCGTACAAAATAAAAACAGTAAAAAGGCAGAATACTAACCAGCCCAGTCCGCACCTTGCCATAGAACCCAGCCGTAGCCCACCATAACCTTGGAAAGAAATGCCCCGTGACGCCATTGCTACCTCCCGTAGGCTACAGAATTTAGGTATTAGGGGACTGGAATAAAACCCATCAGTCCAAAAGAGCTCCGAAAACACGTACATCCATAATCCATAGCATTATCCATTCTTCATTAACACTCTGCCGCTTCCACTATAGAAGCCTCTGCTTCATCCTTCGCGCTTCCGCTTTCCCATACCTCGAAGCTCTCGCCTGTTCCCTCCATCGGCTCGAGCACGGCAGCACCAGGAGCAGGCTCATCTGCCTTCTCCATCAACTGGTCTATAGATTGTGCGCCGTCTTCGGCGCTAAGTTGAAGTGTATCTGATTCGCCCGAGTTAAGCGCGGGGCTGACGTCAGATCTATATCGCGTCTGCTGTTGGGGTTCGCTAACTTCTTCGTCATCACCCGGTATGATGACGATGGTATTCTCATCACATCCCTCCGAGTAGTACTCGCGAACATTCATCTCGCCGAGAGGATTCCTTTCCTTCTCAAACATCATCTCGTCCTCTGCAGCATGTCTAGCAGCCCGCGGTCGCGAGGTCTGAGAGACGTCATCTGCCGGAGGAACATTTTCCTTACCCTCGGCACGTTCTCGTTGGCGCCGGGTCTCGCTCTCTTCGTCCGAGCTGATGTCTAGTACGCAAGTGCTGTGCTGTAGTAGGTTGGTCATTTCCTGCTCCGGGGTATCTTCGTGGATATCGAAGAACCAAGATTGCTTTGTATCTCCCTCCTGGGGGCTGTCAAGGCCAAGGGAACTAGATGAAGACTTGGCTGCAGAAGAGGCGTTGCGGCCGGAGTAGCTCGGAATCGTACCCTTGAGAGCTGCATCCAGTGAGAACGGCGCGGAAGATGCGCTTGAAGAACTAAAGCTAGGCGGGTTCACTCGAGAGAAGGCCTTAGTGCGCTGACGAGAAGAGAGGATACCGGACCTCTTGCCACGGGTTGGAGATCGACCAGCAGGAGCCGAAAGGGGTGTGGATCTAGCCGAGCTGATGTTCGATTTCGAAACAGGCGACTTGGGGTTGAGTAAGGACCGTGCACGCGGAGCGGCTGCCTTGGGTGGACTGAGAATAGAGACATCGTTGACGCTAGCCGATTTCGTGAGAATTAATGACGGCTTGACGAAAGAATCCTTAGGGGCAAAGACATTATCCGAGCCCTTTGATCTCTTAGAGTAGAGCACCGGGTCGACGTTCTCGAAATCGTCCGTATCTAAGCTGTCTGATGCTTTTCGCTTCGGAGACGTCGCGTTTGAGAGAGCTATGAACGCAGTTTAGTATGCAATCCTTCTGAAATTCAATATGAATTGCAAGGGTTCCTGCTTCATATTTAAAAACAGCTTCGTGAATAAGATTCGTGAACAAGATGGTGTTGATTTGCATTGGACAAGAAAGACAAAGACACGACACAATTGGAAGTATTCAAGGATCTGTGGATAGTTATCACAGATCTCCTCCTGGACTTACCATTCTGTCTGTTCTTTAGACTTGTCAATGTCTGCAAGCGCGCTCCATCGAGAGGCGCAAAGGGTTGACGAGTTATGGTAGCCATTGTTGCAAGTTGTGACGTGGACGTGGACGTAGACGTGGACTTGAAAGGTGAAGGGGTTGAAGGGATCTAGATGCCAGATGCCCAATCGAACCACAAAATGTCGGTCCTAAATCGATTCAATCCGAGGCAACCAAGATTTGGCACTACGGAAATTGATCACAATTACCAATAAGTTGTAATAACAACTAGAGGCAAGGTTCACGATAATAATTGACACCCAAGACGAGGGGAAAAAAGTCGATTGCCACGATTGTTTGTTTATTATTTTGTCGTGAACAATTGATATCGTCAAACCTGGCGCAGCAGCAAACCAAACTTGTTGTACCGGTATGGGAGGGGGGAGGTAGAAGGAAAAGTGGGCGAGGGACTGCGTAGGTGGGAATTGACAAGTCTTATTGCATCTCAGACGGCGTCCGGGGGGGGGACAAGGCAGCTTGGGGTTGTAGGTCGCGACGGGGGAGGCCAGCAATGGAGAACGATGGACGATGGGCGATGGACGATGGACGCGGAGATCGATGTCTTGGATAATGCAGCTTAAAATGATTAGACCTAGCTGGAGTGAGGAAGCGCCGTCTGCTAGTCAAAAGGAGGAAAGTGAACAACGGGATCAGAGGACGCTGAGTGGACGGAGGAGGATGGATGGCTGCAGGTGTGCGTAGGAAGATATGCAAGGAAATTAAGATATGGGATATAGGATATAGGATATAGGATATAGGATATGGGATATGGGATGGGAGAGAGGGAAGAACTGATTGATGCTCGCACTCGAATGTTTCAGGCAGGTTTGGTTGGTTTGGTTGGTTTGGTAGCTTTGGTAGCTTTGGTACAATACATAGGCTGCATCAGCTGTAGGATGTGAGTAGGTATGTAGGGTGAATACATAGGGTAAATAGGGTCAAGTAGGGTGAGTACCGTGAGTATGTATGTACATACCCAAGTAAGTAGTAAGTTTTTCGTGTTTGAACGCGTGGTGTTGGTGTAAATGGGAGAAAATGGGGAAACAGATCCAATCAGAAGAATCCAGCCAGAAGAATCCAATCAGAAGAAAGGGGGCAGCTCTAAGGAGTCTAGGTACCATAATTCCATGCAGGTTTTTGAGGTTTGGAGGTGGATCGGTGCAAGGGCTGAACTGGATTTAACTGGATCGGGGTCAAGTAATGCAGGGAATTCGAAGTAATGTCTCTCATTCTGCTCATTCTCTTATGCAAATCCCCTAGTTTCCATCTCTGATTTGCTAGATTCACTCGAGACCGTCTCACACCTTGGGACACTACCTCCCCTACCTCCCCTACCTCCCTCCCCTACCAGCCTACCAACCTACCAACCTAACCTACCTACTACTACCCGAAAGTGATTTGAATCTGCGACCGTGCGACTGTGCGACTGTGCGACTAAAAAAGAGCCAATAGTCGCGTTCAGATTCCAGCCAAGATTGGTTTCTAAAAGGAGTGTTAACCGAACGAACCACAAGAAGCATCAAGAGATCGCGCCTTGTTGTGGGACTTGGCGACTTGGCGACTTGAATTGTGTTCCCACGCGCAAACCCGACGCAGGGGTCCGCGCTTTTCGCGTCCATAAAGGGACTTGGCCTTCCCCTCCGCTCCATCTTCCATCGTCATCGCGCCGCGCGGGAATGTCAGGAACCATTTGCCAGCAGGCATGCACTTAATTCCAAGACAAGGCGTTTGTCCTTAACGTAAGGCCAGGAAAGCTCTTTTTATCCCAATTCCCCAACCACGTCGCTCGGGGCGCTCATCCGGTCGACAGTCGGTGACTTGCTTGCATAAATTATGTCGACTTATTATTGAACGCCGAGTAAATCAAGTGCGCGGATGAACAAGCGTTATCCAACCCAATTATCCATTGTAAATGTCCATCAGCTATAGGGCTAGCGACAAGTTCTAGACTGAGGTCAAGTTAGACTTTGACAGGAGTGTGACGATCTCACTGGAGGCAATGCTCTTTGGGGAAATGCCGCTGTCTGACATGCTTGCTTTCCTTGATGCCGCCACCGTGAACAAGATAGATAACCAATAGAGCATATACGCATGGCATCAATTGTAGTGCATTGAGAACCAAAAGGCGACAGGTCGCATATAACACGGCCGCCCTTTACCCTATTAGAGGACGGGGCTCTGTAGTGGATGATATCAGCCCTGGAGAATGCCTTGTGGGTTTTGGGCTAAGGTCCATTCCTCCCCTTCAGCCAGTCATTCAAGGGTATTTGACCGAACTTGGTCGTCCCTCGGACCCAGAGAGGTCCGCAACGGGGTCACAAGGACGCGCCTGTGGTCTGTCAGAAGTGGCAGCGATGTCTCCGTGATTGGTTAATATACAGTTAAGGGGAGCCCTTAAGTCTTTTTTCCATTCGCCGTGGGGAGCTTATTAAGTAGCTCCCTCCCTCTTCTCACACGGATGGACCGTCATATGGGGCAAGCTATCCTCAGTTGACGAGAGAGAACCCGAGTTCTCTCCTGACCATAGCCTTGGTCGGGCTTCTACGATATTCACGTCCAATCCATCTAGCCACTCGGCAGTAACCATTCTAGGTGGCTCTAATAAGGTACAGACATCCCGGGACTTTCTCTATATCAAACACGCAGGTCTAGAAGTTGGCCTAGAGTCCCGTCCTATTGCGGCCATAGAGTGATAACTCAAAGGTTCTTCTTTTGTTATCGTGGGGGTGTAACCTAAAAAGGAAGCCGAGTTAAAGGGTCGATATTGCCCTGGTTCTGATCAATAAGGAGTGAGAGTAACTTGAATTAGGCCTCTTAAGAGTGGCACAATGTATAGATTATCTATTTATATCTTGGGAAGTGTAATTATTAGCCCACCCATATTAAGTTCCAACGGGCACCAACCCACAGCCTGGAGGCGGAGCAGCCCTAGATTTTTATTGTACCACTCCATCGGTAACTACTAGGCTATGGCATGCTGGCCGAGACTATTCAGTCTTTAGAAGAGGGTACTATATAACTATTTTTCGACCGAATCTACCTCGACATATGTTTTACCTACATAAGTCTTCGATTCGTTTTTAGTCGGCCTAGAAGAACAAACTTACAAAGTCGGTGCCGAATTTCGTTTAGCTGTACGGTGTAGATAATAATAAACTTTCCAACTTTACCTAATAACAGGTAGTTCGGTAATGTAGTATGTGTGTAGTATGTGTTGGTCTACATACAATTTGTATCTTTCAGACCCACCCCTACCTAGCCCTATAGAGTGGTGTATAGAAAGAAAATTTTCAAGTCACCACTGTGAGACATTTCTGCCTAATGATTATTGAACTTGTATCACGTTCAGCAACGGCTGTCCCAAGTCAGTAGACAAGTGACCAGCAAAAGATTTGTAGTATTTCATAATAACCACAACCGGAAATATGGGATAAGAAAGTCATAAACCAATCCCTTTCTACCACATGTCATGCTGAACAGGAAAAAGCGCCGCACGACTTGCAGCAACTATTGGCTGTTAGTTCAGAGTGGTGAGAAATTCGTTTTTCTTAGTCCTTTCCCGGCTCTTTGAGAGATATCTCATTAGCACAATCGTATATCGACTGTACGCCAAGGACAGCACTATCTCATATAATTAGACATAAAATAGGTTGAGTACCAATAACTATCTACAATCATTCCGATCTGACATGGGGGCTGAGAAAAGATGGAATCTATGGTATCCTGTGACCTCGAGTTATACTAACAAGCCCGTATCATCCCGCGGCACCCGAGCATGAGACCGAGATCAATCCGTACTGTGGGCTTTTCCAAGGCGTACGAGGGGACTTAGATCTCAGAAGTTGGGGCAGATCAGGTTCAACTGCTCTTCAAGCTACCTGATGAAAAATATCGATTTAGTAATTGTAAATATTCCGGATCTGGTTTGATTCTAGCTAGCGACTTCTTGTGGCAAATTGCCTGACATATAATGTTCCTAAAACTATTGCAAGACCCAGCTGAGTCCACTATAGTCCAAGAACTCATCTATAGCTATATGGTTTTGCTATTATTGTCGAGTATAGAGGAAATGATAATATTATTAACGTAGACCAAATAATAAGTATGGTATGAGTTGTAGTCTCCCTGTTACGTGAGCATTGACCGCTCGAGGAACTCTTGTCAGGCTCCCGTTGATCCACCAATTAACGTCAGAGCCAAAATATGCTTTGATCCCACCCGCACCAGCTCAGGCAGTGTTTTGTAGATAGGTATTCATGTTGGAAATCTTCGTGTTGCTAATTCTTGTTAAAGGTGTCTTTTGTGAAGTGTTAGACTAAGCTTTGCAATAAACCAAATTTCGATATGTTAATTTCTCCAGGGCAAGATAGTATAATTGTAAAGTAGGAAGTTACACTAGGTATTCTTAACTCTATCATGAGTATATGTACGTAATTAATCCTAGATATAAAAAACCTGGTAAGAGGTCATTCAACAAGTGGTATCTAGCCTGACTTTGACAAAAGTTTGCACACACGGTATTTAATTCGTCTTATAATGAATAGAGCATATAACCGATCATATGCACAGGTAGAGACTCGTCGTACCGCTAATTAAACCGTTTTTATAGGATCTAGGGATATGGACCGGTGAGACATGAGTTAGTTCCGGGAAGATGTATCTGATTCACTAGTCTTAGAGTTTTACTCAAAAGGCATAAGACAAGAAGGCCCTTCGTTGCAAGGTGCATATTATGTCTATCTCTAGCTCATATTGAGTAGTTGTTGTAACATTAATACTCCAATGCTTCAGTATAGTAACGGGTTGAATCGGTTTATTCAATTATAATCCGAAGTACGTTGCTTCGTGCGCGGGATATTGGTATCTCTAAAAATCTTTATAATATACATTAATAATATTTCACGTTGTGAATGTTCCTGGTATCTTCATCTCAATGGCCGAGTCTGCTTCTGAACCCCTCGACGGCGGTAGAGGGCGGGAAAAGTTCGATGGTATACGTTGCAATGTCGGCTGCTTAACATCATCATAAGTTGTCTGCACGCTTCTCGACACCACAACCGGCTCTGGTGGTCTGATTACGTCTTGGTCCTTATCGGTAGCAGGTCTCATAGCAGGTGAGTAGTTGGGGTTTTTGATGACCCTAATTGCTTGTCGGATAGCAACTTCCGGCTGCGAGGCGTATCTAACTGTTGAAAGTCGAGAGCGATTTGCACTGCTCGTGATACTGGTGCTCGGTGTTGCACGATGTCCTTTACTAGTCTCACGGGAACTTTTCGATAGCGACCATGAATGGGATGCGCGATCAGACGTGGAAGAGTAAGTAGAGCGGTCCGCGCTGGAAGTATCTGCACATGTCTTGATTGTTCTTGGTACTTCGGCTTGTTTAGTAATGTCGTTCCATTCGGTTCGCCATGCACCAGGGTGATATACTGGCTGAGGAGGAGATTTTGAAAGTTTTTGTGGAACCTTCAGCCCGCGCGGAGCAGACGATAGAGGCATATTACCCAAGCCCGTACGGGTGGTATAGGTTGTCCCGATGGGAGAATTTGCCATAAGCTCAAGATCTGCCCTGTCGTTAGGTATGTCTCCGGTTCTTATAGTGAGTTGGCTTGCAATTTTTCTAGCAGTTCCGATTGCATTAGGATTGCCGAGTTGGAAGATTTCCTCCGAAGGCACCGTAGCTATAGAAGCACTACTACTCTCTTTCCTCTGTAACGAAGCCCTGCGAGAAACACTAAGATCTGCGGTTAGATCACTAGGACACTGGCTGGCACGACCGTTCAAAAATGAGTTTTTGGATACCCCCTTTGTTGCGAAAGGGGTTGGATTGCTTTCAATGCTGGCCGATATAACAAAAGATGACGGTCTGCAATTTGCATTAGTTATATCTTTAGAGAATCCACGAGGGAGCCCTTACATTGCTATGACACATATTACCAAGTTCAAGTAAGGTGCTATTCTGGTAAGACCGTCTGAAGGGACTGGCTTTGCGACCATGACGGCTGTTGCGACTAAAGCAGCTATCCATATGGCAATAGAAAGCCTTGCAATAAGAAGTGCGCTGGCATGAAGATAATGCCCATAGATTTGGGGCGGTCCGGATCCCTTTCTCTTATAATTCTTCCTGGCTCCTCTGATATGAAGGCATATATACAGTAGAGCTATTGCGGACGCGAATAATACCAGGTCTCGCGATATACATGTAAATTTAACCTCGGTCGGCTGTACCATAAGTACTATCGCAAGGGAAAGCCCCCCCGCAGACGAGAGGAAGAGGAATATAATAGCGGCAAGAACAAAGGAAGGTCGCTTTTTCTGTTTCTGGTCCTGGTTATACTGCTCAAGAGACTTGTAGAGTAATCCTGCATGGTTGTCGCTGAAAGAGGAAGCTTGCTCTTCATCTCTGTGCTTAAGCGCCATGGGGTTATCGTTGGGATGTTAGTAGGGCCAGCCGACTGTTATATTCCAAAGTTGACAAGTAATAAGTAGTGAAGAAAAGGGAAGATACCCGGCTGTATTTGAATACCATAACTTCTACGGAAAGAAAGTCGTAACAAAACGAGAAACAATCTAAATGCATAAAGATAATATAATGTATTCATGTGAAGAAAATCCAAGAGGCGGGAAAAGACTGCGAATGGCTGATCCAGGCCATTTTGTGGAATGAAGAAAAACGCAAGTACGCTTGCAGTGGCGGCGTTGATGGTGAAGAATGAAGCATGTTGGCCTTGATCTTTTTTTGAGCTTATAGAAACAACTTATACATACACTTACCTTATGTAGCTAGGAAACTACATGTACCTACCCCTAGCTGTCCCAGCTTGTCATTAGTACTTGACTTTAAACATGTCCGGAGTTGAAGAATCACGGATTAGGCCGCGTCCATAAGGGGAAGTGCAACGTCGTAAACTGTTATGTACCTACCTACCTCTTAATGTCGGGTAGGACTGTTACGGAAGTCTAAAAGTTGCAATTATGGTAGGCTGACGGTACATTCCAGGTGCTGGCTTATTAAATAAGCAGCGCTAAAAGCCCCTGTAAAACAAGGGGCCAACTTAGACCAGCAAAACGGTTGCATTGAGCCTCAAGAAACCGTGGCTTATGCAACACTTCCAGTCTCAAATTCCACCATTAGCTTGACACTACGCCTTAATTAACCGAGGTCGAAGAATCCGGGGGACTTGGTGGCTATATGGGAAAGAAACGAATATGGAGTATTGTAAGTTTATTCTCATTGGCTAGGTAGGTTGACTGCTCTGGAATGCCAAAGCTCTGGTGGTGTACATAAATATAATATCATAATCACAAGATCCTTAAACGCCTAACCTAGAGTAATGCTTCATTTCATACCCAAGAAACGACCACCGTTTTGTCTACTCCAAGCATCGAGGCTTCGAAACGACCCGATAAACTATCCCACGACTGAATCATCAGCTATCGCTATTGCAAACTCCGTGTAATACCCAAGCACAAATAAACTCGTCCAGTAACGAGCTAACGCAGCATATATGATAGATCGGGTAGGTTTTGTACAATACTCTTAACAACGTTCTCCTGGTCTCGCTTGTCTGTCTTATGCTCAATCGGACCAAGCACAGCTTTCAAGGGGGCTCTAGGCTTTTTGACCTCGTTCATGCTCGCCTGAGTGGTACTCCTGTCGTGGGAATCTAAACTAAACCTTGACTTCGAAATTGGAGAATGCACCAAAGCTGGCGTTGATCCCAATGCTGGCGATTCGAAAACCGAGAAATCGGCAAAGGGCCAAGTATCTTGTCTCGACGATTTTGGCGTCTGTGTGGAAACACCTTCGAATGTAGAGAAATCTGCGGTAGGCCATGGGTCTATTTTTGGTGTTTTCACAGTCAAGGATGCTGGCCGATTAGAAATTTGTACTGGAGGCGGGGTATTTTTGGGTGTCGAAATAGAAGGTTTGGACATTGAACTGCTGCTTTGGGCCATTGATATACCCCTTGTGTCGATCGTAGGTGTGTTAGCGGCACTGTTAGCTGAAGTCAAGGGAGCGCTATTCGTGTTGCTTGTCGACTGTATCATAAGAGTGGAGCCATGATGAGATTCTATCCGAGGCGACGACACCATTTCGCCCCAGTCATCTTCTTCATTCTCCTCATTAGCCTCGCCTTGATTTAGCTGTACTGGCGTTTGAATCACGGTATGGATTGTAGTCTCAGCTACAGCGGTCGCTGATATGGTCCGGTGTGTAGAGCTTACGTGGTCACCACCGTTGTTGTTGGCGATTGAATACGTAATAGGAGGCGACTTAGTATTTGAGCTCCAGTTGAAACCGGGAATGGAAGCTGGTCGAGATTTGGAGGTCATATCGGGGGGCTTGATCGGACTTTTTATTGATATCGCTTTAGAATGAGAACTCGCTGAATGCGTCGGCTGTTCCAAGCTGTGATTTACTGCCGGCAGCGAAGTATTTCGCGAGTGCGTGGTAGACACCTTGCGGGAAAATACTTTACCTAGGTCGACAGGTGCCGCAGAAGAATCCCAGTTAAAGACACTTGCCCGTATACCAGCCCCAAGTGTAACCCGTCCAGATATCGAATCTTCCTCCATCCATCCTCTAACGATTTTTATGACATCGCCGTGCAGACGGGATGTCGGCCATTCTACTCTGTGGTAATTATCATCATCTCCTAAGTCATGCTTACGCATCGACCCATACCGGGAGACACGGTACCAAGTTTTACGCTCTGATATTGTCGTGAAGCTATCCCTAATGATTTGATCTGGGACATCGCTGCTCTCTCTTGCATTCCCATCCTCTAAACCCTGGGCAAGGTCTGGAAAGAGCTTATCAACCAATTGGAAGTCAACATCGAACTGTATAGGGCCGAACTTTTCAATAAGCTGCTGAACCGGTACAGAGACAGTTGTTGCTGATGCGGTATCGCGCTCCAAGGGCTCACTGATGTGGTCCTTGGTAGAGGTGTCTTCGGACTGAGGTGTGGGCGTATATAATCTTTTGGGAGCAGCCAGTGGAGTGTTTGGATCGAAAGCTGGTTCGCCATCTTCACTCCGCACGTTTTCAAAGTCGCCAAAATCAGTATCTTCGTCCATGTTTCTGATATGACTTGGTGATCTCGACCTCTTTCGATTCTCTCCATTTGGTGGTTCAAGTCGTGTTGATGCAGATGGCTCTTCTGTAGGAATTTTGGCCAAGCAATCATACATTCCTACAAGCTCCTGGACCTTGCCTGAAAATTTCCTAGAGCTATTCTTAAGGCGTGACCTAGCATCTTCGTCTATGGACGTAATCGGAGAGTCCTGATGGTCCAACCCATCAGAGCTATTGAGCGAGATTGGAGATGGTGGTCTGGATAGAGCATCCTGAATGTCGATTTTAGGAGCTGAATCAAACCCCTGGTCTTGACGTTTTTGGGTGTCTGACGACGGTGATGGTAATTCCCATACTTGTAATCCTTCAGCTGGAGTCTGTTCACTTTCCTCCTTTAGTTTGGTATTATCCTCCCTTGTTTCTTGGATATCTACGGTATCCTGCTTTGGTACTGCCAGCGCGGAGGTATTGCTCAACTCATGCTGAGAATCTACGTTGCTGATCCCTAGTGCGTTCAAAGGCGTTAAAGAGTCGTCCTTCCTATCGTGTAGCGATACTTCGGTCGCCCATGGATCTGGCGAGTGATGACGGTACACGGAAGAAGTTCGAGATCGCGGGAGTGGTCTTAGCCCTGGAGATGTCGCGGCGCTGCTCGGTAATGTAACCGAACTCCTTTTCCCGAATTCGTCTGGCCTCGGACTTGACTGGGAAATCAGCGAAGATGGCTCTGCCCATACTCCCCAATCTACAGCGTTTGCTGCAACATCGGCCTGCTCTGTACCAGTCCAATCGCCGAGTCCACCTTCAGTCGTCCATGGAGAATGGCTTTGGAAGTTTGATGCGCTACCGAAGAAGGCTCTTGGGGGTGGACTTAGTAGATTTTTCGGAGGTGATGATGTCGGAGGGTCATTCTTGGCTGTTGTTTCTGGTAGTGCCCAAGGCGAGCCCCAGGGATCGTCCATGATTGCTCAAGGTGATGGTCATCGTTGGTTGCGAATGGGGTGATTTTCGGTGATGAAGCTAAAGCTACACTTATAGATTATATGCGGATGCAACAATGAAGCTGGAGAGCACAAACTGTGCAATGAGGCATGTTGTTATCTACTTGACGTAAAAAGTTGGTTGCGAAATAAGTTGCCAAGATTATTCGTGCTGCGCTTAGTGTAGTCGAGCGCGATTGTCGACGTCTTGTCGACCACTAATGAGAAAACGCGAGACAGATTTAGGGGTCGAGTTTGCACATGGAACGGGGATCAGGGGGGATTAATCATTCTTAGCTCGGAACAGCTGGGAATCGAAGGAATGTACCTAGGTATCTAAGGAGGTACCTCATATGGACCTATCTGCTTATTAGCCACGTTACTAAGGAATACTACAGCCACTGTGGCTCAACTAAGGTTAATATGGATGGATGGAAGGTTAGGTAAGGTTGGAAAAGAGCATTGATCTATTTTAAGCCATGTACATAGGTACCTATTTCGTCATTTCCAGTTGTGGTGGGGTTACCTATGGCGGGGCAGTGGGAAGTTGGTATGAAACTGCTACTTAACGTTTGTACCTGCTGCTGATAAATGCGATGCCGGCAGAGGCCGAATGTTCTAACTTTTAGGTAGCGTAGGTACATCCTTACATATTTGTATGAAGAAATGAATATGTAGAATGAAGCCCTTTCAACCACCTTGAAATGCTTTCTCATTTCCGGAACTTGCCTTTAATCTGTTAACTACCTTTTATTCAATGCTTCTTCTTTAGGTTTACCCACCCCTAGTTCTAGAAATGTCACTCGCAAAAGTTAAGCATATTCTCCTGGTATGTACATCGCAGATCAAAAACCCTCATGCTAAATGATGATGCGCTCTAATGTGTAAATTTATAGGTCCTCTCTGGCAAGGGAGGTGTAGGGAAATCGTCTGTGACCACTCAGCTTGCATTATCCCTTTCGCTCTCTGGGCATTCTGTCGGAGTTCTTGATGTCGATCTTACTGGGCCTTCGATGCCGCGCATGTTTAACATAGAAGATGCGAAAGTTACCCAAGCGCCGGGAGGGTGGCTTCCCGTGACCGTCCATCCTGCGAACCCCGAGACCGATATAGGCGAACTGAGATGCATGAGCCTTGGCTTCTTATTGCATGGAAGAGGCGACGCGGTTGTATGGCGAGGTCCCAAGAAAACTGCCATGGTCCGACAGTTCCTCTCAGATGTATTGTGGGGAGAACTTGATTTCCTGCTCATCGATACACCCCCAGGGACGTCTGATGAGCATATATCACTTGCCGAAACACTGCTGAAAGATGCATTACCTGGTCAGGTTGCCGGTGCGGTAGTGGTGACTACACCCCAAGCAGTTGCTACGGCGGACGTCAGAAAGGAGTTAAATTTCTGCGCAAAAACAGGCATATCGGTCATTGGCGTTATTGAAAATATGGTCGGGTTCGTATGTCCAAACTGCGCCGAATGCACCAACATTTTTGGAAAAGGAGGGGGCCAAATCATGGCGGACGACTTCAACGTGCGCTTTTTAGGAGGTGTCCCTATAGACCCTCAGTTTGTTATGTTAATCGAAACGGGAAGACGACCACGATATCCTAAAGGCACCGTTATCGACGGGCAAGACTTCTCTGAGACGCATCAAAATGGGGATACAGACACATCGGCTGCAGAAACGAGAGAAGCCGGCCTGCTTGCTGAGAAATACCTGGAGTGTTCCCTTGAGCCTATCTTCAAGAAGATCACGCAAGATATCGTCACAGCTATCGGATGATGTCGGACAGATTGTTATCAGCCTAAGTTCTCTCATCTATCTAGAATCTTACATCGACATGACCAAAGGGAGCATATATATTACGATCTGATACAGGTGCCCAGGCCTGCAGAAGCCAACGGTCTGGTTTTTTAGTGGTTGGGCAGCTATCGCTACAACTAAATTCTGTGGCTGCGACTATCGCTATCAATCATATTCCGCATGCTTGTGGAGAAGCAAGTTTCTGCGACGCTGTGATTAAATGCCGACCTATAACGATCTGTATCTCGCAGGCCGGTCAGGGGCGTGACATCCGTCATCGTTGTACCGATAGGGCTATCTAGGAAAAAAGAAAAGAGAAAAAAGATTTTTTTTTTATTCAAGTGACCTGCATTCTCCAAATCCCGCGGCTGTGGAAACTTTCCTCGGACTGTGACCATTTTACCAATACCTGTCATTTATGCAGAGTTACGATTCGAGTTCTTTTGTTCGTGTGTAACAAAATTTAAGTTAGCAACCAGGAAATGAATGGTGGTGGTGGCAATGCGCAATGCTACGTTCGCACTCGTAGGCACGAAATAAAGACAGGAATCGATTTGACAATTCGATTCTTTTTTTTTTTTTTTTTTTTTTTTGTGTCGCATCTTGATATTTGACAGATTTCCATGATAGGTAGTACAATGCATACATAACCATACCATAGGTACCTTAGGTACATACCCTAACCGTGTCCGTCCACTGGTCCTCCCCTACGCTCCGCCTTACATCCCGTCAGATGGCCCCCATCCCGGTCCCGTCCAGTAGGCGTTTAGTAGGCTACAAAAGTATCCTCACCGCACTGCAGTAGTTCCCCACTTTGGGCATGGTAGTGACCTCACACCTACCCAATTGTTGCAAAATCAGGTACATACCCTATAGCTGGTACCACATGTACACATGGCCGTCCTTGCCGCCTACAACGTTGAACTAACTTTTCGCTTCTAAAGTTTGAAAATTTCCATTTTTTTTTTTTTTTAGGATCGGAGCCAAGAGGTACCTTGCACATGCCTTTAGCTGCAGTACATTTTCAAGGTACCTTGAAAATCTCTTTCACCGATAGATTCCAAACCTTCGCACTAAAACTTTCTCTTTACCCCCCCGAATTTGGATTTGTCGAGTAGACAATTCAACTATCCTACTTAAACATCAACAATTCCTTTTTTTACTCCCTGGTTGTTCTCAGCCCCAAATTGCCAAAAGCGTATTACAAATACCGCCACCCGGTTCCCTCTATCGAAGAGGTAGAATCACATATTTGGTCACAACTATCAACTTGCTTCTTGTTGCCTACGACTCGCGCTCGGATCGCCGCCGGCGTCACACGACACACGATACAATCAATTGGAGATATTTCGTTGCAGGACTTGGCGATAATAGTCAATGTCAAAGAAAATCAAACCCCTTCGTACTTTAACAACGTAATACTCGGCATCCATAGCCTACCTCTGGAGAGAACACTACTTGTCTGATAAGGCCTGGAATTCCATGAGCCCAGCAGATTTACTTCGCTTCCTCTCTAAGCCTGCAAAGTATAATTCCCTAACAATTCTAAGTATAGATTCATATGGGCTCTAGTTAATCATCTGTCTCTCCTACAGGCCCAGATAACACTAGCTTCGAAAGCATTCGACTAGAACTTGCCAACTTTATTTGTCGTCCGTTCTTCTATTTTTACCCTATCTGCAGATACCCTCGTCTGCTAGGTCCGATACTCCCCCATAGGTATCGGTTTCTGTCAGAACGAGGCTTTAAACAAGGCGTCACCATTCCTTGGTCTAAGGTCTTCTTTCTCCCCCTCCGAGCTCGACCACCCTAACGTCCTCTTCGTGAGACGTTAAAAAAATACCTGCCATTGTAGCTGGCTCCGCCAGCATTCACAGTTTCTCATTAACCTGTGGGCCTACTCTCTCAAACGAACGCCGCAAGGTTCGTTTGGGCGGCAGTCAGTGCTCCGCGGTCGCTACAGTACCTTACCTGCAGCAAACACCCCGATATTAGAACGATAAGCCGGCTCCTTTGAATCGTCTCGGCTGCTCGCCTCTAGGGTACCCGTACGGAGATGATCAACTTCGAGATCCCCACCAACTATACATTTTCGCCATCTGAGGGCACGCCCCATTTGACAATCAATCACAATGTTGCTGCAGATATAGACTCCACCAATGCCTTTGAAGGTATGATTTTCCGACTTCGTTAGTAGATGAATGCTAATAGTGATTAGGCCCGGAAAAGTTGCTCGAGGTTTGGTTTGCCCCCAATCCGAAATCTCTCCCGCCTGGAGTCAAGGAGAATGGCCTGAAGTCGGTCGCCAGTGAGACCTGGGTCGGAATGCTCGACATGGTTAATTGCAAGATCCTCTCGGTTCTCGAGGCAGAGCACATGGACGCCTACTTGCTCTCCGAGTCTAGCATGTTCGTGTTTCCCCACAAACTTATTCTTAAGACGTGCGGAACCACCACTCTTCTTCTTGGCCTTCACAGGCTCCTTCGAATCGCTGCCGAACATGCCGGATTCCCTTTCCATAATGCTACCTCGATGGACAACATCCATGCTGCCGCTACGCCTTATCGGGTGTTCTACTCGCGAAAGAACTTCCTATTCCCTCACAAGCAACAGGGACCCCATCGCAGCTGGAAGCAGGAAGTTAAGTATCTTGATGACATGTTTGAGGGAGGAAGCGCTTATATGGTTGGAAAAATGAATGGTGATCATTGGTACTTATATATCACCTCGCCATCGATGAGCTTGACGCCACCTCGTACGCCGGACGGTGAAAAGGTAGCTGCAAGTCCTACCAGCACGTTCAGGATTCCCACTGGTATGACTTCCGCCTTCAATGGTGGCCCGGAGGGCAATGACGAAACACTCGAGATTTTGATGACGGACCTTGATCCAGAGAACGCGAAGAAATTCTACCTAGAGCACGCGAGTGCGGTCGCGAGCACTAGGCTCTCTGAACAGGTTCAGGAAGCACGACAGATGGCCATTGACAGCTTTGGAGACCTATCTGGCAGTACCGCTACGCTTAAGACTACAAGCACGATCGAGAGCGTGTTCGACGACATGGTTGATGTGTTCAGCAACGGGAGCGACTCTGATCTGCATGATACGCATACCCCACTCTCTGAGCAAGCGGACGCCGAGTGCATGACTACGGAAGGCCACGCGCTTGGAACTGTGGTTTCGGACGCTTGTGGCCTTTCGGACGTATATCCCACTTCTAAATATCCGGATGCCCGTATCGATTCCTATCTCTTTACCCCATGCGGTTTCTCGGCCAATGGCATTATCCCAGCCCCTCAGAATCAGGAAATTGATGAGAATGCTAAGTCCACTCATTATTTCACTGTGCATGTGACGCCCGAGCCTATCTGCTCATTTGCTTCTTTCGAAACGAATGTTCCGGGTGGTCAAAACGGACGTGAAACCTCGGAAATTATTGACCATGTGGTTCGGATCTTCAAGCCTGGACGATTCAGCGTCACTCTTTTCGAGGCCAAGGCGGTCCATATGTACGACAGTGATGAAATCCCAACTGGGATCGGTCGCAGCAAGCGCATGGAGAAGATCCCAGGATACCGGCGCATCGATCGTATCGTCCACGATTTTGACGATTACGAACTTATCTTCCGGTTTTATGAGCGAGAAGATTGGGTTGGTGGAAGCGGTCCCCGCGTCGGGGAGGACATTTAAGGGCCAATTGGACTGTTGGCAACCCTTATGTCTTATCTTTTTCATTCTTGATCCGGTTTGCTTTTACATTTAATTATTGGGACTTCGGGAAAGTTAGCAGGCACGGTTGCGAAGGAAATTGAACAGCAATAGTCACTTTGGGTGGACGATTTCAGCATTTTGCTTCGACGTAGGGTTTCTTGTGTCAACCTATCTCGGGGTTACTCCAAGTCTAAACCTGGTACACTCATTCTTCACTGATCAATCAAGGCCTTAAATTGCCAATCCCTCGTTAAATTATGCCATGTGGTTGATAATCTACAGATGATATTAAATTGGGATGTAAACGAGGCATAGTAACTTCGGCAACTTATAAGATGGCCATTTCGAAGCCATATGTGTTACATCCTGCACGGCGAGCGCTAGAACATATACTTGTGCTAAACCGATCAGTCAATATATTCAGGGAAATCTAGGATAAAATACTATAAACCCCCTTTTCACCCGTATTTTGTTAGACCTAATAGTATCTTGCCAAGAAAGGGATTTTTACTAAATTTACCCACGTGAAGTTCATGTAACTAGCAATGAAACATATTCACCTTATAGAATCGTTATACGTTAAGACTATGGCGTACCAGAGGTATGTTGTACATTGCGGGCTTTAGCGGTGCTCGTCCTGCTTTTGCTTTGGAAGCTTTTAAACTATAGAGATTGTAACGTCTTGAGTTATCTGCATAAGCCAGAAGCACCCCTCCAGTATTGGACGCAGTTCTTACACGGCAGGAGTCTAGTGATATACGAGGCTTGTATCTCTGCTTTAACCTCAATTTCAACAAGGTCTTCAAGGGGTATTCCTATAAGACCTTTATCAACTTATTCACGGCTCATATATACCATGCCCATATTGCTGCAAGCGCACCTGAATAGCTTACATAGGTACGGCACCTGTTGCACGGGCATACCGTAGGGTGACGAGGGCCAACGGCTTCGTAGTTCTACTTCCTGACGATCGTCGTGTGGGAAATCCTTAGGGAGTATGATCGGCTAGGGCATATTCGAAGTGGAATTGTATCTTATATAACCTCAGTATGTCAGTATATCAATATGCCTACAGATGATCTATAATGCGAGTGCTTAGGTGGACTTGTTCTTCTCGAACTTTAGACACATTGATGCTGACGATTGAATGTATTCTATAGGAATGAGCGCTGCGGGTTCAACAGTTCTCACTCCACGTTTGGGCAATATACTATCTAGGATATTTTGGCAATAAAGCTAGAGAATACCGTCGATTGTTCATATTAATAACTCGCTTTCAAGATCGGAAGTCTAGATTTCCTGTACAATATAAACGTCTGGAACAGTCGGAAATATAATACAGTACATAAGCCCTAACTTGTACGATAGCTGTCGGTTCATATACAAATTCATTATAACATGTCTTACATCTGGATTTAATCAACCAATATATGGTACATATAAATCCGTTAAAACATTCATAATGGGTATATCTCGAAGCTGATTAAAATAACGAAGTAGAATGAATTTCTAATGTACAAGAGCGAGTGTAGAAAATCGACCTTGGGCTACCTGTAAAATGCTAATCACCTACGATCGATCCCGTCCTTGCAAAATCAAATGCACCGTTTCCGTATTGTCCGTCACCACTCTAAAATCGTTGAATGCATTCTTTTCTTACATGTCTTCCTGGAAGGCTGGAGCACCTGATGTAACATAAAGAAATATAAAGGGCGAATAATCAAACCCAAGTGATGCAGATCCGATTATGCCGCTCTTCCCAAAGCACGAGTTATATTATACAGTCTCATGTTGATCCCTAAATAGGATATCTTAGAGAGTTGATTGTGCTAAGAGCTGTTTAAGCCTCCAATGGTTTCGTTGGAATTTTCGTGCGATATACTCTCAACTAGGTAGTCGGTTGCTTGGTAGAGGACGGTGGTGTACAATGATGCGAAACTGTGGTCCTCATCTTGTAGATTATAATTTTGGAAGCCCTTCGCCTCGAGAAAGGCAGACATAAGCCTTTCTCCATTGTACGCCCAGTAATCTCGAAATTGGCAAACTGTAGACTCTATGGCGCCCGAAGGATAAGTTACGGCTGGCAAGTCTGCTCCGGGGAAAACGATTGTCCAGATGGATAGCCATTGCAGTTCCTCGGGCATCCGAGTGTCAGTAGGTTGAACTAGCTGCTGAAACTGTTGTATGGTTATGCCCTCGGGCGTCGACGCCTCCCGTGGGCCACACCTTCGGTGTCGAATATGACTATCGCAACGAGTCATTGTAGGGAAGGTTTTGCCGCACATTGGACAATAAGGCGGCAGCATATGGGCATTCCAGAGGTGCTGTTTGACACTTGCAATCCCTCGGAGGCTCAATCTCGTGAAACATGACATATGTTTCATTGGATCCCATCGGTAGAATGGACATGCAAACTGTCGTTTCAAAGGGAATTGGGTGTCTCTTGGTCTGGAGCCTCGAAAGTTACCGTCTCTCTGCTCCATGCCTAAGTTCCTCTGGATGAACGTCTCAGGCCGATTCTCTAGAACTGATTAGTTATAATTCCTTCGTGTAGATCGTCATTATACTAACTCTCAATATAGAACTCATTTAGAGCGGATAGTTTAAGCTCATCAACTACTCGTGCTAATGGGTGGTCGGGCTCTAGAACTAGGGACTCTTGTAATGTAGGTTCAAAAATGTCGACGTCGTTTTCATCAAGGTTATAGCTCTCTGGTGATGGGCTCGGATGGGAGGTGTTATAGAAGTGGCTCTTGTGGTAATGATCCATCATCAATGCGCGGGTGCTTTCAAATATATAAGTTTCTGCATACAACTAAGCTTGGTGAGTAGATACAAGAAGAAACGACTGAACTTCTAGGAGAAGGGTTTACGTATTTATCAAGATATCAATTGAATAGTCCCGCATCTTTAAACAGATTAATTCGAAGCCGCATCTAGGTATATCGAGAAATTTCAGCCTTTCCCTCAGTCGTGCTTCATATTTTACACATGGCTCAAGGATTATCAGTATTGATATTGGATTACAAGACCTATAAGAACTCTGCTGCCCCCAATCTAGCTTCAGCTTATATTAAGATGACACTTCTAATGTTGCCGTTTCTCAAAAGAAACCTGCATGTCTACGCTTACGTACGGTTATGACTGACGTCTTACGCTTAGAGGGTAAGGTTACGGCTTGCATATAGATGGCTAAATATAGAGGAATTAGTTGCATAATATGTGTGCGAGATATTTCTGCTCTGCATGCCTTATAGACTACCATAGCGGAAATATATGGCTATTTAGAATAATTCCGTATAAAAAAATAATTCTTTAAAATCTAAGGATAATTCCTTAAAATTTAAGGTTTTAATTGGCTGGAATAAGTGGACTAAAGTTATGTAACTTTTAAAAAGGCTTAAAAAGCTAAAAAGCTAGGATGCTGTCGCATATAATAAGTAATGACATTTTATGACATTACAAGTTACCTTTTGGTCAAGTAGATAATTTGACAGATGCTTAGGATTCAAACCTTAGGCTCCTAGCCCTACCATAAACATACCCCATTAATGCAGGAGTGTTTTAATTAAGCTAGTTGCCCTAATAGGTGGCTAGTCTACTAATGCTGAAAGAGTAGCCGTTTTTAAACTTTATTACCTACACTTTTATTTTTTTAATATTATTAACCAATTAAGATTTTAATTTCCGTACAAAAAAGGATATCCTGTATAAAAATCATTCCACTCCTTAAATATGATATTTCAAAACCACATTTTGCCGGTATGGTATGCATCTATTGGAATAGTAGATTATATTCTAATATCCTAAAGTATTATTATAGATATACTTCGTACTGAACCTCGGGAAGTTCATCCAATAAATGATTCCAATTGATAGTTTTACGCTAGTACGTAGTTAATATAAATATTTATCATCTTTGTTGTTATGACTTGTCGTAAGTACGAAGTATGTATATGCCTAATAATTAACTAATACTTTGCAGAAGCGATTGAAATTGAACCGCAATAATAAGAGCTATGGTTTCAAGTAACGCTCCAGGTTACAAGATTCCTTAGGTACAATACCTATTGTAAGTTTCAGCATCTCCCCCCCTCCCCCCCCCCCCCCAATACCGATATTTCAAGACGCCAACCCCGCATATTCAGCGCTAATTGTCAGGTCCTTTAGGTACATAATCACTACCTGACCAGGAGGGATCTTGCCAGCCAGGGTTGGTCAACACAACGTAAGGGACGATACCTCTATTTTCGTCTATAGGGGATAATTGGTTCTCAGGAGAGTTATAGACAGAATCCAGCGGGGCTATGGTTGGTTGAGGGAGCGACAATGATAAATTCGGATGGCCATTCGCATTGATAGATGACTGAGAAGGAGGAATAATGTCTCTCGGAATATAATCATTGCCTTGGTTGTGGTTGACATAGCCTTCCATCCGACGTGTGAAGTAAGGGGGAATACTAGCGAGCATGTTATACATGTGCCTGCAGGCCTCCTCTTGCATAGCTGGAGGAACTAGCGAGAGTAATGCCACACTATCGATATTGGGCTGGGCTTGGTATTCTTGGATTAGATATGACACGACAGTAATCTCGTCATCGAGATATGGGGACATAGGCTGCGGGATTCCTGGGAAAACGCAATTCCAAATTTCAAACCACTTTGCTGTGTCGTCACGAGCGTTTCCACCAGCTGTTTCTTTCATCCTCTTAACAGTATCAGTTGTCATCCCAGGAGGAATATTAAAGTCTCGAATTTCACAGTTGCCGTCCAGGATATGCTGATCACGGTTAGTGTGATTGGTGTCCCCCTCGAATATGTGCCCACACTGGGGACAATAAATTTCCTGTACATGTCGGCGAAGTAAATGCTGCCGCACATCGCCGACCCTGTGGAGATAATAATTGAGACACTGGAAATATGTCGAACTGTCATGGAGAAAGTAGGGACATGCATACCGCCGCTTACGCTCGCCCCGGCTCGAGGCAGATGCGATGGAACGACGCTTTTGGGGGTGCCGCTCCGGATGATCCCCGCCGCCCCTTTTATTGCGTTGTTTCCTGGGGTTTCCGCTGGAACCTGGAGGCGGGTATAAGTGGTCCTGTGAAATTTCACAGGAACCATTATTGGCTCCACGGCCGTCTCCTTCGCCTTGATCCAATTGAGGACTGTCCCAGAGATGTGGATGCAAAGCATGAGTAATGAGGATTGCATCTAAACACGGACCTTCAACGTGATGAGCAAGAGTCTGTATTACTTCCTCGATACTTGAATCCAAACAGGTGGATTTGCCCCGGATTTCAAGCTTTGGCACTACTGCAAGATCCCGAATGCAAACTTCATGGGTTTGGTTAGTGGGCATGCTAGCGGGCTTGCTAGCGGACCGTCTAGCTTCCTTGCTGATCTCTAAGTGGCACTTCATTCTCTCATTAAGCGCAAGTACCTAACATAATACATATTAGTATAACTACTATAACTTAGGAGATATAAACTGTCAACTGCCACATATAAAATCTTACGTACCTCGCCCCAATCTCCCAAGTTTACAACCCGCCCGTCTGTCGGGTCCATGAAGTGTGGCCCCGTTTCACATTGTGCTTTGCTTATTATTTCCATCTCCATTGTCGTCGACCTTCGGACTGTCCGATAAAGCAGGTGCTCGTATGTCGTGAAGCTTACAGTAGAAGTTCGGTGAGACTTCGCCAGGGTGAAAACTCAAATATAATGAAGAAGAAAAAAGTTTCCATTCGAGCATTCATCGTACCGACCGTCCTTCTTTAATCTCAATTGAGTACGCACATACGTGTGCTTCGCCATGGGCTCCGACACCAGTTTTCGGCACCGGTCTTCGACAGCAATGTGCGCTACACTTCCGCGTATGCAGGTGTTTTCTGACTTCTATTCTCACAAGCGATTTGCAGATCTAATGGTGCAATTTTGCTTCTATTACACAACTGTTCGTCTTCCAAGGCATTCTCCTGGGCTGCCTACTAGGTGTTGAGTTCCTCTATATTTAAATATAGAGCATAGCATGAAGCTACGCGTCTGTGCAAGTGAGCCTAATCGCGGCACTAGAGCACCTTTGCATGCAAGAAATCGCACCAAGCCCACATCTAATAACCATTACGAACCTCATATTTCGGTCAAGAACTAGTTGTAGGCCTATAGAAACCAAGTACAAACATAAAGGATAGATGTTATTAGGGTTTAAGCGCATCTTCTCGACCCTGAAGCTAGTTTGACTTGCCATACGTAATTCTAAGGGTGTATAAAGTGGGTAAGGCAGCCCCTGAATTGCCCGTATGAGCCTACGTTCGAATTCAGGGAATCCTTTACAGTTGTGTATCGTCAACCTAGATCTTCGGTGATGTGTCCAATAACTGAATCCCACGATAAATTTTAGAGTCATGAGGTGTCTATACGCTCCTGTGTGAAGAGTAGAAATGCAATATGGACCAACTCTTATGTCACATGGCATATTTGACACAGCAGTGCGCTTAGACAAACGTGTTGGTGAATTTTATGTTCTATTTTGGTCTTCACCTAGGTTAAGATGTCTTAAAAACTACATGTAATCAAAAAAATATTTAGTTACATGGTTTCATAGCTCAATGCTACAATACAAATCACTACAAGTCAAAGGTCTAAAGAGCCCAATTACAGCCTGAAGCCTTGCTATGGTCGCGTATATCAAGTGGTTTATCTATAAACGCGGGGCTAGGATAGAAAGTTACTACGAAATAAAATCAGCACCAAGAACTAAAAGCCTCTTAATACGATTAGACATAAAAAGGGGGGTAGGGATGCGGGCCGTAAGCTTGAAGATGCAGGTTACTCTTATCCGTGCAGTTCGACCCAAAACAGAAATTTATGGAGGCCTTGCTTTTGCATTAAATCAAGAATGAAGTTAAATACTTAGAAGTAAATACCACGGGTAGTTCATTAAGCGAAAACACCATTGGTAATAACAAATAAGAGAAAAGTGCTAATTTAGGCATCAAGTGTCAATTCATACATTGCATAACACCGCCTACTCGATCAATCTTCGGTGAATAGAGCGTAGATACAATGATCAAATCATCATGCCAGTCACCCCCTCACACCCTCGGCGTTAATGGAAATGGCGTCCAGCAGAGCGCTCTCGGAGTTCCCTTAGTTTTCAAGGTATGTGATATCCTAAGCCTTTGAAGCAGGCTACATACATGGTTGCATATGACATTATTCTCGCCCAATCAACCCTAGGGGCTTTAATTACTAATGTGCGGTAGAGAAATACATGCAAGGATCATGCGATCTAATAATCGGAAGATACGGGGCAGACGAGAGCCTTTCGATGAAAGTGGAAATAAAATACTATCTTATGATTAGAAGACTCACACCGAACTTTCAGGGTTGTTGTGGCTTATTGACACTAAGGCTTCTCAACATTTCTTTCTTCTGTTTTCCCTTTTATTATCATCGTCTTTTCTTGTTTGTGGCAGTTTTCAATGGTAATTTGAGAATATAGCATTAAAGCATAGAGGAAAAAGCCATGCCTAAAGTAGACCATGAATCTCCTGGAAAGATCGGGAGGCGAGGTGGAGTTTTGATATATCACCGAGGACCACTGGCCAAAATATCCCACCAAAAATGGCCATTCAAGACCGGTAATGGGTGGTATAGTACATATGATAATGGGAATGGCCCAGATATAGACACGATGAGAAGTAAGTCTACTGAGACGCAAGAATTAAGTACTTAAGTCCTTCCTATTCTAATCCATATACTAATTCTACCATAGTGCATAAAATTCAGCAAGATAGGATATCAGAGCTTGATGTAACTAAAAGACCAATTTTATTCAAGCCAATTCAAGGATACGCCAGCCGAAGGCAGCGAGGTAATAACCTACTCCCTGCACATGATGGACTCTTATTAAATATTTACATAGGAGAGTTCGGTTACAATCATGTCCCTGAATTTACACATAAGTGCTCCCCTTCGCCTAATCTAGAGGCCATTTTAGCTCGTAACTTATCAGAGTACGATTGCCCTTTTCAGGAGAAGCTTGGCCTCCCTTATAATGGCTCGATCAGTTTAGACCAATTACCCAGCTTATTACCTGATTCTAAATCGAGGGCAGAAAGCCCATGCTTTTCGCAAAATAAACGCACGATAAATGAAGCAACAAAAACGGATAAGCCGCTCTATGGTATCGGGAAATATTTAGCTCCATTATCTCCCGTTAAAGGTCAAACCAACAGCATCCCGAAGAAAGAAGAATATAGCGCGGACAAACATACGGGACTCGAAAGCCTGGAGAACCCGAGTACGGGAAGATTACATGGAGTCGAGAGAAACTACGAAGACCAGCACTTTACTATAGGTGTTGGGAGACGAGGGGTATCACCAGCACAGCTTATACGGCCGTTAGACTCTGGAGAAGATCCGAATGAAAAAGTAGCCCAGAGCAAACAGAGTATACAATCTGATAAGGATGGTGGGTGTCCAAGGAAGAGGTGGTTGGCATGTCTCTGGTATAAGAAGGATCCGTTGAAATACTCCAGTTGCGCAAAATATAAACTATTACGCATCAAGGATGTGAAGCAACACACCTATAGGAGACACATGAAGCCTGACATCTACTGTTCTGTTTGCTTCAAAGTATTTTCAAAGGAGAAGGAGAGAGATAGACACATGCAAAAGAAATTGTGTACCCCCAGGAGCGAGCCAGAATTCGATGGATTATCAGAACAGCAAAGAAAGGAGTTAAACCAGAGTGCTAACCGTGGGAAAGATGATGTAGAACGATGGTATTGTATGTGGGATACAATTTTCCCCAGCGAGCGCCGACCTCTATTGCCATACCTTGGAGTCGGCCGGCAGGAATTACTACCGCTGCTTCGGAGTTTTTGGAACCAAAGACACCAAGATATCATACGCAACGTCCTGCAGAGACCATCACAACGAAAGGTAGAACCTAAAATGGTCCAAAACGTCATGGATACTATCTTTGACAGATTTGAAGCTGAATCCCTAACCTGGGACTCCTACCCCAACGAGCATTCAGGCGATGAATCGTCGGAGAATGGCAATTCCCAAACACAATCTCCCGGGATCTCGAACGACGTTACCATAGGAGACTCACCCCCCCAACAAGATATCACAGATTATGGGACATTATACGAACCCTCAGGATACCAGCCCGGTCTAGAATCCAACCTTCCTTTGGAGCCCATGAGCGAGAACGATTTCGACCAGTACCTCGGAATTGAGACTGGATTTGATTTGTATCAATATGGCACATGGGGATTGTATTGAAATTCTTGTCCTAGCATGCAGGCTCTTGAAATTACAGAGTCTTAAGCGGTGGAGCATAGCAAGTATCTCAAAGTTTACTTGATAATCACTTACTAGTAACGAGTGGAAGGGGATCAATTTAGAAGAGAAAAAGGATTTTCATTTATGTTTAAGTACATAGTTAGTTACCTAATGTATACTACTCAACTATTTTCAATCTCATGTCTATGTAGTACCTAATCCTCTTAACTGGCATAAGACAACACGCCCCTTCGTAATCGGTGGAGTACCTAAGGTAAGGTTCAACGCGATTCATTAACATAAAAGGGAAAGGCCTTGCGATATGTCTCTATAATTGATAAATACAATTGGGCCGTTCTAATAACGTAGAACTAGTTTATCTTCTCTGGCCAATCTTAATACATGAAGACTGAAAACAGTGGAGATAGAGATGTTGTCTTATACCAGTTAAGAGGATAAGTTGTGTGAACATGTGACTGGACATACAACGAGGATACAAAGGCAGAGGCACCGGTAAGGAAGTAAAACATACGATAGTCCCACCGACAGAAAATAAACTGTAAAGCTGCTGTGTAAAGCTCCCTAACACAGGAGCTGATGTCGTTAAACGAAACACGTGCTCTTCTCCCCTTTTCTCTAATCCTTGTCTGGAGGATTCCGATCTGGCGTGTAACCACCACCAGGATGCTGCCGTATCACATACATCTATTACCAAGCACACTATTGGCAATTCTTGCTAAATATCATGTTAATATAAAATAATCACACATCTATTATGAAGCATGTATGCAATAATCGATTAATCACCTAACCTGTTAACCCTATCCGACCAGCACTAGATAATTCCCATGGACCGATGACGAGAAACATGATGATCAAAAAATAAGTTAACCATGTACTTATAATCTATCAGTTCCCATCGTCGAAGAGTTTAGTATTCGACTCGCATCGCGATTTCGGGCGCAACTTCGCCGAAACCGAATGCTCAGGCCGGGAAGCTGATAGCCTCCGCGCGAAAAACAACTCATTCCTCGTAGTCGTTAAAGTCGTCAAATTTTCCTGCTTGCTGAGTCCTACAACGCCAAAAACAAAAATGCACCGGTCCCTTCTCCTCTGGATATCATTTATGCAATCTCCGACGTCTATAGTATTTCCCTAAGTAGCTGTTTCTGCGTTGCTGTTAAGCTGGTAGGGAATTTCACATTATACTTAATGATGAAATTGCCCCGCTCGCCTGGCTTCTTCGAGATGGGCATGCCGAGCCCAGGGTAGGAGTCTGATGTGCCTGGACCTGTAGGACCGCCCTTCTCTACATTGAGTTGCTTGCCGTCGATTGTCGTTACAGTCCGTCTCCAGCCGGTTAAGGCTTCCTTTAGGTCCAACTCGATTGTGTGGATCAGATCGTCGCCATCACGAACGAAGAGAGGGTGTGGTTTCTATCCATCAGGTTAGTTTCTGTCCGACTGCTCGTTTATACATTTCTTGGGGTACGATGATAAGCTTACCTCCTCGACAATGAAGTGTAGATCTTGTTTTCCACCCTCCTCTTGGTCGCCGACGCCCTTGAACTTGATCTTGCTGCCCTTCTTTAGGCCGGGTTTGATAGGAACTTCGAGGACTTGGTCGGTAGTTGTCCTCTTACCCGTTTCGTCGAAGGTCTTTCGCTTGATCTTCATCTTCTTGGTGACGCCGTTGAATAATTCTTCTAGGGATAGTGGCAGGGCACGCTCGACAGTTGTGACGTCAGGCGTCGCTTCCCTCGGCCCGCCGCTTGAGAAGGGATCCCCAGTGGCAAAGTTATTGCGCATGCGTGTTCTCCCACCTGAAGCTCGGGGCATGCCACCAGGCATACCGCCAGGCATACCGCCTCCAAAGAACGAGGTAAGATCGGGTTCGTCATCGTCTCCGCCTAGACCCCCTCCGCTACCGCGCATAAATTCCGCAAATATACTTTCGGGTGCACTGAAGTTGAAGGGGTTGCCTCCGTTACTATTGGTGCTAAAGCGGAATGTCCGAGCACCTCCTCCCCCCGGCATGCCACCACTAAAATCGAAGCCTTGGAAGCCACCAGGCATGCCACCTTGGGCTCCCGCGAAAGGATTCTCTCCGGGCGGCGGGGCAGCACCGCCACGTAATAGAAACTCAAGGCCGAATTGATCATAGGTCTTCCGTTTTTCGGGGTCGGAGAGGATCTCGTAGGCTTGGGAGCACTCTTTAAACCTTTCGGCGGCGGCGGGGTTGTCTTTATTCTTGTCGGGATGCCACTTTAAGGCTGCTTTTCTGCCGGAGGGTTAGTATTTAGTGTTTAGTCAAATGAATGAATGCATGAAAATGGATGAAAGAACGGTGTACTAGGGATGGAGTGGGGTAGACTTACCGATATCCTTTCTTGATTTCATCTTGAGTGGCATCTGGTTTGACGCCGAGCTGGTCGTATAATTTTGTCTCCTTCACCATGTTGCTTGATATATAGGAAAGTGGTGTTGTTTGTTAACAGGTGCAGTGGTGCAGGAAATGAAGGGTAGGTCGTTATTCAAATGAGGTTCTGTGGTTGAGTAGGTGAGTGATTGAGTACCTAAGAGGTAATCTCGTGTGAGGTATCTAAATAGGAATCGAGGTCGACGGATTTGTTTGGCGTCGATGAATTGGTGCAAAGAAAACGTTGGTAATTGTAAATATTGTTACGAGAAAAAAAAAAGAAAAGAAGACAAGAAATGTGTCAGTGTGTTGGTATGTCAGTTTCTTTTGTCCTTGGTAATGCTGAAACTGTAAAAGATTGGGTGCAATGCAAGCTGGACAGCTTCATGTACTATAGCGCCGGTTTTCTTTGTGGTGGGCTGGTTGGTGGAAGATTCGGGAATTGGCGATGAGAAGGTGGACAAGTGACGTTTTGGGTCGAAGATAAGTGGGAACGATAAGATTCTCCAAGTACCAAGCTACTTATATTTGTAGCAGCTACGATGCAACAATTCAAGTATTGAATACTTAGAAAGGATCTCCAGATGAATATAATCAGGTGACCGTAAGCTCTAAAATCGTTTACGTCTCTATTAAGCTCTCGACAGTCCTGGAACCAATGAGAACAAACCACCACCTTGATTTCTTATGTAGGTACTATGTACTTTAAACTCAACTCCCTTTACTCCTCGCTTACTTTTTAGTTCTTCTGCTAAATCTTGCAGGACTGCGGGACTGCGGGACTGCGGGACTGAGTAACATTGTATGAGTCCCTAAGGTAGGTAGTATCATAATTGAATAAACTTACGACGGCAGGCAATATATACCTAATATATATATTTATATTTATCGCCTGCTAAATACTCAATCTAAGCAATCTGGCATTCCGATACCTAACCAAATTAGTGGAGTCCGCGGGGGTTTATGTGGGATAGATTCGGGACTGGGATGTCGGTAATAGCGATGCAAGCGAGAACAAATAGTGCAGAGCTTGATTTTCTGCACGCGAGCCACGCTTATCGATCGATTCAAACACTATTATTGACAATAATACTACCGGATTTGGGATGAACAAGCAGCCAAGTGACCGTGGTAACAACTGACCTATATATACCTTATCATGCCTTTGTCAGTCTCCCATTCCGGTTGAGCTTTTTGTCTACTACCTATCTATGTATGTACATACCTAACCTAGGTATGTAGAAGATTTAGTCCATTTCAATGGGGAGCAGTTGTTGGAGCATTCTACAATCTTCTAGAATTTATAATACAACGATACATGTATTAGCCTATCATACATACATAGTACATAGTAAGAGAATAGATTATCGCATCACCTAATCACTATGTAGGAAAGTCAAATATTTATAATTCCTTGCCTTATGCCTATTCGTTATCCGGCCTTGGGTATCATGAAGTCAATGTGCTGTGTACCATACGCGCCAAACAAGACTTAATTTCAACAGCATGGCTCAACCCCGTTTATTAAATAAATAAACCATAAACCATTCATTGCCACATCCTGTCATCGTAACTCCAATACCTATGCCCCTCCCATGCCTCATTATACATTTTATTATAGACGTGAACCTCGTACCTCATAATCCGGATAACGCCAGGTCACTGGTGATGTGACGTTATTCGTGATGTTCTACATCTAAGTCAATGTCCATCATGTCGATCGGGCCGCTCTGAGTCGCATGGCTGGGTCGGGTTAAGAATGGCGCGGGTCCTCCGGTGCGCTCTCGCATCTCAGGTGGCTTGGATGTGTCAGAGTCAAATGTTTGCATCTCCTCCATGTTGCTGTGTTCCTGCTCATTTGTGACCCAACCCCCTACCTCCGTCGACTCATTTTCATGAGTACGGCAATTTGCGAGTGACTCAACAATGCCACCGAGTTTCTTAGACTGGGGGCTATTGTTGGCAACTGGTTCGTAGTAAGTGCCTAGTGCTGGATACGTTGGGAACTGATCCGGATTATCAAATATCAAATCAACATCATCGAGATCATCGCGAGAACTGCCATGTGTTGCCACCGACGAACCAATGCTGTGTTTTCGTTTGCTCGAGCTTGTGGTAGGGATATAAGATAAATTCTCGGTAGTGATTCCTGGGGGGTCTGAATTCTGTAATTGTTCCGGACTTTGCTCTTGGGCAAGTTCTTGTTGAAATGAGCGATTATCGGCCCGTACGAACATCTATAGAGATTTAGTGTCCATTTCATTAAAGCGAACATGTGACATACCCGTAAAGCATCCGACAAGGGGAGCGGCTTCGCTTCCATAGCGGCTTCCGAAGCATATATGAATATAGGATACTTAGATTCGGTCCCGGCCGCGTGGAGTACGTCTTCCAGGATTGCTTTCTGCGAAATCTGTTCAGTGCCTGAGAAGAATAGATATTGACACTAACATACCTCGGTTTTGATTGGGTTTGTTTCGCCCGACGAATATCCTATTTTCCACCATTGATCCAAGAAAACAGGCCCCCCATCGACCTCCATTGAATCGCTGTCTTGTCTGACACATACATATGCGAGTTCATTTGTGAGCGCAACGCCGCGAAGGGTGTATTTATGAGTGGGGTTCCAGTATTCTGGATGATAGGCAGTGGTCGACCGGAAGACATATTCTTCATCGTCTACTTCGTGTTCTTGGCATGTCAATCGCTTTGAAATTACTCTCATAGAGTCGTAGTATGCCTTCTTTGCCTCTACAAGGTCTATAATTAGGTTAGAAAGATGCCATCCTTTCCAAAGGAAATATAATAGACTTACTCGCCAGATCCGTCTTAAGCTCTTCGAGCTTCTCTCTGCACCCATCAACAACATTTTTCCATTTTTCCATTCTTTCTTCTTCTTCGGGGAGAAATGTGTAAGGTCCGCTCCATGTATGAATATCGTAAAGGTCTCCAAGGCCGAGTTCCAGTCCCTCCTCCATTCGGTCATAATGATAACGCCATTGCGCAGCCCTAATCTGGCTTTGCATCATCCTTTCGCTGTGCTTAATGATTCCATTTAGGCAAGCGAAGAGGTCATGAGGACCATTGCCCAATCCGTTCACTTTCTGGCAGCGTTGACCGTGACATCTTACCAAGCTCGCCTCTAGCAGATCGTATAAGCGTAACTTCTTTTTTGCTAGGCGCATATAGGTCTGGAACTTGAGCCCAAGGTCCTTTCGATCTCTCATGTACCGGTCCACATAAAGCACGGCTGGCACCTCACAGGGCTTAACCAGACCGGGGCCATTAAGTCGTACTGTCATCACCTCGGCAGGCTTGGATAGTACGGCATAATTGGAATCCTCTGGGAAGGAATGGTCTAGTGCCAATGCATGTGTCCAGAGCAAGTTATCCAACGCGTCGTAGAATGTGTTCACCCATTGATACTGTTCATGGTCTAATGCCAAATCCAGAAATATAAACGGCGTATCTTGTTCTTCATCACCCCAACTGTCAGCATCACCCTCTGGTGGGGGTTCCTCACTTTGCATAGGGGCACAAGACAGGACAGTGCCCATGGTAATCATAGGTTCTAGGTCGCAGGAAGGGTTGTTAGGGGCCTCTTCCTTGATAGCCTCGAAGAGTTTATCTTCAACGTCGGGCATCCAACTTCCAAAGCTAGGGTCAATTGCTTTGGTATCGACGAGACCGTCAACAGTCCCATAACTCCGTTCCGTCTTATCGAGGAAGGCCATTAGACGATGAAGCTCTTCGGAAAACTCCGGGTGCGCCTCATCACCCCAGATCGACTCTCCTCTGGCCATCGCCGCCAGATGTTCATGCTTGAGGATTGGCTGACCTCTCCACCATTCCGAGTTGTGTCCATAGTTCTTAGCTGGATTTCCGCACTGGAGTAGAATGTTTCTGACAGCCGGAATCTTATGGTAAATCGATAAGATGAAACCTACCCTGTGATCCTTGGTCTGTCTAAGAAATGCAGGAGCTTCGGGATCACGCTTCCTGCGGGACGGGGTAGGATCAGTTTTCACGGCATCGATACTCGTTTTAGTAGAAACCATAGCCCATTGTTCAATATCATATTCCGGTCGGTTTGCAGGACCAAAATATTTCAGGTTCGTTTCGTTGTCAACAATACCAGCTTCCTGGCGTTGAATTCCCGACTCGGCAGCAGATTCGGCCAAGGCCCGCTCTAAATTCGCATCTTCTTCGGCGGCGTTAGCTGGTGCACCTAACAAGTGTGGGTTAGCACTGCTATCTAGTAGATATAAGACTGGCGTATAGTAGTACCAAAAGAGGACGTGTTATTAGCTCGTGAAGGAGGTCTAGTCGGAGCCGTATTGTTCTGATAGCTGGTAGGCGCAAGCTCATCTGGACCCTGGATATTGAAAGCTGCGACAAGAGTTTAGTAGTGAACCTGGGTACAAGGCAAACGAATACCGCACATATCCCCGAACCAGTCGCCTCACCATGGCGATCCATGCTAAACTGTGATTCATCCCACCTGTACTACAGAGAACTTAGCGTAAGAGACAGAGACTAGAGGCTGCATATATCGACGGGGCTGCGGGGGTAGGAAAAGGCAATGAAGTACCTTCTGACTGTCGGGATCTTCGAAATACTCTTCGGTCGCACGTTGGAGGTCGTTATTGTTTGCCTAAATAGAAAAGGACCATCAAGTTAGTATCGAGATACAGCACTGCTAATAGGTAATATACATGAAATGGTGAAATGTAAGGCAATCGTAAGGTTAGGTTAGGTACCTTTAAGCGGGTAATGGCCTCGCTTCGGAGGAGGCCTGTGATATCACAAAACAGAGTAATAGCCTCTTCTGTCGGGTCGCCCGTTGTCGCCATCTTGAGGAAAGCTTGAGGAAAGCTTGAGGAAAGCACGCTATGCTACGACTAGTGAAGCATAGAAAACTGCATAGAAATCTCTAGAGCTGAGGGCGATGATGATGGTAGTAACGATAGTGGTGGGAAAGGGAAAGGAAAGAGTATATATGCGAATCCGTTACTGCGCTCACGCTGACATTTTAGGTAGCTGCGATACCTTAGGCCAAAGACATATATGTAGTATATATGTAGTATATATGTAGTACAGGATTAAATATGTTGAAACAAGAACACGGCCGATAAAGATAACGTAAATATTGTCTGTGATTCTATGTTCTACGGGAAGTTGGAGCTTTTTTCTTATCCGAGCATGTGCAGTACAGGGAGGACCTACCTATCGTAGGGCTTAGCTGATTTAGGTACAATACATTATAGTTTAGGTACACTACGCAACATACATACCAGGTATATAGGTACCTACCTAGGAGGTACCTATACCTTACTAAGGTATCTGAACTTTGAAGTTTAGGTAACTACCCCGCAGACGTATCAGGTACAGAAGGAAAATTAGCGGGATGCCTCAAGCTCATTTATCTCTATTGCAACTCCATTTAAGCTCATCCAATATAGCCACCAACCTAAAAAGCCTTATAAGTCAACCTCAGCAAGCATGGAACTGCTAGGTTAGTATGTTGTGGATATTCAGGTAGGTAGTTTTGCACTATTTTACAGCAATATATTTAAATCATTTTCACTCTCAAATTAACGCTGTGGAACCAAGGATTGGCCACTTAAACATCGTCTCATTATATCGCCAGTACAACTGCCCAACGGCAGACCAGACAGTTATATACATAGCAATTCCGAGATGCATCCATCAACCCTATTACAACATTCAACCTTAAACCAACTAGATATCTCACTCAAGGAGGTCCTAAACTTCAAATTTCCCGTAAATCTTCGCGAAATTCCCATACCAGAGTAGCTTACAATGCAAGCCATGTTCCACCAAACATCAAGAAGATGGCGATTACAACGATAGGCATGGCAATATTGGGGGGATCAATACCAGGCGCTTCGAGGATAGGTAGGCCAAGTACGGTACCTGCGCTAAGGTTTGTAGCGGCCCCGGTGAGAGCAACCTGCGACAAATTTCCACATCGTTGGTTCAATTGGGCATCCATCATCATCGCCGGAAGTTTCGGGGACTCAACATCCAAAATAGCCCTGGCCGGAAACGTTCCAAGAGGAGAAGAACGCAGGAAAGCCGAGCGATACGTCGCGTTCAATGCGACGGTAGAAAGATTGGCTACTAGCGCATAGTTCTGGCAGAGAGGCGAATTCACATCGTTCGCGCTAGGACTTTGTCGAGGTAGCAGATCGTGTGTGGCATCAACCTCAGCGACTGCAATGTTGCAGATGGATAGGAGGAAGACGAGAAGTTGGAACGGTGTGCGGAACATGGTGCCGGCGCTTATTTCGTAATTTAGGGAATTAATGCGGAGAAACCGAAGAAACCGAAAAACTAGAACTCGTTGGATATTGTGGCCTGCCACAGAGTATAGTTGATGTAATTAAAAGGGGTTTGATGATGAAGCAAACCGTAAACGAAGAATAGCGAATGATGAAGAGATCAACTCATGAAGAAGAAGAAGAAAAAGAAGAAGACGGAAAGGTTAAGAGGGTATCATTTGAAAATATAGGATTTGGACTAATATCGTTCGACGGGGAGAGGGGGTGCCGGACCAGGGGTGATCAGACGTCTCAGATCCCGTAGCCGCGATACATAGCGGCATCCATATTACAGGCGAATCAGATCCAGAATAACCAAGCCACAATGGCTGATGTGATAGATGTAAGCCACTCATAACAAGGACTTATATCGAGACAATGCCTCGTGTAGTAAGCCTCACGACTTGTCGTAAAACCAATAACGGAATTAGTACCTAATGTATCAGCTCAAGGCTTGATCCATTCAAAAACGACGACAATAATATTGCTCACGATATTAACAAAGGTTAACCCAGAGCTGAAATATGTCTTCTATATCAGGTATTCCCTTATACCTTTTTCTTCATTTACATCTCAAGTCAATTCCTACCATTCGACTTTATACATACGGTTGACCTGATTGATGGCATGGATCACTACCTAGAGCTGGATCCCACCCCGGACCGCGAACTTCCCCAACTATTAAATCCTCTCCTCTGTTCTCAATGTCAGGGTTGGAATGATATTGAGCTCCATAAGTCAGGATCTTGCATTCAAAACTTCGTGTCTATTGAGGAGCTTTCACGGAATTCCCTGTGCTTGATCTGTCAGGCTGTCTTAGCAGTGTTTAACATTCGTCGCCATACCCTCAGCACCTTACAGCCATGGCCGGATTCTCGCATCCTTATCGAAGTTCTAGGCCCATTATACCTGGACACTGTATCCTCTAATCAGCGCGAGCTTGATTTATCTAATTCGAATAATATTCCTATCCGAATGTTTCTTAGGCTCACTGTTAGAGTCCCAAAAGATGACTTCGAAGTTACGAGCAGTAATCGTCCAATAGACTCTCTCTCCAAAGAGTATCCCACTCGCGAGTTCGTGACTCCAAGGGAAAAGCAACAAACTCTCTTCACAGTGACTCCACAGTTTTGCTTGTACTATTCTCTTAACAATACTTCGACCTTGTGTAAAATCGAGGAATGGGCCGTGCCCCTTTTTAATAAATCGGTTATTAGGAGCTGGATTCGAGGATGCGATACTATTCATGGTAACAAATGTACCGAACCTCCCCATCAGACCCGTAAGCCCTCCCGAGGTATAGTCATTTAAATTCAGAAAGTAAGCTAACATCAAGTTAGTAGAGTTTCCTCCGGGCTTTCGTGTGGTTGATGTCGTAAACATGAACATCGCTAAGCCGGTTGGGCCAATACGTTATGTTGCTTTAAGCTACATGTGGGGTTCCGCGGCTGGCGGTCAGAACGATTTTCAACTTGAAAAGAAGAATGTTAGATACCTTGAGGCTCCGGGTAGTCTTACTGATTCCAACATTCCCAAGGTCATCGCTGATGCCATATCGCTGTGTAGAGACCTCGGAGAAGTTTACCTCTGGATTGACAGACTCTGCATCGTCCAGGATGACCAGGAACAGAAGCCGGCGCAGATAGCGGCTATGGATAAGATATACCGCTCTGCTACTTTTACACTTGTAGCTGCCCTTAATAATCCTAATGGAGATGGACTTCCTGGTCATCAGGGGAAACCGCGGGATCTTTATTCATCTATCTGGATTCCACCCTATGATGCTAACGTAGAAACACGAGGAATAAGCCCAAATGGCATTGGAAGTTTGGTGGATTCCTCTCTTTGGAATAGAAGGGGTTGGACGTTTCAGGAGAGGCTACTTTCTCGACGATGCCTCTTCATTACCGAACATCAAGCCATGTTCAAATGTTCGCAAGCAGAGGCAAGTGAAGAGCTCACGTGGAGTCCTCAAAGTCCTAGAAAACCCAACCCGCCAGCGGTTTTGGATGACAGTCTAGCAAGCAGTAATATTGAATATGGGAATGATTTGAACGAATGCAAAATTTATCAAATTCCAGGCTACTTTGAGCTGCACTCTTACGGTACAAAGACTGAGTACATAGTTAAAGGTACCGCATCTTTAGCAGAATACTGCGGATGGGTTCAAAATTATACATCCCGCCAACTTTCTTATGGCACTGACATTCTCCATGCTTTTACAGGCGTAGCCAAATACCTTTCTAGGTTACTGGCTTGCCCAATGCTATTCGGCCTACCGGAGAAATACCTACCACAGTGTCTCATGTGGAGTTGTCCAAGGGAAACAGGCCGAAGGGGTGAAATGCCAGAAATACCCAGTTGGAGTTGGGCAGTGGCGTTGAGCGCTGTTAGTTATGATTGGATAAGCGGCAACAACTGGTTAAGCCAGGACGTCCTTGAGACTGCAAGCTTAGTGTTCTTCTATTACCAAGACCCAGCTTGCGGTCTTCGGAAACTCAATATCCAAGAACGGTGGATCCAACATGAAGTAACAATTGAAGAAGTAGCAAACCAGGCCGAGCTACCAATCCTCACGCACAAAGCGCTACCTTCGGACTGGAGAACTAATCGAGATTGGGAAGACTGTCCCCATAATCCATCCCAAACTTTTGCCCGCCAAGTCTTGAATGCAGAAGCCTGCCGGTTCGCTACTATGTTTCCCGGTTCTTTGGTCTTCAATACGACAGTAGCATCCCTAGGCATAGACTTCTCTAAAAGTAATATCGAGAACGACCATAATGCACAGAACGCGTCAATTTGTAATGAGGGCACCATTGTTGGGCACCTAAACATGATGAGTTTCGCGTGGATTAATACACGACGGACGACGCCAGGCAATAGAAAGCTTTTCGACTTTATCGTTATATCCGGCGCTCTGCAACCTTTATCAACTCGCAAATGGCATGCCTTCCTTCGTCAGCATGATCATATATGGCAGCTGCGTGTGATGCTTGTTGAGCGACTGGCATGTAAACCATTTGTTGCCCGTCGCGTTGATGTAGGAGCCATCTCTTTGTGCGACTGGAAACAGTGTCGGCCCCGATGGGAGACCGTTGTACTATGTTGATTCTTCAAGTATCAGTGAGATATTAAGAGGTAGTTGTGCGTACAGTACCCCCCTGAAATAATGTTAGCTTATTGGACGTGCACGATATAGACCAGGGCTTCTAATTCTGAATAGAACAACGCCTTTTTAAAACATCTTGACTATTATACCAGGGTTTTATAGCATAAAATACTCCGAAACAGCACTTTCAAAAAACTATAACAACCTCATAGGGTGGCAATAAACATATGCTTCAGGATTTCAGCGAAGTAGCTCCAGGGTCCGCTAAATAACATTATTTCAGGGGGCGTACTATATTCAAAGTCGATTCGTATCTAATGGTTTTTCATAGTTGCAACGACTGTAACAAAAGTAGCAAAACTAATTATCACTAACTGATTAATCATACTAGCGCAAGGCGATACTTATAACAGTACATGATATATGTCGATCACTACGAATTCTAATATTCACAAGTCTATGCTACCAGATATAGCGGCGGGATGTCACACTAACAACTAGGCGCATTTTGGATGTTCTGGTAAAGCTCGTCCAAGATAATCAAACAAGTATACAGGCTAATATTAGTATCTCTTATAGGCTACCTAGGTAGGTAGCCATGAAAAATTTCCGACTTGGCTTGCCAAGTCTAATAAATCACCGTACCCTATGATAGCCGTGATCCCCACCCCGATACTAATAGGGGGCGTATAACGGTATTAGAACACCTTTCATTGAGACTACTTCAGAGTCTAAAACATTAGCCCCTTTAAAGAAGCATGGGGGTTGAAGAATAATATTAAAAAAAGCTACATGCCACAAGCACGATGCCCTATCACAAACTCCTACGGCTATAAAAGCAATAATAAGTTTACCTAGGTAGATAACATTGTTACACTGGGCGTGTATGGCTGCTACCTATCAAGGTCTATACGTATACATCATACGAAGACGATACACACACGTCATGACGCAGTTAGTTGGAAAGTCGATCTACGAATGAATCACAAAGAGTGACCAAGGTGCCATGTATTGGCTAGGGAAATGGTTGTCTCCATACCCCGCATAAGCTATCCATCCATCAACAGAGGACTAGGTTAGACCATGCTTGTGATGCCCATAGTTCCATCGACGCAACCGAGGGTCTCGACGGCAATCCAGGTGTTTCACACGAAATTAAAAACCATGGTTGATTGTTGGAGGCAATGCCAATCACTCGCTCAAGTAGACTTACTATGATTGTAACAACATGGCACTTAAACGCAAGTCCGTGCTCCACTTAAATTGGAACATACCCCATGTATCCGAGTTTTCGGAATCCGATTCTTCGGAGTCCGGACTGAGCCCGGCGGGGTCGTATTGCGGGGGACTTGCATGAATATGGAGAAACAACCCCGGCTCGGCTCCACTTCCCCACGGCCGTGCCTAGTAGGTATGCATCCCTGTTGGGGTTCGGAATGTACGATCGGTAATATAATATGATACGCGAAAGGTTGACGATGAAAGGTTGACGGTGTAAGGATGATAGGAAGTGGAAATGTGCGATGTGGGAAACGTACAGCTAGATTTTAACCTATAACTAAGAGACTAACATAACTAAACTAACATAACTAGACGAACATAGACTAACATACAATCATCATATGCATAGGTATCTAGGTAACCTAGATACCCACCAGTAGATTTATATCAAGTAGAGAAATGGAGACCAGTACTAACGTTGCCCCAACGAGCGTATACGTAGTCCTTCGGTGGGTGCGCCCTAGGCTGCCAAACTCCTGTCTCTCCGTACACAGGAAGTCTCTCTGCCGCAAGATTGGTGTAGGTTGACTTTAGTCGAAACATCTGTTGAGACTCCTCAGCAGCCTCTTTTTCTGACATCTGAGGAACTGCAGTCTTCAGTCCTTTGCTGTCCATGTATTTCAATAGCCGGACCACAAGGAAAGATGTTATGTCAGCTCCTAGAGTCCAGGCGTTGTCGCCATATCCAGTCACAAACGTCATGTTTGGAACACCCTCGAGCATCGCACCATTCCAGATACGTCTCTTGGCCCACGACATGGTCTCCCCGTCGACGCGTATATCAATGCCTCCACCCAGCTTCATATGCAGACCAGTAGCAGTCACGACGGCATCTATATCGGTAGTATTCATCTTGCCAGTCTCATGATCCTTGGTCTGTACCCCAGTGTCTGTGAAATTCGTGATATCTCCGGTAATCACCTTCACGGTAGGACGATGGAGGGCTTTGTAGAAAATGCCGTCGGGGTCCATACACATCCGTTGCTCCCATGGATTATATCGAGGTTTGAAATGGGGGTCCTGCTCGAGCCACTTCGGCAGCCTCTTTACCGTATCCTGACGGATACGCTCTTTTGCAGAATCGGGGAAGTTCTCGCAGTATGCAACGAAGAAGTGTTGGTGCAACGTATGAAACACACGCTGAAAAACCGAAGCCAGAGAGGGCGGCAAATGCTCGTTCGTCCATGACTTGTTTTCCCTCGCAACGATGTAGGTTGGGCTCCGTTGGATCAGCGTCAATTCACTAGTTTTCTCTGCAAGTAATGGCAGTATGCTGACAGCAGTGGCTCCGCTGCCAACCAACGCCATTCTCTTATTCTCATAGTCGTAGTCCTTGGGCCAGAATTGCGGGTGTATCACCTTTCCTGTAGAGCTGTTAGGATGGTTGTTTCACTAGAAAGCACCTCGACTCACCTTTGAAGTTTTCGAGCCCTGGTATCTCAGCCTGTAGTGGGGACTCGTAGTCATAGTATCCAGTCCCCAGAATCATCCAGCGTGCAGTGTAGAGTTTTTGCATTCCCTCGTAGTCAACCGTGAGGGCCCATTGTTGTTTTGACGAAGACCACTCCGCGGCTAATACCTTATGACGCATTTGAATGCGTTCTGATACACGAGACTTTGACGCGGCGTCTTTAATATAATCTAGAATTAGAGAGCCATCTGCGATTGGCTTCGGATGGGGGTATAGGTGCCATGGAAATGCCAATGTATTCATAATAGCATCTGAACGCACTCCTGGGTATGTGAACTGAGACCAGGTGCCACCAATTTCACTGCGACCTTCGAGAATGGTGAAGCGGACATTGGGAAGCTGAGTCTGTAACCGATAGGCGCAGCTGATTCCTGATATACCAGCGCCTACGATGATTACATCGAGCGCTTCCGGCTTGTTTTTCGTCTCTGATGAAGCCATTTCTCTTCAAGTAGCTGATGTCTCTTCTGTACACCTAAATATGGTAAATTTCAGTTGAGGAGTTCATGTATGAAATATGTGTGTGAAGATAGTTAATACATAGTAGTGAAGAAACTACATGGGATTACGATCCTCTTTAATAGTCACAATAGAATATCAGGGACTGGCTAGATAACCCCTGTATGTAGTCTAATAATGGATATGAGTGGTTAATGGAGACGTTACTTAATAGTTACCCCAGTTGTATGTGTATACAGGGGGGTGGCAATGATTTGTACTAGGTTAGTGTATGTAATGATATCGGGTTCGGTATACGATTCGGAACTCAATAGTTTCATTTGCTAGATAGAGTCCCCATGGCTGCTTGTACGACAGGCCTGGGATCTCTCAAATCAAAGTAATTCTGTCCTAGTTCAGCGATTTGTGACATTATGTGCTATGGTGTAGCCATTTTCCCCGTACATACCTACATAGCTCTGCTCAAGACGAAGCCCGTGCCATTGATGATCCACTCGTATCGCTTCTACGAAAGGTATTCTAAATATGCTGGGATTGTAATTCCTAGTTATGCGGAATACCTATGAGGGAAATAACTCTTAATACATTCCCTAAGGCTCCCTAATTATTTATTGTATGACTAGTGCAGAAAACCGCCTACCTTAGGTGCCTACACTATATCAAAGTGAACTTGGAACCGTACAGTGTTCGTAATTCTCTCCACTGGTATTGTTATATCATATCTGCAACCTGAAAGAGCCGAGCAAAATGCCGTCTCAAAACACAACCCACTTTAAATATTTGACTTTAATATTGTCAGATTAGTCAGCCATGTCAGGTGACCTGAAAATCCCTAGTTTCATGTAAAATAGCGGTGTAACACACGTTCCCACGATTTTATCTCGATTAATTAGATTATTAGAAATATGTTGAATTAGATTTTATATAACGTTTATTTAGTACGTATTAGTTATGTAATAATTAAGAGTTTTATATGTTTGAATTATATAAGCTTTAAGGATAGAATTTTAGCCAATACTATATAATATAATACATATACATTAAAATAAATTTTAAATAAATTATTATTTACCTATTTATTTTATTATAGATTTTACTATATTATTATTAAGTTTTAAATTTGAATATTTTAGCGATTGGGACGTATAGAGTGAAACGTTTATATTATTTACTTAAAATTATTAGTTTTAAAAGTGGATAAATTTTAATAATATTAATATATACGGGGAATTTAAGGTTTAATTCAAACTTTTTTTTTAAATGTTTTGAATTTAAAATTATAAAAGATTATTTGATTTATTTAAATTTTATTTGGGAGTAATAATGAGGGCGGGAATCTTATTAAAGGGTTAATTGCCGGTAACATTAATTTTAATTAATTAGCTTTTTTTTTTTAAACGATGTAAGAAATAATTAAAACCTTACAAAAGTTTTATTTAAAAGAATTAAACGCATATATATATATTAAAAGTAAATATAATTAATAAGAAAAAAAAATTATTAAATTAAAATAATTAATTATTTAAACCGTATTAAAATTTTATTTTAAAATTGTATAATAATTTAAATATATGATTTAAGATATATATAATATCTTAAAAAATTATTTAGGTATATATATATTAAAGTATAAGATTTAAGATAATTATGTAAGGGTTATGATATCATTTATAAAGATATTTAAAAGTTAAAAGGTTTGGATAATTAATTAATTTATTATTTTTATTAAGATTAAACATTTAAAATTAATTGTTGTTAAAAATCTTTAAAAGTAATTTTACGTATTAATATTAACCTTAAAATCAATATTAATAAATTAAATAATTATTTAAAATATTATTTTTTACGAAAAAATATATAATAAAATCTTAACACTTTAAAAAGTGGTTATAACGTTATAAAAACATATATAAATTTTTAAAAACGTTAAAAGAAAAGGAAAGGTAATTAAAAATGCTTTTAAGTTAATTTATAATATTGATAAAGGTAAAAATATTAATTAAAAAAATAAATCTAATCGTTAAAAGAAATTATTATAACTTATAAGGATTTTTAAAAGGCGGTAAGGTAATTTTAATAAATGTAAAAGGGTTAATATTAATTTAAATTAACTTTATAAATATTAAAATTATAATTATAATATTAAATATAAAATTTATTAAGATTTTTATAATATTAAAAATTATTTTTATATATTTGAAAATAAAAGACCCGAATATTTCAAATTTAAAAAGGTAAATATTACCTTAATAAAGCTAACCTTAAAAATTAATCCCGATTTAATAATTAAAATAAAAACCTTAAAAAAGGAGGTAAAGGCTTAAGGGGTAAAAAATAAGAATAGTTAATTAAATAGGTATATAGTTATTATGGAAAAAGGTATAGCCTTTATAATATTAACCTATACTGTTGTTTTTAGTATTATTTAATATTTATTAAAGAATTTAACAATATTAAATTCAAAGATTATTATTTATATATTTAATAAGATATCTTAATTTATTAATTTTAAAATAGTATTGTTAAGTAATTATATTATAATAAGTAATAATAAAGTTAAAGTTATAGGTTATGGGGAGGTAGATATCCATACCTAATATTTAAGAGGATTTATTAGGATGAGGTTAATAAATATAATTTATTATAAAAATTTTGTTTATAATTTTGTATTTTTAAGGCGGTTGTAAAGGTAAAATTATTGGTAGGATATACGTAATAATTTCACCTATTTGAGATAATTAAATAATATTATTATAATTAAATTTATTAATTATTATAATTAATTTATATTTAAAGATATCTTTTATAAGATTTTAAAGGTTGTTTTTTATATTTATTATAACGTTTTAAATTTAAGGTTTATAAAAATCTTAAGTATTGTAATTATCTTTTATTAATATTTAAGATTAGGGTATTTAAAATTTTAAGTTTTAGAATACTTAGTTAATGTTAATAAAGGGGTAAAAATTAAGGAATTTATAATGGTTAAATGTAAGGTATATAATATATTTAAAATAAAACGCTAGATAAAACATATGCTACGTTATATTGATAAATTTTTTAATATAAGGTTAACCTTTAATTTTCATTTAATAAAGGTAAATAATTACGGGATTATAAACCTTATATTAATTATTAATAAATGGATTAGTATAATTTTTAATTATTATTTATATAATTGAAAATTGGAAATAATAATTATGGTTTTAAAAGATTTTATTAGATTATTAAAAAATTAATATAATATTATTTTATAGATTTGGGAGTTAGATTATAAGATTATTTAAATAAAGTTAATAATGAAAAACTATCTTAAAAACCTTTATATAAAGTTAAAGCCTTTAATTAATTACATATAAATATAAAACGGTATTATTAAACGCTTAAGGGATATAATTAAGGATAAAACCAGGGTAATAAGGGTAAATATAAAATTATTACACTTATTATGGCCAAAGATATATAAGATTATAATATATTTATATAATTACATATTGTAATATAAATATAATTAACAATCCCTATACAATCGTTTTCATATATTTATAGCGGTAAATAATAATATCACAACTTAAGAAAAAAAACTTTAACAGACCTATTTGCGAGTATATAATTATAAAGCCTACGCATTAATAATAAACGTTTTAAAAAAGGTTAATAAAAAACGTTAATTAAATTTAAAAGCTTAGATAAGTTTTTTAATAAGCTATATATTGATTAATATATATAAGATTTGGAATCTTTACATAAATAAAATAATAAAAACTTATAATGTAATTTTCAATAAAAATAAGTTATTTAATAAGAACCTTACAAGGTTAAAAAAAATTACGTAATAATTTACTTTATACAAACGTTAAAAAATATAATTACATACTTTAATTTATCTAAGATTCTTAACCGATTATTACTTAAACTATTAATAATAATGTAGTAAATAATAGATTTAAGTATATTAAAAATATAAATGTACTAAAATTAGATTCAACGTTATTAGCAAATAATATATTGGATAAATTTAAAACAATAAATACTATAATAAAAATTAATTATTTTTATATAAGTACTAAATTTGCCTTTATACTAACCTTAAATCTGTTACTGTTAATAGTTTTATTTACGGTTATAATACACTTTAAAATATTAAATTATTCTAGTATCTTATCCAATAAAAGATATTTATAAATTAAAATCTAGTAAATTATATTTAATACAAGTAGATTAATAAGTTGAATAAAGATTTATTAAAGGCGAACAATTGATAAAATAAGAGAAATAAAGTTATTCCATAAATCTTTTTAATATAATCCAATTATTTTAATAATATATATTAAAATTAATTTTTAATAGGTAAATAAACTTAAAAAGATATACTAGAAAAATCTCCCGAAACCCCTTAAAAAATATAATAATATTAAAAATCACTTTTATAAAACATTGAACAGGAGTTGGTATCTCCTGCAGAATATAGCATATCACTTTAACGTCTAGATCCTTGTAAAAGGTCCTAAACAGTTAATGATAGTACTATACTCTAAAAAAACTATAAGGATCTACTAATCAGATAGAATATATATAATAAATACGTAAAATAAGGCTATAAGTTATAAATATAGAAAAATAATAAATATATTTATATTAAATATATAATTAAATAATAATAATTGTAGCTATTTAATCAGAAAAATACGACAAATATTAGACCTTTATATAGCCTATAACCTAAGATTACATAATAATACCCTTGCTCTTGGCGATGTGGCACTACACCAATTCAACATTATTTGAAAAGGCTAAAAAAATATATTTAAAAAGTTATTATTAAATAAAAATTTGGGAAAAGATTTTATAATCCAATCCCAAATACTTTAAAAAATAAATTTTTAATTATATATAGGTATATATATATAAGATTAATAAATATGGTTATTTATAAAAGGTCAAAGCAAGATTAATAATTCGAAGAAACTAATAAGTCTTAGGAATTAAGGAAATATACGCCTTAACGTTAACCGGAAGATTTTTTAAAACCTTAATGGTAATAACTATAAAATTTAACCTTAAACTAATTTAATATAATATTATAAATATGTTTATAAATGTAAAATTTAAAAAAGATATATTTATAAAAATATTATTAGGTTATTAAAAAGAAAATAATATTTTTAGGTTATTTAAGGTATTATATAAATTATAAGAATTTTTTTTATTATAATAAAAAGAATTAATTAAAACCTTAAGAATTTTAAGTTTTAAGTCTATTCTTAAGGAACCTTATATATTTATTAAAAAAAAGATTTTATTATTTATTTATATTAATAATATTGTTATAATATATTTTAAAGTTAAAGAAAAAAAAATAATATATTTTATTAAAGACTTTAAATAATATTATTAATTTATTGGGGGTAATAATTTATAATGGTTTTTGGGTATTAAAATAATAAAAGATTAAGAAAGGTAATTTATTTAGTTAAATTAATCTGTATATATTAATAAAATAGTTAATTTTATAAAACTTTTAAATTAAATTCCAAATATTTTAATAATTAAAAAGAAATTATTTCCTTATAAAAGGATAGTTTTACTTAAGAATATTTATTATTATTAATAATGTATAAAATTTATCTTATATATTACAATAATTACATGTTTAAATATAGTTTTTATAACTTTATAATTTTTATAATTTAATTATAATCTTAATTTAAAATATTATAATATATTAA